CAGAAAGAAGCACCTAGCCTGTCTTGTTTAAAGCATCCCAAATTGATAACCAAGGTAACCTCTTTGTAAATAACTACAAACAAATTATTTCATGAATTCACATAAATTAATTTGCCTGTAGCATCTATATGGTCAAAATAACCAAGTTGAATAAAAAAGACCCCAAATGAAACACTCATGTAAATATGAATATTTTCTTAAATTTATATGTTAAACTTTAGATTCCTTAGATACAAATTTGATATAGCAATCACAGAACTTGGTAACGCATAACCTGATACATGATAAGATAATGTAATTGTTTCTACTTCAAAATAAATGATAATCAATGGTTATCAGCATTGGATTTCAAAGCTACAGGGATTTATTCAGGATTCTAAACTAAGTGCCCTTGGCAGGCAATTTGGGGAAAAGATAATCATTTTGCTCAAACTGGTCTGTAAAATGCAGGTTTCCTCTACTAAGCCATAGCATTAGTTATTACTATGTAACATGAATTGAGAAATTTTAATTCTAATTTGGGAATTCTTACAGACATTGCTGCAGACTTGAGGCCAAATATCACCTCTGAGCACGTCAAAATAAATCCCTGAGCCAACAAAAAGATGATGTCAAAGTCATCCCAGATGATTACAAGATGAGGAAACCTTCGAAAAGTACACAAATCGGGGTGCTAAACTCAGGACCAAGTCCTACAATGACAATTGCAATACAATCATATACAATGTGCGTTTCCACTGAACACGTCTGGTTCAACCATTGAGGACAATTTAGGATGAGAACACTTACTCATTCTGGTTACATTGTCATATCATGGACAATACCTGTAGCAATGTGCATTCAGCTTTAACAGTTCAGGATTCAGATCACCATCATCTGAATCATGACAGCATCTTTACATTTTGAAATGTTAATGTTTGATAAATGGGCTGTGGACAATACCATGCAAGATATGATGAATGAAAGGACCCTGGGCCCGGTTCCACAAAGCGATCTTAGCGCTACGATCATCGTAAGTCTATGTTAAAGTATGAGAGATATGATCGCCTTTGTGCTTTGAGGAACGAGACTCCGATCATGAAATAAGGAATAGTGAGAGATTGAGTTGGGTTTCTTCACCTTGTTTGTTTCAGGACACATTCAGTAATTCCAGCCATATGATGGCGGTCTGTGAAAAGTTGAGTCTGGGCCAGACAATCCACTGACTGACATCATGAACATCGATCTACGTAATTGTGATACGATGACATGCATGAACCAAGTCCGCAAGCATGACCAATGTCAGTCGCCTCTTACAGCAAGCATGGGTTGCTGAAGTCTTTACATATTATTTCTGTCACATCACAATGTGTTGTAGCTGTATACCATGCCAGTGAAATCCATGGTCATGGTTATAGGATAGACAAAGGATCATAAACAGGGTGAATCCAGTATTTTCACAACAATCAGCGGATACTGGCATGACTAAGGGAAGCAACTGCACAAAACATTGCAATGCCTCAGACCAAGTCCACCTATGTCCTCCAGTAATTATTTGCAGTTGTGGTAATGATTGGAGAAAAATTCCAAAGAGAGAAAAAACGCAATGATTCCAATGACAACATTATAAATGGAAGAAAGTGGTTCATGCACTAATTCCAGAATGCTTTTTTTATATTATTGTTCTAATGCATCTGCAACATTATCTAAACAACAAAACAATCTTTTTTGTGTGCGATTCTTCGAAAATGACACTTTTTCTCACTTGATATTGTTACCATGGTAACAGAAATAAGTTACACATATATCATAAATATAACAATAACCAACAATTCGAGTAGCACTTTTGAAGCATAATTGAGATGAAGATCTCCAGATAAAGTTTAGGCAATGACATGGGCGTGACTTCATCTGAGTTTACCAATTCACAGCATGCATCGGATTTCATTGCACAGGTTTAAATATAATTCAAATCAAAATAAGAAACTGAAGACTGTCCCAATTCCACACGGGACGTTCCGAGAACACTTCATCAATATCATAAAAGATTTGTGTGAATGAGTAAGTGAGTGAGTTGGGTTTAACGACGCTTTTAACAGTATTCCAGTTATATCGCGGCGTGTCAGCTTAATGTGGGAGGAAAGCCCAAAGTGATGCAGGTCTCAAACGCTTACCACTTCGGTGAAAGCCACGAGCACAGGTATGGTGCTAACAAACCTAGAAACATAATTGGGGCAAACTGGGAATCGAACCCACAATCATAGGTTTCTGGCGTGCCCAAGGGACGCAACTCTGCTCACAAAAGATTTGAACAATATACAATTAATTTTAGTTAGAAGCGACTAACTGTATTTCTTGCAAGGAAGTCACAACTTACATAACCATTATGTTTAGGTATGTCATATCTATTCAAGTCCAGAATTTTTGGCATGATGCAATGTATTAACAAACTGCCAGGCAAAATAAAGTATACACCCATGTTTGATGGTGGCTAAAATGAAACAAAACAAGAAATAGTTATTTTGCTGGTGATGTTTTTGTATTTATCACAGTTGTGTTTTGGACCTTAAGTTGCCAGTGTTTAGGCAACTGTTTTTAAGTCCAGTAATGTTTTGATAATGTTCATAATCGTTTGGTCAAATTCAATTTTCAAATGCATACAAGGCCGATTTAAGGAACTTGATTTAACTTTCAGCAGGTGCATGCTGACATGAAAACCAGGTTGCATTGGATCCCATAAATTTATCAACGTTGAAATTGCTGCAAGTGTCACATAAATTACCGTAATGATGCAATTCTGTAAAATGTATTAAGAACATGTGCAAATAATCTTAAAGTACCAACAGTTTGATAATGTCAAAGCCACGAAAGCATGCAAATTACACCTAACACAGAGATTAGTGTAATGATGTTGTATGGTAAATAAATATGCCTTAGCGGTATTGAATGTGTTCAAAGATCGTTGTTGTGTGGAAAAGTAAGTGTTAGGCAGACACAAATTTTGATATTTTTTGTAATATTTTCATGTTGAAAAAAAAGATTAGGTTGTATTTTTCAATAATAGGCCGCACTGGTGCATGTTTTATACCCACAGTTTGACTTCAAGCCTAAGTATGCAATCACGAATTAATGATGTAGTCTGGTAAATAAACTTAAGAGGTATTAAGCGTGTTCGAAGATCTATATTGTGTGACCTGCGATTAGAGAAAAAATGGAACATTTTGACATGAACTTGTTGCATGTAGACATGTAAGGCTGCAATTTTCACTAACAGATTGCACTTGTGCATGTTTTATATAGCTAATAAAGCCCTGTCATACTTTGTTTTGCCAGGCAGTTCGTAAGGGGGGACTAGACTCATTGGCAGGCCCAACAAACTTAACACAGAATCCCCCAACCAATACTTCCTTGGACTGCTAGTTCAAATATACGATGTATATCAACCCAGCTGTTACTGATTACCCTACACAAGACAATATCCCAGTTTCTTCATAGAGTCAATTAAAATCTTAAGAACAAGGCATGGACATCAGACTAAGCAGTGCCCCCTTAATACCAATCGTTTTGTTGGTTTGTTCGCACCAAGCGATATTCCATAGCAGTCTGTAAATAATCAAATCTGGACTTAACATTGAGAATCTCACCCTCGTGTCTTTTGATATCAAATATATCAACTTGAGTTGAAAAAAATGGAAGAACTCAGAGGCTTGCCGAGGACTTTTTCCATTTTATCAACGAGCGTTGATATATTTGATATCAAAAGACACGAGGGTGCGATTTTTTTTATCATCCAACATAATTCTTCCATCTGTTTCAGTTTGTAGACAGAAATAAGCAGTGTCTTAGTGTAAAAAGAACTGCTAACAGCTTCAGTAGCAGAGCCATTAGTGATGTCATTTGATTGTGATGTCATGGTAACCAATGATGTCACAATAGTCTGCAAAGCATTGTGATGCAGTTATTTGCAGCGATATCTACAATCTACATGAGCATTGATCTACGCGATTAGGATATGACGACATGCAACAAACAAGTTAGCGAGTCTGACCACCAGATCCTGTTGATACATACCCTTTGCCTATCAAAGCAGAAGTTACAGACTTGGTATAAGGTAGGAAACTGTCATGACACTGAATATATGGATGATGCTATTGAAGGTATTGACTAGACTATGCCATGAATTTCCCTTAGCATGTTTAGACAGTGAGTGAGAGAGTTATATCACGGCGTGTCAGCTTAATGTGGGAAGAAAGCCCGAAGTGATGCAGGTCTCAGACGTTTACCATTTCGGTGAAACCCAAGAGCACGGGTATGGTGCTGAGAAACCTAGAAACATAATCGGGGCGAACCGGGATTCAAACCCACAATCATAGGTTTCTGAGTGAGTTTGGCTTTACGCCGCTTTTAGCAATATTCCAGCAATATCACGGCGGGGGACACCAGAAATGGGCTTAGAACTGGGGGGCTATAGAATTAAATACTACAGCAACAAACCTCAAGGACACCAGGGCCCCCTTAATTAAGAACACTGTTGCCCTGTAGTTTAATGTCTCAACCTCTGAACCTTCTTACTTCTCAACAAAACGAGTAAAAGATATTGACCATGAAATAATCTGTGCATTGCTCAAGTATCTTCACAATGGATGTTTTGGTTATAAAATAATGGATTTGTTTTTGAAAGGATTTATGAATTTCATCACAAAAATCTCGACATGCGTTGATGTTGTTTCAGGAAACAAGCTTGGAGCCATCACTACAATTGTTCTTGTTACCATGGTAACTAACTGAACACAAGGCCATGTTGAGGGGTGAGCTCTGTCACCATGCTAACCATGTCTCAGTTGATTCATCATCTTGACTGATTGGAGCAACTTTGAAGTTAATATACTCGCTGAAGCCATTTGAAATGCTACCCTGACCTTGACCTTGAACTCAAGAGTTCATGTTGTTGACACATTTTTTTACAGGATTCATGAGTACACAAGTTCCAATTACACATAAGCCATTCTTTTTTTAACCACTATGCTCGTTCTCAGCAGTCTGCAGAGTCAAGTAGTGTCTCTGTGCTCGACACACAGACCAAGCATCAAGAGGGCTGACTGTATGGTATCTTGGCCAGTGGCTATCCCTGCTTCTTTCTGCATATCCAACCTTCACCTTGTACAACCTGTTGTTCTGCCATCACACACACCAGGCCGACCCACGAAGCACAATTGAGAGGCAATTGAAGCACATGGGGAAAGACCCTTTTAGCACATGGGAAAGGCCACCATGAGAAGCCATGTTTTCCTTTTTGGTCAAACCCCAGCATATGCCATATCACAGATCAATCATTTCGATATAAGGCTGTACCACCTATTGAACACATCCCAGAATACCTGGCTGTTCCATCAGTTGAGAGTGCCCCTACAGCCAACAGCGCCACAGAGACAGGGAATTTTCTCATCCTCAATGGGAAACTTGTAGTCATATGTGATTTCCTCATTCACATCAATGTCTCTTTTAGAATAGATTACAATTTTCTTTTGAGTATCTACAGTGATGATCTTTGCATAGCAGTTGGGCTGAAAAGAAAAAAATATGTTATAGTGGTTTGGGGTCAGTATCATGGAATTCACATTGCAATACAGCAAGAATGTTTTCAGTACTTAGGTAGGATTTAACGCCGATCTGAACAGTATTGCATTTATATCACGACGTGTCAGCTTAAAGTGGGAGGAAAGCTCAAAGTGATGCAGATCTACAATGTTTACCACTTTGGTGAAACTCACAAGCACGGGTATTGTGCTGACATTAATTTACACCTGATTAATTATGCAAACTAAACACAATTTATGGATTACTTTTTTCTGGTACAATTATACCGACATCTCGGTACAGATCCTTACGCAGTTGTCAAACAAGGCAATGGTATAAGGACCTATACCAAAATGTCGCTATGATAGTACAATAAAGAAGTTGTTATCCATATATTGTGTCTACTTTGACATGTGTCAAGTTCTAAGAAATACCTATCAAACAATTCTGAAAATATAAGTTCTGAACTCAACAATGGTTCATATACCTTAGAGGCCAAACTGGCCAGTTCACAGCAAAGCCATGATGCGATACATATCATGATACCTAGGTCATGATACGATACGTATCGCAATATGTATATTTACGTCAAATCACGTTGAAACTTATTAGCAATATTAGCTAGATCACACGGTGACCATAAAGCCCTCGTTTGAAGCAGCTCTCTGTTAAGCATGGGGTGTTGGGAACCTCTTCTGCCAAGGAATGTCCAATACTACAGAAACCATCATTGTCCTAACTGTGACTTGTACATAGCTGCCATCTTCCCCAACATACAAGTAGTATCTTGGTACGTTCGGGACACAAAAGCCAATAACAATGAAACGTCTACAGTACAATACAGACATGATTCTGAAACTCAGTGGATAATTTTAATGCTTTGACTGTGGCAACTTATGATCATATGAGAGGAGTGTCACACCAGTTGATAAACAACACATGCTCCCGTTTGTAGCAGACAGTGTGAGGCTAAATAATGATCCTCTCTCACTAGTGTCTATGAAAATTTAGTCCTTGTGATCTCCTTTTTGTAGACTGGCATATGAAACTACATTTGAGTTGCAAATTCGTAACAACTATGAAACATTTTGGACAACTGGCAGTTATGTATATAAGTTTGTATGTTTGTTGTTGAATGCTGCACTCAACAATATTCAAGATATCAAACGACGACATGGAAATGTCCAGACAATTCGGGGTAAAGTTATCCGAAAATTACTTACATTGCAGCTGTGATTGATGAATCTGGCGAGGTTGCCGCACTTGGTGGCGTCAATAATGGTCTCTCCGTCGACCCGGAACAAATAGCTGCTGCCGATACCGATGTTCTCATACTGCTTCTCACGTAGGTCGGCCATCGACTGACGAACAACCTGCCCCACATATTCGATGACCATTTCGTCGGCTGCAATAGGCTCCAGAGCAAACAGTCCCCAGTCGTGAATGGAGCTCTTTGCAAACCTCAGATGCTTCTTTCGGAACTGGAATAAATAGTAAGACGATTACCACCTACTGAGCTCCAGATAAGCTGCGTATCTGCGTGAAATACGCATCAGAAATGCAGAAATACGCAGTAAAATATAATCCAAGCGTATCAAATACGCAACGAACATTACAGATACGCTACAAAAATAAAACTTGTGCGTATCATCAAAATATTGTGAAGTAACCCTGGTTATTCGATTAGCAAATCAGCAACTTTTTTAAAAATTATAAACGGGCATTCCGTCAACCTTGCCTAACTCCACGATGACAGTTACATCATGATCATTTGCCATCACACTTTCTTGTGGAAGTATCGTGGTATTTTTGAGTCCTATAAAGCTCTCGAACCCACACGACACAAGTTTGCAGGGACTAGATGAATAGTGTTTTAAATATTTAACTTAAATACCCACATGTGTAAAAACTAGTGGGTAACAGAAATTTGAATACCCAGATAGAATTACTGATACCCAATGATTTTAAAATGCATGGGTAAAATACCCACAACACCAAAAGCTTATCTGGAGCTCTGCACCTAGATCATACAAGGGAAGGGTTGGGATACTGGCGGCCTTTTCTGCCTGGAATTCTTGTGTGTTTTGCTTCAGGACCCTTTGAACAGTATTCAACAGCTGTGTCACTGCTGTCAGTGTGAAGTGATGCAGGTCATTTGTGATGGGCATTTACTTTTGTATTGCAATGTATTGCAATAATGATCCATATATTGCGATACATATCAGAATAAACTGCATGCGTTCTTTCATCTGTTATTTGTTATGAACCTAAATAAAAATAACCCATATGACATCTTCACAGTCGTCTGCCATTTTGTTGGATGTTGCTGTGGTCAAAACACATCCATAATAGTACATTATACACAGGAAGCTGTTCGCTAATGGTTTTGCTTTTTCGATCACAGGAATCAGTTGCTAATTTCTGAATTAAATAAGTTCACATCTACTTGTTACTTATGTAAACTTTGCCAACAAGAAGTATTGCATGATTATGAAAAACGCAATATACTTGTATTTTCCAAACGTATTTATTTTGAATGAGGGAACAGGGGAATACCACTGACCTCTAAAGGTCATAGATGTTTACTACATTAGTGAAACACAAGCACAAGTATGGTGCTGACAAACCTTGAAACAATCAGGGCAAACCAGGATTCAAACTCACGATCAGAGGTTTCTGGCAGACCAAAGAGAGGCAACTCTGCACAGCCAATTCCAGTACCTTAGAGGACTGGGGCCCCTAAGTATGGTAGTTGGATCAGAGTCATACCCCCTTTTCTCAGATACCTAATGTCAACCTGTATCAGACCATCTATCATAGGTTCATGACTTCATGACTTCGAGTGTACAACCCTCCAGGATCTGTACTTACAAGGGTCTGAGACACTCTGCCTTCTCTGTTTGTATTGTCGAGTGTACAACCCTCCAGGATCTGTACTTACAAGGGTCTGAGACACTCTGCCTTCTCTGTTTGTATTGTCGAGTGTGCAACCCTCCAGGATCTGTACTTACAAGGGTCTGAGACACTCTGCCTTCTCTGTTTGTATTGTCGAGTGTGCAACCCTCCAGGATCTGTACTTACAAGGGTCTGAGACACTCTGCCTTCTCTGTTTGTATTGTCGAGTGTGCAACCCTCCAGGATCTGTACTTACAAGGGTCTGAGACACTCTGCCTTCTCTGTTTGTATTGTCGAGTGTACAACCCTCCAGGATCTGTACTTACAAGGGTCTGAGACACTCTGCCTTCTCTGTTTGTATTGTCGAGTGTACAACCCTCCAGGATCTGTACTTACAAGGGTCTGAGACACTCTGCCTTCTCTGTTTGTATTGTCGAGTGTACAACCCTCCAGGATCTGTACTTACAAGGGTCTGAGACACTCTGCCTTCTCTGTTTGTATTGTCGAGTGTACAACCCTCCAGGATCTGTACTTACAAGGGTCTGAGACACTCTGCCTTCTCTGTTTGTATTGTTTGTTGTTTAACGCCGCACTCAGCAATATTCCAGCTATATGACGGCTGTCTGTACATAGTCTGGACCAAACAATCCAGTGATTGACAACATTAGCAACGATCCACGCAATTGGGATGGATGACATACATCAACCAAGTCGGAGAGCCTGACCACCAAATCCCGTTAGTCGCCTCTAACGACAAGCATAGTCGCCTTTTACGGCAAGCATGGATTGCTGAAGACCTATTCTACCCCGGATCTTCACGGGTCTTCTCCAGAAAGGGTTAGGTTCTATTCTGGTGCCTACATCACACTACATTTTGGACATTACCAAGTTCTGATAGTTCTCCCAAAAGATCAGCGGTTTACTCAACTGGATTTTCAACAGAACAGAACATGGGCCAACAACATATACCACTCAAAAAAATCAAAGGACCACTTGATTCTTTTATATTACCATACATCACGGCATGACAGTTTAACTGTAGTAATAGGAAAGAATCGATTGGTCTTTCACTTTTTTTAGCAGTATATATACAGTGTTTGCGTTTATGGCATCCGGTATACAAATATATGCACTGAAAAAACTGGGACGCAAGAAAAGACAAGAAAGTTTACTTTACGCATAACTTTTGCTGTTCCGTTTATAGTTTCTCTTGCCTCCCAAAATCTGTCTGATATGCACATAAAAACAGACACTTAAATATTTCAGGTCTATATTTGAAAGATTTACATGGGTGGGGGGATGCACCCAAATTCCCCCAGGTAGCTTCGAGTCTGCGCCCCTTGCGGCTTACGCGTCCAAGGTCTCTTATTTTTCAGATCAATGCAAACACTGATATATATTCTCATTACAAGCTTAAACATGTTAAATGAACGTAGTCCATAAAATTGAGTACAAACCTTAAGTTGATTGAATTTAAACAAGTCCGACATTCCCATCTGGTCGGAGAAATCAGAGAGAGCTGTCTGTAACCTTCTGTTTTCACTCCTTGCTTCCCGAGACGACACCATGTTCTTCTTAGCCTGTTCAGCCTGCACACAAATGACAGAGAGTGAGCATGTGAGGTGAAATGGGGTATAACGCTGCATTGCAGATTATTGCACTTACTGCTATATAGCGATGTGCTGTGCTGTGCTGTGTTGTGCTTCACTGTGCTGTGGGGTTGTGTTGTGAATGGGTGTGTGGGGTGTTATGGATGGGTGTGTGGTGTGTGGTGTGGTGTTGTGGTTGGGTGTGTGGGGTGTTGTGGATGGGTGTGTGGGGTGTTGTGGATGGGTGTGTGGGGTGTTGTGTGGTCATGTGTTATGGATGGGTGTGGGGGGTGTTGTGTGGTTGGGTGTTGTGTGGTTGGGTGTTGTGGATGGGTGTGTGGGGTGTTGTGTTGTGTTGTGTTGTGTGGTGTGGTGTGGTGTTGTGGATGGGTGTGTAGGGTGTTGTGTTGTGTGGTGGTGTGGATGGGTGTATGGGGTGTTGTTTTGTGTGGTGTTGTGTTATGGATGGGTGTGTGGGTGTTGTGTTGTGTGGTGTTGTGGATGGGTGTGTGGGGTGTTGTGTTGTGTGGTGTTGTGGATGGGTGTGTGGGGTGTTGTGGATGGGTGTGTGTGTGGTGTGGTGTTGTTGTGTGGTGTTGTGTTATGGATGGGTGTGTGGGGTGTCGTGTGGTGTGGTGTTGTGGTTGGGTGTGTTGTGTTCTGGTGTGGTGTGGCTGCTACTACTAGCCTGGAGTTAGCTGGTTTCACAGTGTGAGCCCACGGAGATACCACATGGACACCCCACTCGGTCAAAGTAAACGGACTCCAAGTCGACCAGTCCTTGCATTATCCCCATAATGCTTTCACACCAGCCAGGGTAACAACAAGTACCATCTTTTAACACCTTTCGAGTGAGTGAATGAGACACAATTGCGATCATTATTTATATTACAACTATTGCAAGAGTGTCCTACATGTACCATACTTCACACCTGCATTATTCAACAAGATGGCAAAGTCAAACATGGCACCAATACAAGGAGTGAGTGAGTATGGCTTTATGCCCACTTTTAGCAATATTCCAGCAGTATCACGGTGGGGGACACCAGAAATGGGCTTCACACATTGTACGCATGTGGGGAATCAAACCCGGGTCTTCGGCGTGACAAGCAAACACATAACCTATAGGCAACCCCACCGCCCCACCAATACGAAGAAAAACTGGCACTTTCAGCTATCAAGGTATTACTGTAAATGAACGGCAGTCTCTGCTGCAATCAGATTGTCAAATACAATGGCTCCCAGAAATCTTTCACATTATTCACTGTGTATGAATACTTATCTTGATCATGTTGACAAGAATCTTTAGTTTTCTCAGTCTTAAATTGGGCAAAAATGAGAATAGATATCACTAAAAGATATTAAATATGATCAATGTTTCTCATAAACATGATAAAAACATTTATTTAATTGTTTCCTCACATTCTGGAAAGCAAGCGTGTTCAGTCATCCATTTTGTCAAGATGTCATAGCATTCTAGATAGCATCATGTCTGTCTCAACTGCGAGAGTTCACTTAAATGAATGCCCAGAAATATTCATTTGAATCGACAGCATCTGATAAATAACACCAACATGGTTCTGTTTGCCGCACTGGGCAATACTGCAGCTATGATGGTGGCCTGTAAATAACTGAGTCTGGACCAAACAATCCACACCGTTGGGGTACAATGATATCAAGTACCCTGGTCTGACCACCCAATCCATTTGGTCTCCTCTTATGACCAGTGTAAGTCCAAATTTACTACCAGGGTACCCACACCCCTATTACCCTACCCTACCCTACCATACCCGGGTACCTGCTGTAGGTCCGAAGAGATAAAAAACAAAAATGTCTGATTGGGACTAGTTTGACCGTAGCCCTGGCAAAAAGTACTTAAGTACACATATAGAATGATCCAGAGCTCCAAATAAGCTGCGTATCTTCGTGAAATACGCATCAGAAATGCAGAAATACGCAGTAAAATATAATCCAAGCGTATCAAATACGCAACGAACATTACAGATACGCTACAAAAATAAAACTTGTGCGTATCATCAAAATATTGTGAAGTAACCTCTGTATTCGATTAGCAAATCAGCAACTTATTTTGAAATTATAAACGGGCATTCTGTCAACCTTGCCAAACTCCACGATGACAGTTACATCATGATCATTTGCCATCACACTTTCTTGTGGAAGTATCGTGGTATTTTTGAGTCCTATAAAGCTCTCGAACCCACACGACACCAGTTTGCAGGGACTAGATGAATAGTGTTTTTAAATATTTAACTTAAATACCCACATGTGTAAAAACTAGTGGGTAACAGAAATTTGAATACGCAGATAGAATTACTGATACCCAATGATTTTAAAATGCATGGGTAAAATACCCACAACACCAAAAGCTTATCTGGAGCTCTGATGATCTGGTCATGCATACACTGAAATTGACTGAAGTTTTATCTTTAGTCAAACATATTAAAATCAGAAAGCAATGCAAACATAATTGACTTGAAATGTTACCAACTGAGTCCTAGATTTTTGTCATTAAACAATATGTCACGTGACTGACAACAGGTCCAGGTTGTCCCGTGGGTACCCGGGTCCAGCTCAGTACCCACCCAACCGGAGTACCCGAGTTACCCGTTCCAGCCCTACTGGGGAGTGTGTGTTACTCACCAGTGTCTGGTTGATGCTGTCAGCAACCTTCTGCTGCATCTTGGCATTAGGACCATTCGACAGGTACTGAGCCTTCTCCTCCATCGACAACTTGTAGTAGCCATCTGTCCTGGCACAGCCTAAACACAGGGAACACAGGAATATCAAGACAGAGCTGACAGAGTGACACCTGATTACTGCATACCATGAAGCGCATCAATACCAGTACTTGGCTGTGAAACCCCTTTACTTTCTACCATAAAAAACATCAATGCCAGTACTTGGCTGTGAAACCCCTTTACTTTCTACCATAAAAAACATCAATGCCAGTACTTGGCTGTGAAACCCCTTTACTTTCTACCATAAAAAAAACATCAATGCCAGTACTTGGCTGTGAAACCCCTTTACTTTCTACCATAAAAACATCAATGCCAATACTTGGCTGTGAAACCCCTTTACTTTCTACCATAAAAAACATCAATGCCAGTACTTGGCTGTGAAACCCCATTACTTCATACCATGAAACTCATTAATAGGTTGCACTGGTGCATGGTAAAGCCAAATGTCATATGTGGATGAAAAATCAAAATATGCCCCCCCAAAACTGCATATCAAATTTCCCAATGACAGTTATGGCTGAAAAAACCTATTTCAATGTGGCTGCCATGGCAAATAGTGTTTAAAAATCGGATTTCAATTCTGGGAGCACTTTTCGGAGAGCCCATAGCTAGGATCACTTGCACAATTTTTCACTTCCATGGGCCTTGTAGCTTCAGTGATGGTGTCGAACACTGAGTAAAACCAGAAAAACTGGGGTATGTGAAAGGTCATAGCTGGATCCAAAAAAACAACATGCCAAAACTGTATTACATGTTAATCTGAAAATCACACACTTTACAAAACTGAAAACATGTTACCACTTGTATTTGTACATGAATAATATCCATTAAATACTAATATAGCGGGAATACTGCCTGAATCCCACATCATCAATCAAAATTTTACATCTGCACTGTGTATGTAACTTTGCAAGTCTTCCTATTGGAAATCATTCTGGGTTTAATCTTGGATTTCAAACAGAGTGACCGTGGCATTCAAATTATAGAAAAACTTATTATTTTCTTCAAAACTGGAATTTTCTAAAAGTTTTTTGTTTTTTAAATCCAACTGCGTTCAATACAAAAATGAAAAAGTAAGCATCAAAGGCTCCTCTTCTTTATGGAACCCATCACCGAAACATCAGTCACCTCTGCAACACTGTATAAATCCATGACATGTGTCATGACAATATCAACATCCATAATTAATTCAAATTTGAGAATGTTACAGACTTTTGTGCCGACTTTTGGGTCGAAAATGGGCATGTCATACCTGTTACCTGTTTGTATATTTGACATGTCACCACCAAACTAGTTTCCTTCTTACCTGATATTTTTGTTTTGTATTGTGCTTCGTCTGTTTTCCGCCGTTTCTTTGACGGTGATGGATCTGGAATATTTGTGACGGGATGATCAACCCACAAAATGTCGTTAATCCAGTAAAACATAGGATCATCGGATGACATCAAGTCTTCATATGTCCGTTTCAAATACTGAATGTCTTCTTCATCCATACCGTTATGGTACATTTCGAAAAACTTTTGCCTTTCATCTTCATAAGACCTAGGACTAAATGACACTTTTGGTTTGGGAGGTGGTAAAATACTGGATAATTCACGACTCCCTCGACTGTTGAGGGTTGCTGTAATGTCTGCCAATGCATCTTTCTTTTTCGAACGCTTTTTTGGCTCTTTTTGTTTGCTTTTCTTCTTTGCCGGAGAATCGGACGAAATGTCGGATTCACCGGCATCTGACACACTTTTGTCTTTGACCTTTGACACTTTAGACACAGCACTAGTCCTTTCATCACTCTCTCTACCCTCCGGGACATCTATCTCCGGCAATTCAAACTTGGCTGGGGGGAGACAGTAACTGTGGTCCATCCACACTTCACGGGACAGACCGGCAGATTCCTCATCAGCAGAGGCTGTGGCATCTGAATCGGCCTCATCTGCCACAGGTGGGGGAGCTGCAAAATAGTCATGTTCTGCAATAGCAGGATTGATGTAAGGACGCCGATCTCCATCGTCCTCGGACCGAGGGAGTGAGAGCGTTTCCTCATTGCCGACAGGAGGAGGAATATCTTCCTCCTTCTCAGCCACATCATTCTTCCCCTCTAGCACCTTGGAATCAGGACTTAATGTCTTCTGAATTAGCTTGGCTAACTCAGGCGCCTCTGCTGATGGTTTGGATGGCTTTGTGATGGGCAGAGGAGTTGGAACCTTCTTTGGAGAAGAGGGATGCGGTGGAGAAGAGGGTTTGACCTCTGACACCTTCTCTTCTTCCTTGGCATTTGTTGCGGTTGGTTTCTGTAGAGGTTCTCCGGCTTCCATCGTTTCCTCTTCCTCCTCCTCCTTATCACTAACTTCTCCTTCTTCTTTCTCTTCATCTTCCTTTTCTTCCCTGATTGGAGACAGAGGCCGAGCGTCTTCCTTTGCTTTCAGCTCCACCTCTTCAGTGCTGCTTACCGAGGGCCTGGGAGATTCACAAAGAAAATACACATTATTATCATCAATGCTCATGTTTGTTTGTTGTTTAACGTTGCAGTCAATGTTCCAGCTACTTGATAGCAGTCTGTACAAGTCTAGACCTCACAATCCAGTGACCGACGTGAGCATCGATCTACGCCATTGGGATACAATGCCATACATCAAGCAGGTCAGGGATTCAGTTACCTATTACAGCAAGCATGGGATGTTGAAGACAAACTCTTACCCAGATATTCATGGGCCTGAAAGCTCATGCCACATATATGGTTACAAAAGGCCTAAACCTGCTTAGAACAGTTTTTCAGCAACACAGCATAATAATCGTAGGTCATACGATTTACCAGCTCAGTTAAACCCTCAATCATTGTATTCCAAGGTTTCACCAAATCCTGGTCGTTAAGGAGTAACACCGTATGATGAATTGCTGCGCCTTATATATCAAGTGTTAACAACAAGGGGAAAAAAATAATAATTAAGCAATCTCACACATAATTTATTTTTCAGCAATAGGTGATCATTGGATTCTGTCCTTAAATGTCATACATACATTAGAACTGTCAAGACTATGAAATTATTTATGTCCCACAAAGCCAAACTTACTTGTCTTTTTTGAGGAGGTCAATGTCTGACTCAGTCTCAATATCAACATCCTCCTCTTCGCTTTCACTCTCCTCGTCCTCATCATCATCACTATCGTCATCTTCATCCTCATCACTGTCTTCCTCGTCACTGCTGTCCCCACTCTCTTCTTCATCTTCATCCTCATCTGAAATAACATGATCAAACCCTTTCTTTAAAATGTTGTGACAACATACTTGAAACAAACAATCAAAACAAAAACGTAGTGAATTCCCACGTTTCTATGAAATATAATCTGGCCTAACACATTTCTTGTCATAACTTGTATCCCAGGCAAAGTAGGATCTTACTCACTCTTACATATATGCTGAAGCAGTTAGGGATTCAGTTCAGTTCAGTTATCTCCCTGAGACTAGTCAGAGTGTTATGACAAAGAACCCTAAACTTTCTGAATGAATGAATGAATGAATGAATGAATGAATGAATGAATGATATCACAACATTGGTGAAGTCCATTTACCTCCAAATAAATAAATAAATAAATAAATAAATAAATAAATAAAGTACACTTACCTCCAGATTGAGTCTTGTCTGCCTCTTCATCATCTGATTCATCCTCGCTATCACTGACCACTGGCTTCCGTGACGTCCGTGTTGGAGACTGACTTGCCTCTCCATCTGAATACATATCACATTTCCTTTAGCTTACCAATAAAAGATAACTCACAAGTTTTTGTTCTGGATACACATCTGAAAACTGTGGCGACAATTATACATGTAATATTCAAAATAACAGCCTGGCATACACGGAGGGGAGACAAGTGAATTGAAAAGTTATCTCCCCTTAGATGTTAACTGACAGAAGGTTGCATGAGAAGCAGTCAGATCAGGATATGGTAACAGCAGAAGTAAATGTCAATGGATAATGTACATATGTTAATTATATCTGTCCTGTCATAACATATTACATTAGCAGTTGTAGCAGGATCACCAGGGGTACATTGGGTTTTATGCGTCCTGTGTTGGGTTTATACCACGAGCATTGTAGATGACATTGGAAAAGAATTAAAACAAATTCAAAGTTGATAGAAAATAGCTGTTCAATTAGCTTGCACTTTGTCACGTGACTTTCATTAACTCTGAAAAAGCATGTGTCTTTTTGCATCAAAACGGGGCATAAGAGATTTATTCGGCCTATCAGAAATCCACATGCACATGTCTTGCTCATGGCGGGGTATAAGGGATTTATTCACCTGCTGAGAAATTTATTTCCCTCCAAGGCAGGATAAATAGTATTTTATCAAGGTCACATGGACCAATCAGACCTCATCATTTTGACATGGAGGAAGGATAATACTGATTATGACACCCTACCTGACCACGCCTCTTCCTCTTCATGTTTCGAGGTATGGCCTTCTTCTGGTGGAGGGGAGGGAGGACGGAACTTTTTCTGCAGAGATAGAAACATGTTACAGTCACAACGCATCCAGGGACATACCTGGATCTTTCGTTTTGGGGGGATCCCATGCATAAAAACAAGAGATCCAGTTTTATCACTGTGACTACTTGATGTCAACCTGTGGCACACCACACATAAAATAACGTCATATAAATAGCACTAAAGTCCTGCACTGGCTCTGAATCCCTGCACATATAATGAAAGCTGCTTATTTTGTTTGAAACAAAACTCAGTGAACGAGTGAAGAAAATCAAAAATGGAAAGTCTGAACTACCCTATTTTCTCGAGTATAGTGCCCACCCAAGTATAATGCGCCCCCCCTCTCTAGCGGATTCAGTATTTGGGATTTTCTTTTAAGGATATTATGCGCAGAAAAAAATTACACCGTACACCTTCTGCGAATTCAGGTAAACAGGCTGAAAAGAAACTTAGTCAGTACAAATTTGAAATTTGAGATACAAAATCACCAGACCTGTTGATTTACCTTTGTTTTTTTTTGTTCTGCTTGGCATTGTTTTACATCCAGGGATTAAGATTACTTTGTGTATTTCCTCTTAACTAAGCCGGAAACAGCAATCAGCTGGACAAATGTTTTCTTGGAATCTACTGGTGATTCGGTTAAAACTTACCCAATGATATAACCAATGATATAACCAATGATGCAAGGATTGGGAAAAATTGTATCTGAAACTGTTTTTTTATCAGGAATAATATATTCCAATATCATGTTATTTTAATTGCAGCTTTTACTGAATATATTTAAAATAATAATAACCCTAAGCGTAGCACTACGGTGCAGCTGATTGCGATTGCCGGTTATTTTTTTCACATGGAACAATTTGACCAGTCATAGTCGAGGCTCCTGTGATCGCGAGAACTACATGTTGACAGAGAATCGTCAAACTACAACAAATATGACTTTTAATGAGTCAATGTATGGCATTTATGATATATGTATCCATTCTCTGTCAACTAAAGTTTGTTTCAAGGCGTCAATAGCGGTAATCTGACAATGGTGGCTATTAATAACGGTGAGTTGTGCGATCTTCTGATCGCTCCACACATGATTTCACCGAAATTAATTAAAACAATATAAAAAGGAAACTAAACCGTAACCAAAAAAACTACACCAGGGATTTATCATACATTCCAGACTTGGCAGGCTAACTTGGTAAAACCTCTCAATCTTTTCAAAATTGGAATTTTTGTTTATTTTTCTCATTTTCTCTGATACGGTCTTTTAACACTGCATTCAATGCAATAGTGTTAAACTAAGCACTAAATTTCTTGGAACTGTTCTGAGTGGAACACAAAGTCATAACATCACTGATAGAAATTGGAATCGTCCTATAGTCCTTGCCAAACTACCCAATAGTAAAGGTATCATAAGGACTAGTAGAAATTTGCCCTTTTGATAGGTTCTGCTAAATGTTTTCATGACAGGACTAGAGGACTAAAAATGTTAGTTTTGATCATTGGTTATCATTGGTTAAAACTATGACTACATGAAATGGCAATTTGTAATTCTAACGTGGGAATTTGTACTGATATGAACCTCTGAGCAGATCGAGTTACATCCCTGCTACATTGACCACAGATAAGCACCTTCATCTCCTACACATAATAGTTCCTGTGACAAGCAGAAAGAAGAACTAACCTTGAATGATGGCATCTTAGGCATTCCTCCTCGAATACCAAGAAGCCCTCCGCTGCCGAAGCTGCGATTAAACCCACCAAAACCACTGTCCATGCCTCCATCTCGAGACCAAGAAGGTTTGGACTCGAAGAGTGAGGCTATTGTTGAACTCATGGCATTCTGACTTGTAGTTGGTGCTGGAGCTGGTGTTGGCTTAATTGTCTTTTCAACACTTGGTAAAGACTTTGTAGGCTGGAAAAGAAGACATCGATTTTGTCATGATTGTCACACCTAGTGAAAAATGATTCAGGCCAACATTTCCAGAGCTCCAGATAAGCTTTTGGTATAGTGGGTATTTTACCCATTCATTTTAAAATCATTGGGTATCAGTAATTCTATCTGGGTATTCAAATTTCTGTTACCCACTAGTATTTACACATGTGGGTATTTAAGGTAAATATTTAAAAACACTATTCATCTAGTCCCTGCAAACTGGTGTCATGTGGGTTCGAGAGCTTTACAGGACTCAAAAATACCATGATGCTTCCACAAGGAAGTGTGATGGCAAATGATCATGATGTAACTGACATCATGGAGTTAGGCAAGGTTGACGGAATGCCCGTTTATAATTTAAAAAAAAGTTGCTGATTTGCTAATCGAATACCCAGGGTTACTTCACAATATTTTGATGATATGATTTTGATAGTCTATGATGAGTGAGTGAGGGAGTTAGGTTACAAGCATGGACACAAGTTTATGAGTGAGAGAGTGGCTGTGTTAAATGCCACTTTTAACAGTATTCCAGTTAGTTGAGTTACATCATGGTGCGTCAGCTCAATGTGGGATGAAAGCCTGAATTGATGCAGGTCCCAGGCGTTTACCACTTTGATAAAAACACTTAACTTAATTGGAGCGAACCCGGATTCATGATACCAAGATTAACAGATCGGTTTATCAAACTGTCCATGTTCAAATGATAAAACCAAATCTGTCCATATTCTGCAAAACCTTTCCAGAATTCATTTTACAAGCAGAAGTTCTGAAATTCCTCACCTTCGTTTTCTCTGTTTCCTTGTCCCACCATGTTTCGAAGGACTTGAATGCTGAGCTGACAACCATCTTTTTACACAAGTCTTTTTGCATCACCTCTTTCAGTTCCTTCACAAAACTATTGAGCACCTTGGCAAACATGGTCTCATCAACAGGCAGCTTGTCCGCACTTTCTATAAAGTCTGAAGTGCCACTCACACCGTTCTGATAACCATAGTAGCTCTGATTGTATGTTGGATTAAACATATTGTTCGCATTGGGTGGGTAGGTGGCATAACCTGGCCACGGATTCATATTGGACAGACCCTGACCATACACAGATGCTGTTGGGTTGAAAGATGACAATGTGGATGCTGATTGCATGAAAGATGTGGAAGACCCTTGCTGGGCCTGGGTAGAGTTCGTTTGTGGGTTGATTTCAAGCTTCTGTTCACCACTGCTGATGGAGGAGAGAGACATTTTGTCATCGTCATCATCATCAACCTCCATATCACTTGTCTCTCCTGCAGGAGATGCCTGTTTCGCAGATTCTGCATTGACTTCTTTGGAAGCCGGGAACTTTCCTTGGGCGTCATTGTTTCGGAAGTTATGATTCCCCAACGGCCATGCATCTTGGTGAGCACCAGGTTTCGGCCATGTTCCTTCTGCAGGGGTTTGCTGATGTGAGTGAGGCGTTGACCAAGAGTTGTCTCCTGGGGTGTGATGGCTTGGTGTGGGCCATGAGTTGGTGTCTTGCGTTGATGCACCAGGAGTACCAGAGGAGGGATCCCAGCTGCGGTCACTAACTGGTGACAACTCACTTTTCTTAGTCTTTGCTGGTTCCGGTGGAGGCTCCTCGTCTACAAACCCTGTAAGGAGTTTCTGGATGCGAGAATCAAGACTCATTGTTCTCGGTTCCTCTTCAGCTTCTGGTGTCTTTGGTCTTACTGGTTTTTCTATTCTTTCTTTTGGCTTCTTTTCCTCTCTCTCCCTACCCTTGCCCCTTCTCTCGTGGTCTCTCTCCCTCTCATAATCTCTATCATGGTCTCTCTGGTCTCTCTCATAATCCCGGTCATAGTCTCTATGCCGGTCTCGGTCCCTGTCACGCCCTCTATGATGATCCCTATCCCTGTCCCGCTCACGATTCCGATCACGGTCTCTGTGATCCCGATCCCTGTCACGTTTCCAGTCTCTGTTTTTGTCCCGATCTCGATCCCGATCCCGATCCCGATCTTTGTCTCTCTCCCACTTTTTATCTTCCCCTCTCGGCTTCCCCCAACTCCTGCTGTTCTTATCATGGTAATCTGTTGAACTATGTGAAGGGAACGATTCCTCCTGAATCGGAGGCTGGGCTGTATGCAAAGGAGGCGGAGGTCTAGTCGGATCAAAATGAGGGATGCCTGGAAATCCATCTTGAACTGGTGGATGAGCTGGTGGATGTGCTGGTGGATGAGCTGGTGGATGAGCTGGTGGATGTGCTGGTGGATGATGATTCCCAAACGGAGGCTGAATGCCATAGTTAAAGTCCCCAGTCTGTGGAACATTGAAATGCTGAATGTCATACTTATTCCCAGTTGGGAAAGGGGTATGGTTATAAGCATCACCATAGTTTACTGAAGATGTGCCCGAAGCATAACCCAGGTCTGAATGGCTGGAGTAACTAACATCAGACTTAGGAACAGAGTGTCCGCCTTCACTGAACAGAGGATGGTCATACGGAGGCGGAGGTGGGTGGCGTGGAGGGAACTCGTTATCGCCTGGGTCATATGCGTCATGCTTCTTCGGGAAGTCATTTCGGAAGGGTTTATGACCATGACTCATCTGTTTATCCAGGCGTTGCTTGGGTTCCACCAGCATCTCTTCAATGATCCGAGATCGCTCCCGCCCTGAAGAAAATAAATAAAGTCTACAGAAACATTTTTGAGGCAACTAGTCACAAACTCGACTCTTAGCATAATTTCAGTCGATTTTAGTGTTATTAGGACTAATATTTCTCAGCTGACTAGACGAAACAGAATGTTACTAGACTTATGCTTCAGACTAGTGGCTAAAATCACAGTCTGTGAACATATTCATACATCCTACATTTTCACTTACAGAATAAAGTCCTGTATTCACAAGATCAATTAAAAGAAACAATGCAAAACAACTGTAAAAAAATAATTGACAGGACCAATTTTCAAACAAAGTCTTGACAAGTATCTCATAGATTAGTATGCAAAGTTTCATTCATGTAACTTCGGTAGTTTCTGAGAACACTTGTCCCCATTTCACAACAAGGGCCATAACTCTGTAATAATTAAATTTACAACACCAATTTTTCAATCTCATTAAAATCACATCTAAGTTCTCACTGCCGCTAAACAAAGATCTGAAGACATCCCATTAGGGGTCACGTCAGAACGACCTTTCGCGAACCAAGACCAACCACTGAAATGACTAACAAGAAGTTGACATCAGCCAATTAGAAAGCAGCTTTCTCGAGCTTTACGGCACTTGTTTCAACATGGCGACTTCTATTTCAGACAATGCTTGAAAAATATGTTGACAAGTTCTCGATTAATATTTTGAAAACTGAGCAATCGAACATTCCGGAATGTCTAAATATATGGCTGAGATTGTATGGCAGTGCTTCCCATGTACTGTGCAACGCCTCCTCTGTTCAAATGTTTATCCCCCGGAAGCGAGAGATAGATGATAATTTTGACGGAATCAGTTGTACGGGCTGTAACTGTCATTCGGAAAACCACGTGTTAACATTTTCGAGGTTGCATGATTAGCAAACACATTCCGACTGTCACTTTCATGATGTGGTAAGCGACGCTTTGCTTGGTCGGATGAAAGGTCGTTCCGACGTGACCCGTAATGGGATGTCCTCAGATCTTTGTTTGGCGAGGCAAGAACTAAGATCTGACTTTAATGAGATTGTCAATTTTTTAACTCATTTGAGATCATGACCAGTAAGACCAGAGTGCAAAATTTCATTCCTCTGACTAAAATATTTTTTTAGAAAATTTGTTACCCTTGAGAACCGGACGGACGAGCTCCATCCAATATCCCCCGTCCCACTTTGTGGCGGGGGATAATAACAAGGATGTTCGGGGTATAAAATACTAATTTTCCAGCAACAAAAGCCAATTACTAAAAGCATGTTACTGCATGTTTTTTTCATAATAATGAATCATCTTTTACTCTCAATCTGACTATCCAAAGTCTTCACAGCATTAGAAATTGGCACTTGTCTTGTAGTCCTTGAGAAACTGCCCAATAGATAAGGTATCATAAGGACTGGTAGAAATTTGCCCTTTTTAAGGGTTTTGCTATATGTTATCATTATAAGGACCAGTGGACTAAAACTATTAGTTTCCACTGCTGATTTAACATCTTAAAACCTTTCTATCACATGCTGCAAGTGATTATCAATTAATAATTAACTGGCTGCATATGTTACATGTCAAATTACTGATGTCATGTCTGATATGCAAGCTCTCTGTAAACACACTTCAGCTACTTTTCAGGATGAGCGGATTGCTTCAAACAAGGAGTAAATTTCAATAATATGAGTTATCTCCCTTGAGTTGAATGCTTGATTGAGTTAGCAATATCTGTCCCAGCTCAACCCTTAACAGTGTTTAAAGTGAGTGAGTGAGTATGGTTTTAGGCCGCTTTTAGCAATATTCCAGCAATATCACGGCGGGGGACACCAGAAATGGGCTTCACACATTGTACCCATGTCGGGAATCAAACCCGGGTCTTCGGCGTGACAAGCACCTTTAACCACGAGGCTACCCGACCGCCCCCCAGTGTTTAAAGTTCACAGTAAGAGACATCTCAGTCAACATAATATCAGCTCCTCTCTTTGCAAGAAGTCAATACAGATTCTTCAATGCAGGCATCTCCTGCGGGAGACAAGTGATATGGAGGCTGACAATTATGATGACAAAGTTTTCTGTACTACAGATACTGTAAACTGTTACCATGGTTACTCACCCATGGTGTCTATGACAACTGTGATGATGTTGCCCATTTGAGATGTCTGGTTCAGCTTCTCTGCACACGTGCGAGCTGCTTTGGAAGATGTAAACATGACCTGAAATAGGGAACTGCATTGTTCACATATGTCATCACCCATCCTTATTTGTGACGCATCTTGCGACAAGCATCAGGGTTGAGGAAGTTTTTATCAACAAAAAAATACACACTGAACGTAAATGATATAAACACAACCTACGACTTAGGGCTGGGACGGGTAACTCGGGTACCCGGGTCAGGTGGGTACCAAGTAGGACCCGGGTCCGGTGGGTACTGAGTAGAACCCAGGTACCCACAGGACTACCTGGACCCGTGTTTGTCACATGATTATATTGTTTAATGGCAAAAACTATCTAGAACTCTATGGTTACACTATAAGTGACAAATGTTCACATTTCTTTCTGACTTTGCACACATTCCTTCTGACTTTATAGGTTTGCATAATGATAAAACATCAGTCAACTTCAGTGTATGCACGACCAGATCGGTTTATACATGTATCTAAATTTCTCTTGACAGGAGTACTGTCAATCTATTCAGAATTGGACATGTTTTACCTATCTCTTGAGACCTACAGCGGGTACCCGGGTAGTGTCGGGTAATAGGGAGGTGGGTACCCGGGTAGTAAATTTGGCCTCGTCCCAGCCCTACTACGACTTGTACATCAGGTCATGTTATCGTAAACTTAAGTATTATTTGTGCCATAAGCATGTTAAGTAACATATTTATGTTTGAATACATCACCTTGCCAATGCCCATGTGCTTCTTTGTCCTGGGGTGGTAGTAGATTTTGCATTCTTCAATCTTCCCAAAGGTTTTGCACATGTTTTCCAGGAAGTCCTTATTGATGTTATCATTAAGATTTCTGAAAGTGATTTCCTTAGCAGGCGGTGTTCCAACATAGTAGCAGTCATACTGAAAAATACATTGTTATACGAGTGAGTGAGTTGTTGAATTCCGTTTTGAACAGTATTCCAGTTATGTTATGGAATGTCAGCTTGATCTGGAAGGGAAGCCTGAGGTGATGCAGGTCTCACACATTTACTATTTTGGTGAAATCCACGAGCACAGGTATGGTGCTGACAAACCAAGTAACAATGTGGGCGAACCAGGATTCAAACCCACTGTCATAGTTTTCTGGCGTGGCCAAGAGAGAACTCTGCAGTCAAATACTTTGAGCAGTATACATCACAGAAGTTTGAGTGTGTAGACAAGTTAGGCGGGTTTTGAAAGGATCAAATCAAATTAGCTGATACATCCGACTCCAGCCAAGTCGCCTTTTAACGAGGGAGTAAAATCCAAACAAAAAGCTGGGAGGTAGATGCAGGGATGAGAATGGATATTTTCCTTCTACAGCTGAAATTTCTTTGAAACAAATTTGTGGTCGCTAAAAATATGCAGAAATTAGCGGATCCGAGGAAGATTCTAACCCTTGAAGATGTTCTTATCTTTGTGAAACCTACAAGCACAGTGCTTACAGAGGATCATAATCTTGGCAAATCTCAGATATGAAACCAAGATCAGCAGTTCCTCAAATGACTAAGGGAAGTAACTCAGCACAGCATATTATGACACCTAGGACGATTTGGCCAACTGTACTCCCACCATAGTACAGTATGCAAATGAAAACAGATCAATCATTAAATAGAAGGCATCTTCAGGCATTCTAAATTATGTTCAGAAGATTAATACCTTAAACCTTGGTACTGGCAAATCTGCCACTTCCTTCCTACTCCATATCCTCTGGAATCGGGATCGGGGATCACGGAGCTCAATCGACCGATTTTCCTGGAATAAGATATAGGTCATAGTTATAAATGAATAAGATAACTTTAAGCTTTGACTCTAAAATATCCATAGCAGGGTTCAAACATAAAAAGTAACAAAAATATACAACTTCATATGGCAATGAGAGCAAACAGAATTTGTGAAACTGAAAAATCTTAAAAAATTGCCACCAGTATTTTTGTGTGGTTATATTCCAATTGGTTAGATAGATGTTGATATCACATGGAATAACAATGATAAACATAAACCAACGTTGCCAGTGATGTGGATGACTATTACTCAAAGTATCAGCAACCTTTATTTTAATGATGGTGAATAAACCTATGATGACCGTCAAATATTAAAGGCAGTAACAAGGTTATGAAACATCTAATGTGTTAAGGTGTATTCATTAATCCAAAGAAATGGAGATTCATAACAGCATCTGAAATATTGCATCATCTTCCTCACGGTGACAGACAACATGATGTACTTTTGTTTTCCTCTGTAGTTATAAACATAGTTTACAAATTCCATAGTTCAAGCATGAATCTAGCAAATAAGGAAGAACATTAAACCTACTCATTGAAGCATAAATCTTTTACCAATATGTAATATGAAAGATTAACTTTAGTAAAATAAAGGAACTGGGTGCTCTTTACTTCTTTTGCGTAGTATATTTCATGTTGATCATATCTGGATAAATTTAGAAATGTTTTCAAAATGATTATTACATGAATCATGCTAAAGTAGCAATATTCACAAACTTCCACATTTAGAAATGTTTTCAATCACATTGGATACAACTAAGCTTGAAAAAATTAAATGCTTAAATTTGCTCAAAACCAGGGTTTTCGATTGGTTCATTTTCTGGGACACTGACAAATTATTTTCTAAATTTTCTTAAAGATATTTGGAAAATAATGTGATGATATAGCCAAAATAGCCCTGTCCCAAGTTGTCAAAATCATGAAATTGTCCTCATACCATGGCTCAAGCAAAATCACTGCTGAAATCAAGCGAACCTCATTATGATAGACACATACAAAGCACTGAAACAGTAAGATGACTTTAACATATCAAATATGCAAAAATCAATTAATAATTGCCCCAAAAATGCCTTTAAAATCATCATATGAGAACAATAACAATCATATGTGTGACCACTGACTTAAGTTTTACACAAACCTTTATGAACAATCAGTTAATTGTCTTGTTTCTACATATATTCATAAACATGAAGAAAAATAACAGGAGAGGTAGGTCCTATGTAAATTGAATCATTATTCTTGAAAAGCAAGTACTGACAGTTGAAACAGATCCCTTAATCACATGTGCATAAAGAATGCTTAATGATGCTTCAGTAAATCTTAAACGTATCATTAGATGTTGGAGATCATTTGGTATTGTGCACAAGCAGGAAAACATTCTTCAGGCATATGAGGTAAGGTGAAATGGGGCTTAACGTCACACAGGCCACATAAACATGATGAAATAATGTTTCAAGGTTCAGAAATATATCTGCAGGTTTACTCATATACAAAACTCGGAGGCTGTGAACAGTAAATTTATTGATCAATGTATACCCTGAACAACTTGAACTTGTTAGAGTTGGTACACATGTGACCTTAATGAAACTTTCAGCCAAATAGATAGTTTGATGTAGATAATATATATGAGTGAGTGATTGAGTGAGTATGGTTTTATGACGCTTTTAGCAATATCATGGTGGGGGACACCAGAAATGTGCTTCACACATTGTACCCATGTCGGGAATCGAACCCGGGTCTTTGGTGTGACGAGCGAACACTTTAACGACTAGGCTACCCGACCTCCCCCGAATATATATGACAGATTGGTTATGGTAAAGTAAAGCTGACAAACATCTGCGAGATCAATGATCATATGGTTTGATTAATAGTCTAACTGAACACATTGGAGACATTACGGGTTTTAACAACCAAGACATGATGCATAAAAACATCATCAGCCCATTGCGCACAAAACCATCTTGATTCGCTGAGCGTAAGGTCTAAATCTGCAGTCTCGTCTGCTAGAGATGAGGGTTCCCTTAGACATTCTCACCCCAGGAATCACGCCATCAATTCTGTAGACTTTCTGTTGCTGACCTCGATGGAGAAAGGGGTCAATAACAAGTTTATAGTTTCTTTTCTTCTTGTCCAACTGATCGACTGGAAGCCCCCTCTGCAAGCCATTAAGGTCTGAAATGAGAAAGAGTTGAATTCATTAAGGAGATGCTGACATAACTCTACCAAATCGAACGCGATAACTGAGATACCGGCTTCTGTTCGTTTTCTTCACACACAAAATAGTGTTTTCTCTCACATGGATCTGGAGGTCTTCTGTCATGTTCCATTGTGTCCCGTGCCAATCTAAGAAGATTGGAATACAAAGTACGGTGGAAGATTCACTTGCATACAATTGTCGATCATTATATGTTACTAACTACTCGTCTAGACAGTTTGGAGCCAAAATATATCAATGACCAAACAACAACACATCCCTCTGTGTTGTATCAAAATTCCCTGCTATCCCACAATTCAACAGGCGGATGTAGTTGAAACCAAAAAAACGATAGTTTCGTTTTATTTATATGTTGTTCTCCATGTAGGTTATGTTTCAGGTGTACGATATACAGAACATATCTAAGATAGTAATTCAAAATAATAAAATGATTATTTTAGAATTAGTATCAAACGAAATACGAAACTAATCTTGCATTTGACTATATGTTTCGTTGTTAAATGATCACCCATTCGTTATATTCTTGCTGGAATCAACCAATCAGATCCAATTTTACACTCGCGTGTTGGACGCACGTGTGTAAGTTTTCATAGGGATGGATAAGAAGGCTAAATTGTTCACCAAACGTTTTGCCGAAAGATTGGCAAAAGGTAATGAATGAATCGCAACATAAAACGAAAACAGTTCCAGCGTCTATATTATTTTCCTGACTGGTAGTGTCTTTGCAACTGAATATTTAACTCATTTTCACTTGGCGAGCCTTTCAGCAATTCGTCAATTTCTGTCCTCGTCAAAATACGTGCACTAAGCCTAACTTGGCCACTGAAGGTAGACTGGTAGTAGTCGACGACATGAGCCTTGTCAGATCTGAAGCCTGCATCACTTCGGTCACATCAAGGTGACACACCGTGATAGAACTGAATAATTTTCAAATCCTACTCCTTTACTTTACCACTTTCAGTTTCACAACGTAAAACTGGAGTACGACATGGGACTATATATCTTAATATCTTTTAACAGAAATGAATACATGACACATTTTTATGAATAGCAACTTCTTTTATTCTTTGTACGACGTTTCAGAGCTATTTCTTTCTCCTTCGTCAGGTGAATGCCAAGTAAGTGCATAGAGTATTTTTATTTGTAAATCATGATGTTTACATAACATAAGGTTGGATGAATGTACAACGATAATAACATAATGAAAAAGCCAATGACATAAGATTAATGTACAACGATAACAATGTAATTATAAAGCCAATTGGGATAGGATTAAAAACAAACAATTCATGCTTTTTCCCAATTCTACCATTCCCAAAATAAATAATGGTCTCGGTTCTAATTCATTAGTCGTAACATAATATATTTGACAAATGAAATGTTTTGATGAAGTCCTACCCTCAAATATTTGTCTCACTGATTAAAGGGAAACAGCACTCCAATTTTGAAAGTATTAATGTGGATCAGCTTTTTATTCACAGATTCAAAATTTGCTTTTCATGGACTATTAAGTGACTCCTATCGGAGGGTTGGCGAATGAAAAGCTGTATGTCATAACAAAAGATGTACAATAAACGTCTGAAGCCAAACTGACTTGTGATTTTGTTGTTGATTGATTGATGCAAGACCCAGTTTATTGGGTCACTGATGCTAATTATCATCTGCTGATTACTCAAGTTAATTAAAACGGCGCCGACTAGACAATTGAGAATTTGAGTGTTTCCTTTAAAGGTAAACGGTAAAATACCATGAGAGGTACCTATCTATGATAAGCTGTATGTCTATATGACTTCATTTTCATCCTTGTGAATGAAGAAATATGAAGACATTAATTGTTATATTATAAATAAACAATTGATGCCAAGCAAATGCATGTTGGAAGTTAAAACATTTAATGAGAGTGGCGTTTTAGCATTGTGAACAAAATTTTAACCCCATGAAAGTGGAAACTTTACGAGTAACAATGACACAAAGATCCAGGGGACCAAAATGTAATCATTCACATTGTCATTGTCAAAACACATGTGTAACAACAGACTTGTACATCACTGCAAAGTCATAAGTCACTGGTTTAATACTAAGTATGTCCACCTCATGCATCAATGCAGGCAACAAAATGTCACCGCTCTGATGCTGTCAGCAGGAATCATGTCTTGATCAGACATCATTCCAGGTCCTGATGGTTGACTGGTGGTACTGGTCCCCTTCTGCCTTGCCTGTCAAATAATCCTACAAGTTTTTTATAGGGTTTATGTCAGGAGAACGTGCAGGCCATGACAAAACAAGGGGGCATGGGTGGCACAGTCGTCTAAGGCGCCGCGATTCGCTGTGCAAAGTTGCGTCCCTTGGGCACCCCAGAAACCTATGATGGTTCGAATCCCAGTTTGCCACGATTATGTTTCTAGGTTTGTCAGCACCATACCGTGCTCGTGGGTTTCACTGAAGTGGTAAACGTCTGAGACCTGCATCACTTCGGGCTTTCGTCCGACATTAAGCTGACAAGCCGCGATACAACTGGAATACTTTTAAAAACGGCGTTAAACCCAACTCACCCACTCACTCACTCACTCACCTTGGCAAAACTTTACTGTTTATGTTGGAAAGGAAGTCAAATACATGTCAGTCTTGCAGTTATCTTGCTGGGAGACTACACTGCGTGGTTGTAAAACTCCATCCTGATACCTCTGTGCAGTAATCCTTGAATGCTAACCAGCCTCTTCTTCAAGTCTCCACAGATTCTTCTCCAGACTATACACTACCGCCATCATTTCATTTCGGAGATATGGCGACTATGCTCATCACAAGAGGCGACTAACGGGATTGGGTGGTCAGGCTCGCTGACTTGGTTGATGCATGTCATTGTATCCAAATTGCATGGACTGATGCTCATGATATCAACCGCTGAATTGTCTGGTCCAGACTTGATTATTTACAGACCGCCATCATATAGCCGAATTATTGCTGAATGCGGCGTAAAACAAAAACAAACAAATATTTCGGAGATGAAGTCCACGGATGTAACGGTCCTCAACGGTCACACAGGGTCTCCCACTCTCAGGCCTGTCTTTTGTCAGACCTGTCTGTCATTAAAGTCACATGAACCTGGTTATGCAAACACGGATGCAGCCGAATGTTCTTGCCATGTCGGCATGTGTGGCTTCATCCGGGGCCATACCACCGCATCTCCCTGGATTTGCTGAGAAACAAGGCATATCTTCTGTTCTGAACATGTGCTGTCAGCAGCTGTTTACACATGTTTTGCACAACAACATTTTGCAAAATGCACTTTTAAAAAAAAAAATCCTTTCAATGCTTTATTTCATCAAATACATTTGATTGTATTTCACCATGATTTCATGTCTATGGTTTACTTTTTGAAGTAATAAAACAAAACAAAAAGGTCTTTTTTACTTTCTTTTGGACGTCAGTTTAGATAAACAAGAAGTTACAATTTCTTGCTACCACCTTATAACGTTTTCATGACTTTTAATTAATCTATTAATTCATATTTAAAACAAATGTTACTAAGAACAAGTGAATATGAATAAATTCTTGAAGTTGACTGAAGAGTTAAAATATGCATATGAATTGTAAATAACAATAACCTTTCAACCATTTGTAACCATGGTAACAATGATTTGGAAAGGTATCTTACCCTGAATTTCTATTTCAGGAAAGCCAAAGGAGGTCAAGAAAAAGGCTCTTCTTCTGAAGAGTATACAGAATATTTCAAAAGAATCTTTGAAAAGAGAACTAAAAGATAACATTGATTTGTATCTGAAATACTTGAACAAGTAAGTAAACACAAAATAAGAATCTGTAATCAAATTTGTTATTGCTGCACATTTGTCACATTTGAGCAAGACCCGTGAAGATCTGGGGTAGAATAGGTCTTCATCAACCCATGCTTGCCATAAAAGGTAACTATGCTTGTCATAAGAGGCGACTAACAGGATCGGGTGGTCAGGCTCGCAGACTTTGCTGAACGTGTCATTGATCCCAATTGTGTGGATCGATGCTTGTGATGTCAATCACTGGATTTTCTTGTCCAGACTCGATTATTTACAGACAGCCGTCACATAGCTGGAATATAGCTGAGTGCGGCGTTAAACAAACAAACAACTTTCAGCTTCCGTGCCAATTTACACTTATCAGAGGGGTAATCAAAGTGATCTAGACTAACAGTTTCTGACTTCATTGTTTGTGGAAACCTCGGTGGTTGAGTAGGTAAGATTGCTGACTTTGTGTGCTGGTTTTAGGTGCCTCACTCTGGGAGTGTGGGTTCGAATCCCAGATGGGACTCAATCCAAAAAGTACTAGAATTTGTACTTTGCTAAGAAAGTGTTATCCCAAATATAACATTTGTAAGATAATTTGTAGACGCATAATGACTTAAAAATACAGATTTTCTTGTTTTTATTTAATTTATGACATTGCAGATGTTTGAAACGGTTGTCTGTGGATACACCAAGTGGCAGCCAGGACTTCCAGCTGATTCAGACATGGGAAGACTGCCAGAGTGTTGTTGGTCTCACCAAGGAGGCCAGCAGGCATCTGTGTAACTATCATACTTTTTATTTGATTTACTTCCGAACATTTGTCACTTGTCCTAGGAACCCATGGGGATTCTGGGTAAAAATAGACTGCTTCCCTGGTCTGGTCGTAGAGCGTCCGCCCGGAGAGCGGAAGGTCCGGGGTTTGATCCCTGGCCGCGTCATACCAAAAGACGTTAAAAGATGGTACTTGTTGTTACCCTGTCTGGCGCTCGGCATTAAGGGGATAAAACAAGGACTGGTCGGCTTGGAGTCAGTATACTGTGTCTGAGTGGGGTATTCATGTTAAACTGCGGCATGGTATCTCAGTGAGCTAGCACTATAAATCGGCATCAGTCCAGACTATTACAAGCAGCCACACACACGTATGCACATGCATGCACGTTGCTATATAAGTGCAATAATCTTGGCCGCGATGTTAAACCCAATTTCACCTCACGTCACCACACCTTGGTAAAAATATAGGTCCCTGGCAACCTGGGCTTCTTGTAAGAGGCGACTTGATGGATCTGGTTACCTGTTAGGATCCGGGTTAGAATTGGTCTTATTCAACCCAAGCCTGTCATAAGTGGCGACTAACGGGTTCAGGTGGTCAGACTCGCTGACTTGGTTGATGCATGTCATCATATCCCAACTGCGTAGAGATCGATAAGCTTGATGTCAATCACTGGATTGTCAGGTCCAGACTCGATTATTTACCGACTGGCGTTAGACAACAAATACCAAATGGATCGGGTGGTCAGGCTTGCTGACTTGGTTGATGCATGTCATCGTATCCCAATTGCATAAATCGATGCTCATGATGTCATTCACAGGACCCGTGAAGATCCAGGGTAGAATAGATCTTGAGTAACCAAAGGTTGCCGTAAAGGGCGACTATGCTTGTCGTAAGAGGTGACTAAGGGGATCGGGTGGTCAGACTTGCTTGATGTATGTCATCGATCTCAATTGCAAGGATTGATGCTCATGATATCAATCACTGGATTGTCTTGTCCAGACTCGATTATTTAGAGACCTCCGTCATATAGCTGGAATATTGCTGAGTATGGTGTTAAACAAAAAACAAACACTTATCCTGGGGCTAATTTTGCACGTGTTCTAGCTCCGTGGAATCCCTGGCTTGAATTGGTCCACAGCAGTATATGATTGTTGTAAGAGGTGACACTATAGATCTGGTATTTTGAAGATTGTGTTTTGGTTTGGAACATTGCTTATAATGTTAATCATAGGTTAATCTGGTCCACTTCAATTATTCACAATTTGTCTTATTGTTGGAATGTTGCAGACTGCAGCGTTAAACAAGCCAATACAGTGTAAAAGGTTCTTTTTGTTTCCTTGTGTATGACATGACTGTGTTTTGACTTAAACTACCATGATATTAACTGTCATTCTATGATCAGGTACACAAGTGACTCTCAAGGAACTTGGAAGTGACGAGAAGGATTTTGTAACAATTTTACAGAAATATGAGGTAAGTTTTCTTTTTTTACAATGATGAAACATTTGACTTGTAAAGAAGTTCAGATTGATACGACCAGCAATTTGAAAATGATGAGCCAAGGGATCATTTTATTGTAATGGATGAAGAAGGAGAATCTGTTGAATCTGAAGGAGAATCAGCAAGCTTCAAAGGGGAATACTTTTGAGAAAATAGAAAATTAAATTGTACAGTCATGGGGGAAAATGGTAATTTGATACGAGGAGGTTGAATTCTGACATGAAGAAGTGGGACAATATAAGTTGTAGCCGGATGACGAGGGGTACAAGTGGTTTTATGATCCCGCGTTAGGTTTTATACCACGAGCACACAATTTTATCTTACCAACATGTTTAAATATGCTATTGTGAAAGATAAAAAAACAAATTCAAAATTGATAGAAAACAGCTGTTCGAGTGAGTGAGTGAGTGAGTGAGTGAGTGAGTACGGTTTTACGCCGCTTTTAGCAATATTCCAGCAATATCACGGCGGGGGACACCAGAAATGGGCTCACACATTGTACCCATGTCGGGAATCGAACCCGGGTCTTCGGCGTGACAAGCGAACGCTTTAACCACTAGGCTACTCGACCGCCCCTTGAGCTGAGGTTAACTTGTGCAATGTCATGTGACTTTTATTGACTCGGAAAAAGCCTGTGGCTCTTTGCTTCGAAGCAGGGTATGAGGGATTTATTCTCCCGCTGATAAATCCACATGCAGCCTTTTTTCTTTGTGGCGGGGTGAAAGGGATTTTTACTCCCTGTCAGAAATTTATTTCCCTCGCATGCGGGATACATCATATTTTATCATAACCACCAATGAGATCTCGACATTCTGACATGGAAGTATAATGGAACTTGTTCTTTTTAACTTTGACCAAGTGAAAAGATACAACCCATTTATTCTGCATATTACTTTTAATTGCATTTTAAAATACAAGTTGGTGTGAGAAATGAGAGTTTTGATGGAAATGTTGTTTCGTTACTGTGATGAAAGATTCTAGAAAAATATTTGCTCTTTCTATTTTGGGGTTCGCTCTGATAAAATATTGTAAAAATCTTTACTGTTGTTTTTATTTCTCGTCTGAGTCTGAGGTTCCATAAACCAACTTAAGAAAAAGTCTAATATCCTGGAAAATTGTATTATACCCTGGAAAAGACATGGAAATTTGTCCGGCGAATGGTGAATGAACCCTGATCTGGAATTACTCTTTAAGTAAGGATAAGATGTATCAACTTCTTTATTACAGTTAGGAGCGACGTTGATAACGGTGTTAGAACCTACACCGAAACGTCGCTCCTAACTGTAATAAAGAAGTTGATACATCTTATCCTTACTTAAAGAGTAATTCCAGATCAGGGTTCATTCACCATTCGCCGGACAAATTTCCATGTTCAATCATATATCTTATCCTTACTTTCTCCAACCTCCAAATGCCTCTCGGGGCCGGTCGGGTAGCCTAGTGGTTAAGGCGTTAGCTCGTCACGCCGAAGACCCGGGTTTGATTCCCGACATGGGTACAATGTGTGAAGCCCATTTCTGGTGTCCCCCGCCGTGATATTGCTAAAAGCGGCGTAAAACCATACTCACTCACTCACTCACTCCAAAGCCTCTCAAAGAATTTATGGAATAACTCTATAACTGTTTTTCAATCATTCATGGTTACCAGATGATTTGAGCTATGTTTCTGCATGACTGTCAGGATAAATGTGACATCAAGTCAAAGGAGATGGTACCAGCCTGGATGGCAACCACCAAGCACCTGCTGGCATCAACCCGGAACACCACCGTCATCACCAAACTCATGATGTACTATCTCAGGTACTTGGGCAGACTAATTATTTTTCCATGACACAAAGTTATGTAAAAGATGAAATATTAGTAATTCCATCTTACATGGAATCTTGCCGACAAAGTCATGTCATCACGTGGTTGTGTAAGTGCAATAATCTGCCGCGAGACGTTGAGGACCATTTTACCTTACAACTTACTAAATAAGGTCCAAACTGCTCACTTTGTCCTGAGCAGGGGGCATGGGTGGCCCAGTCGTCTAAGGCTTCAATTCACTATGCAGCGTTGCGTCGCTGCCTCCGTGGTCTTGTGGTAGAGCGGAAGGTCCGGGGTTTGATCCCCGGCCGCGTCATACCAAAAGACGTTAAAAGAAGGTACTTGTTGTTACCCTGTCTGGCGCTCGGCATTAAGGGGCTAAAACAAGGACTGGTTGGCTCGGAGTCAGTATACTGTGTCTGAGTGGGGTATTCATGTTAAACTGCGGTATGGTATCTCGGTGAACTAGTACTATAAATCGGCATCAGTCCGGACTAGTACAAGCAGCCACACAAACACACACACACACGTACGTGCATGCACATCGCTATATAAGTGCAATAATCTTGGACGCGACATTAAACCCAATTTCACCTCACCTCACCTCACCTCAGAGTTACATCCCTTGGGTACACCAGAAACCTATGATTGTTGGTTTCGAATCCTGGTTCGCCCAGATTATGTTTCTTGGTTTGTCAGCACCATACCAGTGCTCATGGGTTTCACCGAAGTGGTAAAAGTCTGAGACCTGCATTTCCTCCCACATTAAGCTGGCACGCCGTGATATAACTGGAATACTGTTAAAAGCAGCGTTAAACCCAACTCGCTCGCTCACTCACTCACTCACAATTGTCCTGAGCAACGTCACTGCTAAATATATGTCAATTAACTTTGACTGTTTGTAAAGAACACATCATTTTAGTTGTTGTTGACTATTAATGGTTGGGGGTGAAATTATACAGCAAGGTCGCGATACGCATATTTATGTCAAATTGTGTGGAAACTTCTTGACAGGCGCAAAAACTAGCTGTAGACACATGTTTGTAGCGGCTGTTTTTCTATTGTGAACTTGAAACACTGATACGACTCCTTTTGTGACATTTGACTGACAAAAGTGCTGGGGCCATTAAACAAGTAAGTAATTTATCTTTGAAAGTGTATCCTCTTGTATCTATACAGAAAAAGACTTTACATGTATCGTATCGTCGCTTGAAAACTCATGATGCAGTAATGGTCTCTCTGATTACAATTTCAGCAAACTACAGAGTGTTGCAGAAGACAGCATAGCTAATGGAGAAGAGTGAGTGAAAAGCTGGGGTTTTTTTGTTGTGTAAATTGTATTGTACCAGTACCTGTTTGAGTGTTCAACAGTCCTGACAGTAGTCATTATAATATTGGTATCACATGGTGTCTCACTAATGTGCAGGGGGGGTCGGGTAGCCTAGTGGTTACACCGTACCCTCGTCACGCGGAAGACCCGGGTTAAGTTCCCGACATGGGTACAATGTGTAAAGCCCATTTCTGGTGTCCCCCTCCGTGATATTGCTGGAATATTGCTAAAAAAGCGGTGTAAAACCATGCTCACTCACTCAATCACTCACTCACTCACTCACTCACTCACTCACTCACTCACTCACTCACTCACTCACTCACTCACTCACTCACTCACCCTCCTTTCACTCACTCACCCACCCACCCACCCTCCCTCCCTCCCTCACTCACTCACTCACTCACTCACTCAAAGTGTCATGAAATAATATCTTTTTCTTACATCACTATGTAGCCAGTATGATGTACAATATGATGGCTGAGAGACAAAGTTTGCAAACATAAACATAGGGATGATTCCCTTAATTAAAAGTATGTCTTTTAAGGTCCATATTTGTGACAATCCAAATGAATCCTAATAGCGCCAACAAGGAGGCGTGGCTTATTCAGCTAGGGCTGCAAGCTGATTGGGTGTTACCACCAGCCGGGGACAGAATACACCTGTCCTCTCTTTAGTTGTGGGGAGCCCTTTGAGTTTTTCACACAAAATTCCAAATTGCTTAAAAAATATAAAACACCACGCCCAAAGCAACATAATATTAAAAAACTAAAATATATTTTCAATCGTACCTTTGACTATTGACTTTAATTCAACCCTAAGTTTTATCTATCTTTGTCAAAATTGGAAGTAAACATGTTTAACAATTGGAAGACATTAATCATTTATCGTAACCTCAAAAGTTTTTAGTTAGCATCAGTAATGAAAGGTTCAGCAATGAGTTCTGAATCACTTGACCATTACCATGTAACATGTTTTCATTGGCTGGTACAATTGCTGGGAAAGAGTTATCTCCCTTACATCACCAGACCAATCTCCTATCCCTGTCACCCACTTGTCATGGTGTCAGAGGAAAGAAAGCTGTTTATTGAAACTCTTTCAAAACTGCATAAAACTGATGACCAGAACATTTTTGCAGATTATGAAGAGGTCAATTGATGATTGTTGGTTTTGAAGTATTTTTTTCTGAGAAAGTGCAACTGATGTACTGTGTTGAGTTTATAGTTGCTTTCTTGAATGTGAAGGGGGCACAAGTGGCCCAGTCGTCTAAGGCGCCGCAATTCGCTGTGCAGAGTTGCGTCCCTTGGGCACGCCAGAAACCTATGATTGTGGGTTCGAATCCCGGTTCACCCCAATTATGTTTCTAGGTTTGTCAGCACCATACCCGTGTTCGTGGGTTTCACCGAAATGGTAAATGTCTGAGACCTGCATCACTTCGGGCTTTTCTCCCACATTAAGCTGACACGCCGCGATATAACTGGAATACTGTTAAAAGCGGCGTTCAACCCAACTCACTCACTCACTCTTGAATGTGACTGCTGAAACAATGAAAGAACTGAAGAAAGTGTAGTTTTTTAACTCTGACTGGAAGTCTTTGAAAAGTAAATTATGATTTTAGCTGTGCAGAGTTGCGTCCCTTGGGCACTCCAGAAAATCTCTGATTTGTGGGTTCGAGTCCCAGTTCACTCTGATTGTGTTTCTAGGATTGTCAGTACCATATCGGTGCTAGTGGGTTCAACCCAGTGGTAAACGTCTGAGGCCTGCATCACTTTGGGCTTTCCCCCCACATTAAGCTGACATGTCACGATATAACTGGAATACTATTAAATAGTTGTTAAACCCAACTCACTCAATCATAATGGGTTAATGGTGAGGAAAACACCATTTCATTTAGTGTTAAACACAACTTGCTGATTAGATGTTTACTGTGTCAGAAGACAGCGCCTGTTATTTCTTTGACATACACATTTTATTTTGTCCTACGTTTAACTTTGACTTACATATTTCACTTTGATATATATATTTTATTTGACATACATATTTCACATTTTACTTTGACATACAAATTAACTTTGACAACTTACATATTTCACTTTGACAAATTATTTCACTTTGACTTACATTTTTCACTTTGACATACTTATTTTATTTGACATACATATTTCACATTTTACTTTGACATACATATTAACTTTGACTTACATATATCACTTTGACATACCTATTTCACTTTGACTTAAATATTTCACTTTGACACATCTATTTTATTTGACATACATATTTCACATTTTACTTTGACATACATATTAACTTTGACTTACATATTTCACTTTGACTTACATATTTCACTTTGACTTACATATTTTACTTTGACATACATATTAACTTTGACTTACATATTTCACTTTGACTTACATATTTCACATTTTACTTTGACATACATATTAACTTTGACAACTTACATATTTCACTTTGACTTAAATATTTCACTTTGACTTAAATACTTCACTTTGACTAGTCTACATATTTCACTTTGACTAGTCTTACATATTTCACTTTGACTTACATATTTCACTTTGACTAGTCTTACTTATTTTCACTTTGACTTACATATTTCACTTTGACTTACATATTTTACTTTGACTTACATATTTCACTTTGACTTACTTGTTTCACTTTGACTTACATATTTCACTTTGACTTACATATTTCACTTTGACTTAAATATTTCACTTTGACTTACTTGTTTCACTTTGACTTACATATTTCACTTTGACTTACATATTTCACTTTGACTAGACTTACATATTTCACTTTGACTAGTCTTACATATTTCACATTTTACTTTGACTTACATATTTCACTTTGACTTACTTGTTTCACTTTGACTTACATATTTCACTTTGACTTGCTTGTTTCACTTTGACTTACATATTTTACTTTGACATTTTTCTTTATTTCAGTGTGGAAAGCATCACCACAAATCTGAAGCAGTTCCTCCTAATGGCCTACTTGAGATCCGGCAAGGTATGAAACATTTAAACACAGACGGGAATTTGTCTGGCCCTGCTGAGAGGCCAATAATCAGCCCCAATTCTTCAGCAAATGGCAGTAAAAATGCCGACTTTATTGACTTGAACGTACTTGTCCCACTTCTTGTTATTGATGACAACATACTTATCCCACTGCTTGTTATTGATGACAACATACTTATCCCACTGCTTGTTATTGATGATAACATACTTATCCCACTGCTTGTTATTGATGAGAACGTACTTATCCCACTGCTTGTTATTGATGATAACATACTTATCCCACTGCTTGTTATTGATGATAACATACTTATCCCACTGCTTGTTATTGATGAGAACGTACTTATCCCACTGCTTGTTATTGATGAGAACATACTTATCCCACTGCTTGTTATTGATGAGAGCATACTTATCCCACTGCTTGTTATTGATGATAACATACTTATCCCACTGCTTGTTATTGATGAGAACATACTTATCCCACTGCTTGTTATTGATGATTACATACTTATCCCACTGCTTGTTATTGATGAGAGCATACTTATCCCACTGCTTGTTATTGATGATAACATACTTATCCCACTGCTTGTTATTGATGAGAACATACTTATCCCACTGCTTGTTATTGATGATAACATACTTATCCCACTGCTTGTTATTGATGAGAGCATACTTATCCCACTGCTTGTTATTGATGATAACATACTTATCCCACTGCTTGTTATTGATGAGAACATACTTATCCCACTGCTTGTTATTGATGATAACATACTTATCCTACTGCTTGTTATTGATGATAACATACTTATCCCACTGCTTGTTATTGATGAGAACATACTTATCCCACTGCTTGTTATTGATGATAACATACTTATCCCACTGCTTGTTATTGATGAGAACGTACTTATCCCACTGCTTGTTATTGATGATAACATACTTATCCCACTGCTTGTTATTGATGATAACATACTTATCCCACTGCTTGTTATTGATGAGAACGTACTTATCCCAGGTGCAAGCTAATGAACAAGAAGAATCTCCCAAGAGACAAGATGTCCTTGCATCTCTCCTGTCCATCTACATTGACCTGCTCGTGTACTTAAACAGGTGAGTTCATCATGTTGACCTGCTCGTGTATTTATACCGATGAGATCATCATGTTCACCTTCTCATGTACTTAAACCGGTGAGTTCACCATGTTGACCTTCTCGTGTACTTAAACCAGTGAGTTCATCATGTTGACCTGCTTGTGTACTTAAACAGGTAACATCTTCATGTTGACCTGCTCGTGTGCTTAGACAGGTGAGATCATCATGTTGACCTGCTCGTGTACTTAAACCGGTGAGTTCACCATGTTGACCTTCTCGTGTACTTAAACCGATGAGTTCATCATGTTGACCTGCTCGTGTACTTAAAAAGGTAACATCTTCATGTTGACCTGCTCGTGTACTTAAACCGGTGAGATCATCATGTTGACCTGCTCGTGTACTTAAACCGGTGAGATCATCATGTTGACCTGCTCGTGTACTTAAACCGGTGAGATCATCATGTTGACCTGCTCGTGTACTTAAACCGGTGAGATCATCATGTTGACCTGCTCGTGTACTTAAACCGGTGAGTTCACCATGTTGACCTGCTCGTGTACTTAAACAGGTAACATCTTCATGTTGACCTGCTCGTGTGCTTAGACAGGTGAGTTCACCATGTTGACCTTCTCGTGTACTTAAACCGGTGAGTTCATCATGTTGACCTGCTCGTGTACTTAAACCGGTGAGTTCATCATGTTGACCTGCTCGTGTACTTAAACCGGTGAGATCATCATGTTGACCTGCTCATGTGCTTAAACCGGTGAGATCATCATGTTGACCTCTCGTGTACTTAAACCGGTAACATCTTCATGTTGACCTGCTCGTGTACTTAAACCGGTGAGATCATCATGTTGACCTGCTCGTGTACTTAAACCGGTGAGATCATCATGTTGACCTGCTCGTGTGCTTAAACCGGTGAGATCACCATGTTGACCTGCTCGTGTACTTAAACCGGTGAGATCATCATGTTGACCTGCTCGTGTGCTTAAACCGGTGAGATCACCATGTTGACCTGCTCGTGTTCTTAAACCGGTGAGATCACCATGTTGACCTGCTCGTGTGCTTAAACCGGTGAGATCATCATGTTGACCTGCCCGTGTACTTAACCCGGTGAGTTCACCATGTTGACCTGCTCGTGTGCTTAAACCGGTGAGATCATCATGTTGAGCTGCTCGTGTACTTAAACCGGTGAGATCATCATGTTGACCTGCTCGTGTACTTAAACCGGTGAGTTCACCATGTTGACCTGCTCGTGTACTTAAACAGGTAACATCTTCATGTTGACCTGCTCGTGTGCTTAGACAGGTGAGTTCACCATGTTGACCTTCTCGTGTACTTAAACTGGTGAGTTCATCATGTTGACCTGCTCGTGTACTTAAACCAGTAACATCTTCATGTTGACCTGCTCGTGTACTTAAACCGGTGAGATCATCATGTTGACCTGCTCGTGTGCTTAAACCGGTGAGATCATCATGTTGACCTGCTCGTGTACTTAAACCGGTAACATCTTCATGTTGACCTGCTCGTGTACTTAAACCGGTGAGATCATCATGTTGACCTGCTCGTGTACTTAAACCGGTGAGATCATCATGTTGACCTGCTCGTGTGCTTAAACCGGTGAGATCACCATGTTGACCTGCTCGTGTACTTAAACCGGTGAGATCATCATGTTGACCTGCTCGTGTGCTTAAACCGGTGAGATCACCATGTTGACCTGCTCGTGTTCTTAAACCGGTGAGATCACCATGTTGACCTGCTCGTGTGCTTAAACCGGTGAGATCATCATGTTGACCTGCTCGTGTACTTAACCCGGTGAGTTCACCATGTTGACCTTCTCGTGTGCTTAAACCGGTGAGATCATCATGTTGAGCTGCTCGTGTACTTAAACCGGTGAGATCATCATGTTGACCTGCTCGTGTACTTAAACCGGTGAGTTCACCATGTTGACCTGCTCGTGTACTTAAACAGGTAACATCTTCATGTTGACCTGCTCGTGTGCTTAGACAGGTGAGTTCACCATGTTGACCTTCTCGTGTACTTAAACCGGTGAGTTCATCATGTTGACCTGCTCGTGTACTTAAACCGGTGAGATCACCATGTTGACCTGCTCGTGTGCTTAAACTGGTGAGATCATCATGTTGACCTGCTCGTGTACTTAACCCGGTTAGTTCACCATGTTGACTGGGATAGGAAGCTGTAGCTGCTTATCAGCTGTACTAAGTATTACTTACAGATGTAGGTTTGTGGCTTATGAACATAGTGCCTTATGGAGCCCTATTGACAGATAGACTCTACCTCATGGAGATCTGTTAATTCATATGTACAAAGTCAATTGGCGTTTATAAATATTTACATCGCCCGTGGGTCATGTTGATCTATATATATATATATATATATATATCCAGTGCTCAATGGAATAATATTTTAAATCATAAAGTGTGTCATTTATCTTGGGACCTGTAAAGATCCCCCGGGTTAGAATAGGTTTTCAGCAACCCATGCTTGCCGAAACAAACGACGAAGGTGACTCATGAGATCAGGTGGTCAGGCTCACTGACTTGGTTGATGCATGTCATTGTATCCCCATGGCGTAGATCGATGCTCATAATGTCAGTCACTGCATTGTCTGGTACAGACTCAATTATTTACAGACTGCTGTCATATAGCTGAAATATTTCTGAGTGCCGCATTAAACAACAAACAAACAATCATTGATCTTGGTATTGGGAGACATCAGCCTGAAGCCCAAAATTCAATTTACTTCATGGGTAAAGAATCTTTTATTTGAGAGAGAACTGCTCACTAACAGGTATTAATAATGTTTCATATTTTAATCTTGTTTTTGTTCTCTGTAAAGTTCATCTCTTGACACAATGGCTGTGTTCCTGGAAGTAATACAAACATTATCACCTGCAGGAATAATGAGAAGAAAAAGGTGTCAAGGGAGATAACTGGCTTGACGTCTTACCTACTTGGAGGAGATTTGCCTATGAGACTTGATGTTCTAATCCAGGTGTGCTCTCCAGTTGACTCAACCCATGTCCTCTCATTAGCCAGGTGAGAACTTGAACAGTTTGCAGATTATATGTCTGTGGTACTGTCTGCAGAACACATTGTCTTAAGTTTGCTTGGTTGAGAAAGGATGAGGAACATTTCCTGTGCAGAGTTGCGTCCCTTGGCCATGCCAGGATCCATTGATAAATTGTCCCTTATCTATGGTCTGTTAACACTGTACCCATGAGCATGTGTTTCAAGGTAGTTTTGAAGTGGAAAGGCCTGTGTTACTTTGATGTTTACTTCCTCAACTTCAGGCGTGATTGTGATGAATAGAGAGTGTTTCCATGAGCCGTCCTTGTTGTCTCCATGAGCTGTCCTTGTTGTCTCCATGAGCTGTCCTTGTTGTTTCCAGGTCATGTTTAGAGAAGATTCCAGAAATGATGGACCATGCCACATACCTCAGGGTCCTGCTCTGTCTCAGGAAGTTCCATGACAGCATCCCAGATATAATTGAGGTACGTATGGAGCCCTTGTTGAAAACAGATCTTCAGATCACTCATGACTTCGGTGCTCTTGCTGCCAAAGAAGAGAGTTATTTGCTTTGATCCCCCATTTATTTTCATGCATATGCGGGGCCGGTTGGGTAGCCTAGTGGTTAAAGTGTTCACACGTCACACCGAAGACCAGGGTTCGATTCCCGACATGGGTACAATGTGTGAAGCCCATTCCTGGTGTTCCCTGCCATGATATTGCTGGAATATTGCTGGAATATTGCTAAAAGCGGAGTAAAACCTCACTCACTCACTCATGCATATGCAGTATATTCGCGAACCGGGTTCTATGAAAGTAGAGGGCGGTCGGGTAGCCTCGTGGTTAAAGTGTTCGCTCTTTACACCGAAGACCCAGGTTCGATTCCCGACATGGGTACAATGTGTGAAGCCCATTTCTGGTGTCCCCCACCGTGATATTGCTGGAATATTGCTAAAAGCGGCATAAAACGTCACTCACTCACTCACTCACTCAGAAGGACTGAACAGTCTTCTAGCTAATGTATTCAGTCCAGGATAAGTAGGTTGTAAGTAGACATGAGAAATACCTGTCATGTTTTTGAAAAGACAAGAAACATTGTGAAATGTGTGCTTTCTTGACCCCAGTAATGCTTTTATCTGGGGGGTGACTTAATGGATCAGTTGGTCAGACTCTGTGACTCAGTTGATAGCTTGTCGGCTTGTCATCAATGATATGGATTGTTGCTCATATCAATCACTGAATTGTCTGGTCCAGTCACATAGCTGGAATATTGCTAAGGGTGGTGTTAAAGAAGAAAGCTTTTTTATTTTACTTGACATTATAAGAACACTCAAATATTTTGTGTTCCCTGGGACCAATAGGATCTTATTCCCTGATCAAAAGATCATAATTTATCGATCAAAAGACCAGATTTACTAGTCAGGCAATACACGGTAGTTGCTGAAAGAGCAGTCGAATATGCAGTCTGACGTTTCCAGTTCTGTAGTATTGAGACAACCTCCGTCGTCGTGTCGATGAAGTGCTGGCTCAGAGAGTGGGATGTAGATGGTTTGATCCCTGACCTTATGATACCAAAAGGTGTTAAAAGTCGATACTTGTTGTTACCCTGCCTCTGCGACATGGCATCTCGGTATTATAGCTCTATAAAACTGGCATTAGTCTGGTTTAGTATAAACAGCCACCACTCTCACTCTCACTTGGGGGCGGTCGGGTAGCCTAGTGGTTAAAGCGTTCGCTCGTCACGCCGAAGACCAGGGTTCGATTCCCGACATGGGTACAATGTGTGAAGCCCATTTCTGGTGTCCCCCCACCGTAATATTGATGGAATATTGCTAAAAGGGGCGTCAAACCATACCCACTCACTTATGAAAGTGCCATAATCTCGAACGTGACTTTAAACCCCATTTCGCCCCATCTCACTTGAAATATTTGACTAAACACAGTTTTGACTAATTCTGAAAGAGATCAATTTCATGCTGTTCAGCATATTCTCATAGCAACAGCACAGATAGTTATTTGACTCCAGTGTTTTTGTTCTGATGGGCTACCAGTGTTTATTGTTCAGCTTCGTCAACCGTATTTTGTACTTATGTTTTCGAAATAGAATCTATTATCTGCCTTACCATCTTTTCTAATTGCTACAGAACAGCTGGAAGCTAAGAGCTCCCCTTGGCTTCATTGACTGGCTGCGAGACAGGAGTCCCGAGGCCATGACGCAGATCCCGGATGATATCCGCTTCAAGGGGAGACAGATCACTCGCTTCCTTCTCACAAACCTCTCAGAAGACCTGCAGACTGTTCTTGAAGATGTAAGGATGTTTCTTCTTGCTAAATATCCACCCAAACAAATCATGTTTACCACAAGGGGGTCCCAAGTGCCCAATTCTTGTGATAACGACCTGAAAGGTGGACCTAGTGGGCACAATGGCTGGTTGTTGTTGATAGTGTTTGGATTGGGTTACTACTTGGTCTGACCAACAATTTGTACAGCTGCAAAAACAAGATATCTTTTTATTTAAAACTATGAGCCTAAGTATACTTGGGGGGCACGGGTGGCCCAGTCGTCTAAGGCACCGCGATTTGCTGTGCAGAGTTGCGTCCCTTTGGCATGCCAGAAACCTATGATTGTCGGTTCGAATCCCGGTTCGCCCCGATTATGTTTCTTGGTTTGTCAGCACCATACCCGTGCTTGTGGGTTTGCATCACTTCAGGCTTTCCTCCCACATTAAGCTGAAACGCTGCGATATAACTGGAATACTGTTAAAAGCGGCATTAAACCCAACTCACTCACTCACCTAAGTACACTTGAAACAATGTATTTTTTGTTGTAGACATTGTTGATGTTTGTTAACAGTTTGAAGCATAATTATTACTTTCAAGCATTTTCGCAGACAAATATGTGTTTGTAACAAATTTTATATTTGGGATAACCCTTTTTTTAGTAAAGTACAGATTCTCATACTTTTTGGGGGTTGAGTCCCATCCGGATTCAACCCACACTGAGTGAGGCACCTAATCGTCAGCACACAGTCAGCAGTCTAACCCACTCAGCCACCGAGGCTCCCATACAACGACAACTGGTAGTCTAGATCACGTGCTTTGTGTACCCCATCACAATTGACACTTGTCAGAGGGGTACACAAAGTTAGATTGCTGAGAATCTGTATTTTACTAAGAAAGTGTTATCCCAAATATAACATTTGTTATGTTTGACCACTTTTTAAATGGCATTGGGGGCACGGGTGACCCAGTCGTCTAAGGCGCCGCGATTCGCTGTGCAGAGTTGTGTCCCTTGGGCACACCAGAAACCTATGATTGTGGGTTCTAATCCCGGTTCGCCCTGATTTGTCAGCACCATACCCGTGCTCGTGGGTTTCACCGAAGTGGTAAACGTCGGACACCTGCATCACTTCGGGCTTTCCTCGCACATTAAGCTGACAAGCTGCGATATAACTGGAATACTGTTAAACGAGGTGTTAAACCCAACTCACTCACTCACTAAATGGCATTGTGTGTTCAAATATGTGTTTGGTAAAATAGCAGGCTCTCCTTTGTACATTGTCTTGGCGTGCACCAGAAAAGGAAATTGGGCTTACCGTATATCGCTGTGTATAAGGCGACCCCACGTATAAGACGACCCCCCTGTACACGCCTTAAAAATCAACCCAAAATCCTATACTCCGTGTATAAGGCGACCGGGAATGAAACATATCACAAGTCTGACTGATATAGAAGATTAACGTGCGCTTTCCGACTGTAGCGTATTTCGCACACGGACATCAGAAGTTAGTTAGTTACTTTGGAGATTTAACGTGCACTTTCCGACTGATGCGTATTTCGCACACATCACAAGTGCGCACACAAACCTTATATATGCAATAAAAATATGTTTATCTTGCGTTGTTTTTTTTCTACAACGATAGGTCGCGTGTGTAACTCCAGCACACGTCGCCATTTTGTGTTTACACGGTACGACACCAAATTGGTGCCCGTAAAATAAAATTCATTTATGAAGTAATAACATATAAGAGACAATGGTGAGTAATTTAATCGCCAATTAACTATGTTGTAACTAACTAGGCTTATGTTTGCTTCACATTCAGCGTGTTTATTCCACAATCACTTGTACACACCGTCTCCAACACTTGTTAATACAACTGTAAAAACAGCGGGAATTGATTTCAGCTTCACCGGTTATCACATGTTAGGTCACATGTGCAATATGCAAATGCTTACCGGTACTTCCGGCTCTCTACTCGCGGATGTTGATTGTTTTACCGTGTCAGGTGGTTTGACAATCTGCATCGAGGCGAGGGTCATTTCAACTTTATTTGCAGAAATTATTAAACTTTATTCAAGGAAAAGAGATACAAATCATGTTTATGTATGGAAATAGTTATTGGAACAGTTATTGAGGACGAAATGCGAAGTTTTATTGTCAAATGCTGGGCTGGCTATCGGACGCCGGTTGACATCGCCAGTGGGAAAAAATGTGAGATCTTCGACTCCGTGTATAAGACGACCCCCCTTCTTAGCCCCCTTATTTTAGGTACGAAAAACTCGCCTTATACACAGCGATATACGGTATGTTTTGTATGAACCAATTCAAACCCTTATCTCACGTACTATGTCCATTCTCCAGGTACTGACAGACAGGCACGCTGTCAGTGCATTGATGCCTGGGGATGACCTACAGGATGAGGATGGTGATGGGGACCAGTGTGAGACTGAGGCGAAGCAGCAACTCTTTGTCATGGACAGAGGGAGGACAACTGATGATCCGGTGAGCTTCAGACTTCATGCAGGGGGTGTGATCGATTGGTTAATGGGCTCACTTGCCCTACGGGAATTCCGGGTCAGAATATGTCCCAGAATCTCATGCTTGTCTCTTCATGCAGGGGATGGGGTCGAGTGGTTAATGGGCTCACTTGCCCTGCAGGAATTCCGGGTCAGAATATGTCCCAGAATCTCATGATTGTCTCTTTATGCAGGGGTTAATGGGCTCACTTGCCGTCTGGGAATTCTGGGTCAGAATATGTCCCAGAATCTCATGCTTGTCGCCTCAAGATAGGGGTGGGGGTCGAGTGGTTAATGGGCTCACTTGCCCTGTAGGTTAGAATAGGTCTTCAGCAACACATGCTTGCCACAAAGGGTGACAACTGATGGGATCTGGCTCACTGGTTAATGCATATTATCTTATCCCAGTGGCGTGGATCGATGCTCATGAAGTTAATCACTTGTCTGGTCCAGACTTGATTATTTTACAGACCGCCATCATATAGCTGGAATATTGCTGAGTGCGGCGTTAAACAACAAACAAAGAAACATTTGTCCTGTGGGAATTCTTGATCAGAATATATCCCCAGAAACTCATCCTTGTCATATCAGCTGACGGATGGTCAGACTCTGATGGCTGCCCCAATAGAGTTGATGTTTGCAATCTGTTTCATTCATAGGCTGGAAATATAACAACGGACATTATTACATTACATGATATATTTACCCAGCAGTAAATGGGTACCCAGTAGGATGAGATTGTATTGTGACTGCCAACTTTCAACCTCCCCACCAACAGCTTGGGTTGTATACTCCCCAGGGAGCTGAGAATGTAAATCGAGTGCACATTGATCCATTGCCAGGTGTAATAATGTTGAGCTTTATGCAAGCTTTTTGGTGTGGATTTGGCGCATTATAAATATGCAAGTTATTAATGTTATTATGTAAATTAGATTATTCAGTGGGGGCAGTACAACTGAGATAAATGTTTTTTTTGTTTTTATTGGCTCTGATTTTATTGATGGGCATAACCTCAATTTATTCATTTACTTTATAGGAATCTATCAATTTATCTTCCAGAAGTCAAAACAGAAGTCGGATGGGAAGCATGAAAAGAATTCAAAATCATCCACTGACCTTGACCTTGAAGAAATGGATGTTGAGACTGAAGATCTCGAAACTTCGCAAACTGTTGACAATACAGCTGAAGTTGAGGTCATAGATCTGTCAAATGTCCTCAGTGCTATATACGACAGCAAACCAGACCAGTGTATCGGAACAGAATATGTGTCCACTTCGTCACAAGATTCCCCAAGGAAGAAGTCAGGGCCAGGGTTTAGACTGCCATCTGCTAAGGCAAGGAAGGGCTCCAAGCCCGAAAAGTTGAACCAAATTGATGAGATTGTACTGGGCACTTCTGATGCTGATGAAGCAAAGGATGTGATGGTCCCCAACCTTGCTGCTCACCTCAAGCATGCCGAGCAGGTAGTTCCTGATATTTTCATTGTGGATGATGCAGAGGTTGAGAAAGCAGAATCTTTCACACAGATGAAAACGAAGGGAAAGAAAGGCATGAAAATGTCAAACACTTCACCAGAAATTATTGAAAGCGAATCAGACGATTTCACTTTGGTCCAGATGTTATCTCCTCCCAGAATGTCCAAGGTTGATAATTTAACTAACAGTGAGGTTAAGAAGAAGAATGTAGAACATGTTCCTGGGAAAGGAAAAAAGCGTTTGAGTTCAAATTCATCTCTTGAAGATAATGTCTTTTCTCCAAAGAGAAGTCCTGGTGCTAAAGTTAACGGAAAATCTCCCAGTATGTTGAAAGGGAACAGTAGAGGACTTCAGTCCCCAGGCTCTGTGATCGAGATAGAAGATACAGATTCAGCAGTTGACACTGATAAAGATAAGGATCTGCTAGGCAGTCCAAAATCCAGCTTGTCTCGCCGGAAAGCTTCGGGTCCCATAACAAGGCATGTTCTGAAGGAGACCAGTGACTCTGATAAGGAACAAATGAGGATGAAGACAAGAGATTCTGGTTCGAGGAAACCAACACCTGATGTCGTGGAGCAGGATGGCAATGCTAGTGGGGCTGGGTTGAGATCTCGCAGACGTTCGGCCAACAGTGCATCAGAGTCTGAGTTGGCTGGTGGGGCACCAGAGCAGCAGATGTCTTCCCCGAAACGTGATAAACCAAACTCCCCAATCAAAGGTTCTGTCTCTAGTCCAAGTTGGGGTTCGAAGAAAGTTCCAGAGTCAAAGATTCTTTCCCCATTCATTAAACCAAGCTCAACTGTCCGTGATGCAATGACTAGTGCTAGGAGTTCAAAGAAAACTTCTGATGAGGATGATGCAAGTCCATTAAAAAGTCCTCGGGGGTCCAAGAAGAATTCTGACAAAAATGTTGCAAGTCCAGTGAGAAGCCAACATGGCTCAAAAAATTTTGATGAGGATGTTACAAGTCCCCTGAGAAGTCCTCAGGGGTCCAAGAAGAATTCAGATACAGGAGGTGCAAATCGATTGAGAAGCCCACAGGGTCTAATAAAGGATTCAAGTGAGAAGGTTGCTAGTCCAGTGAGAAACCCAAAGCGACGTAGCTCAACGTCGCTGTCAGTTGAGGAAACTGAAGAGTTGACAGAGACCCCAAAAAGTCCAAGAAAGAAACATGGACGTGAATCGTCTGCTATTCCCAGAGATCAAACTCCCTGTTTAGAAACAAATATTCCTATGTCCCCTGGAAAATCTGAAGGTAGTAAAAGTCCAGCAAAACCACAATTAATGAGTCCTGTGAAAGAATCATCACCTGTAAAGAAGAAGGCAGCACCTGTAGATGAATCTGTCATCCTGAAAACCCCAAGTCGTACACCACGTAGGAAGAGTGCCATGTCTGTTCAGCAGATGTCAAGTGTCGCCAAGGAGGCCAAAGTTATGGACATAAGCTCCACACAAGATGAGGATGATATGCGTAAATCTTCACGGAAAAGGAGATCATCGCGATTTGGAACTGATGACGAAGATGCTGCTCCAAAAGTCAAAACTCCAAGGAGAGGAAAGAAAGGATCAAAATCGGATGAGAGTCATGGCTCGGAGTCTGGTGACGTATTATCTTCCCCTGAAAGAGGGAGTGGTAAAGCATCTTCTACTTCACTAGACCGAGGGACAGATGGCGGCTCAAAGACAAAAGTTAAGGAAAACACTCAGGCCACGCCAGGCAGAGATACCAAACTTAAATATTCGTCTGACCAGGACACTGAAGCGAGATCTCCAAAGAGTGGGAAAAAACTGAAGAAGTCAGTGTCTGCTTCAGATGGTAGTGAGACAAACACACCAGAGTTATCGGCCAGTATAAAGGGAAAAACCAACTCGAGTGCTACACCTGGTAAGAACACTGTGGGACAGACCCCCACAAAAGGGGATGCTAAAACTCCAAGGAGAAGTTCAAGGTCAGCATTTGTAGACTCCCCTATGGTCACAAGGTCAGGGAGGAAGGTGAAGATGCCAAAGAAAGGGAAGAGAACTCCAGATACCACACCTTCATCAAAGCTAATGACAACTATTAGGGAGGACGGGGAAGATGGAGAGGTGGTCTTCAACATGACACCATCAAAACAGGTAATCAGCAACCTTCTAATAATGCGTTTGAATTTAGTCTCAGGGTTCGAAAAGCTAAGACGTGTTCGAAATGGTTATTTGCTTATTACAAGCAATGTATGAGTAACACTGCAATATTATGGCCAGTTGTATCACTCGGGCGGTCGGGTAGCCGAGTGGTCAAAGCGTTCACTCGTCATGCCGAAGACACAGGTTTCGATTCCAGACATGGGTACAATGTGTGAAGCCCATTTCTGGTGTCCCCCACCATGATATTGCTGGAATATTGCTAAAAGCGGCGTAAAACCATTCTCACTAACTCAATCACTCACTCACTCCCTCCTGTATCACTAATGGGAGCTGAGGTGCCTCCTTGGACTAGTGGATAGGGCATCTGCTGGAAAGCTGAAGGTCGGTTGGATCCCCTGGCCACGTCATGCTAAAAGACGTTGAACGATGTTCCTACTTGCTACCCTGCCTGGAGCCTGGTGCTCGGCATTAACGGGGAAAAACAAGTACAGGTTGGCTCATAAAACTGGTGTTGGTTGATGCATGTCATCGTATCCCAATTGCGTGGATCGATGCTCATGATGTCAATCACTGGACTGTCTGGTCCAGACTTGCTTATTTCCAGACCGCCATCATTTAGCTGGAACACTGCTGAGTGCGGCGTTAAACAACAAACAACCAAACTGTTGTGGTTAGAAATGTTGTTTGTTCTAAAGGTTCGCATAGCCAAGTGAAACAGTCACCACCCCATGTTCTTTAATGCCACTTTATGTTTACAGAGGAAAGGTGGAAGTGTGTCCACACCGTTTCGGTGAGTACAGTATTTATACCACAGGGTTGCACAGGCTTTGAAGGCCTAAATATGGTAGTCCGACCTCGAAAAGGCCTTCCATTTGGCAAGCTTTATTAAATCTGGGGTTAAATAACATCACTATTTTTTTCTCTCATGTGTGACATCAGGAGTTACTGATCATAATAGTCCCGTTTCCATCTTCATGATCAAAATTGCATAACGGAATGAACATTCGGTTCGTAAACATGACAACTGCTGTGTATATTTCGGTCGATTACAGAATTTGCAAAGCATAACTACCATAAACTTGGTGTCGACATATATTTTCCAAATCTTTTCATCAACTTACTGAAGTGATTTGATGCACTTCACAAGGTAAAACCCATTTATTTACAATAGTGATCTTGATTATTGGCGCTGCCATTTGTTTGAAGCAAATGCAAGTGATATGAGAGGTTTAATATGATCTGTCACTGTGGACCCGTGAAGATTCCGGGGTAGTATAGGTCTTCAGCAACCCATGCTTGCCGTAAAAGGCAACTAAGCTTGTCATAAAAGGCAACTAACGGGATCGGGTGGTTAGGCTCGCTGACTTGGTTGATGCATGTCATCGATCCCAATTGCGTGGATCGATGCTCATGATGTCAATCACTGGATTGTCTGGTCCAGACGCGATTATTTACAGACCGCCGTCATATAGCTGGAATATTGCTGAGTGCGGCGTTAAACAACAAACAAACAAACAAACTGAGAGGGAGATAGAAGGGACAAAACTCGTTAAAGCCACTGGTGGCCCCAGGATCAAGACTTTTATAGTTGGGTAACTCCCTTGTCTCGGGAAGATAGATATCATGTAGCCAAATATTGGTCTATAAGTTTGTGGATAAGTAATATTGAAATACTGGTGTGAGGACTTGAATATTTATGTAGATAAGTGTAATTGACAATGAAAGAAAGTAGGAACAATAAACTTGTTTGAAGGAACACAGTGCTGTTAAGCCTTTAAAAGCATGATCTTTGCCTATGAAAAGTAAATGGATTCAGGACTTTTTTAGGAGCAATGTACTTGAATATTCCAAGTAACACACTAACTTTATAACGGCAGTACATGACACTGTGGATTCTGCCAGAACGAAGAGTTTCATAAATACTAAGATCTGTACGAAATAGCAGAAATAACTTAAGTTGTATTCACAACATTCATGTCTCAATACCCAGGGCACTAGAACCATTTTTGATTACCCCAGGGCACTGGAACCATTTTTAATTACCCATGGCACTGGAACCATTTTTAATTACCCCAGGGCACTGAACCATTTTTAACTACCCCATGGCATTGGAGCCATTTTAATTACCCCGGGGCACTGGAACCATTTTTAATTACCCCAGGGAACTGGAACCATTTTAATTACCCCAAGGCACTCGAATCATTTTAATTATCCCGGGCATTGGAACTATTTTTAATTACCCCAGGGCACTGGAACTTTTTTATGGGCGCCTTTGGCATGTAACTGTACAGAGTGGTCTGTGTTATGACTAAAATACTTGCAAAAATGTTTTTCGAAACTCACTCACTCCAAATATCTTGATCACATTTATTTTTGGGGTGGTCAGGTAGCCTAGACCAAGGTTGGATTCCCGACATTGGTACAATGTGTGAAGCCCATTTCTGGTGTCCCCCACCGTGATATTGCTGGAATATTGCTCTCACTCACTCACTCACTCACTCACTCACTCACTCACTCACTCACTCACTCACTCACTCACTCACTCACTCACTCACTCACTCACTCACTCACTCACTCACTCACTCACTCACTCACTCACTCACTCACTCACTCACTCACTCACTCACTCACTCACTCACTCACTCACTCACTCACTCACTCACTCACTCACTCACTCACTCACTCACTCACTCACTCACTCACTCACTCACTCACTCACTCACTCACCCACTCACTCACTCACTCACATTTATTTTGGTTAATTAGTTATGGTTTCTATTTTCAGCTCTGGTCGCAAGAAGACTGATGCATGAGTGATAACTCTACAAAGTCAGCATCCAAGGGTCTTTCATTACATAAAATACAGCTTGTCTCTTTTGTTTAGAAATATTTAAGAGTAACTTATAATGTCAATTTAGTCACGAATAATCAGTTACCTGTGTAATGTAATTGCAGATGTTTTGTCTCTTGGTTAACTGGTTTACTAATGGGACCAGGGGTCAGGCTCGGGGACTTGTTTGATGCGTGTCATCGTTTCCAAATTTCATAGATTGGTTCTTATAATGTCAATCACTGGATTGTCTGGTCCAGACGATTATTTACAGCTGTTGTCATTCAACTGGAATATTGCTGACTGCTCAGTTAAACAAACACAAAGAGATTTCCAATATGTTTTATCTTGAAACAAGTCAGTGCTGTAGCCAACAGGGGGGGGGGGGGGGGGGGGGGGGGGGCAGTTGCAACTAGTTGGTAACTACGGCCTTGCAAGTGGTCTGAAAATGTTGCCATGTTAGTAAAGCAGCTCTACCAGTCTACCAGTTTCTGCTTCATATGCATAATACATGTCCCATATTTGCTGTAATAAGCTGCCCCTGGTGCTTAGAAAATTGATGAAGAATGGTGCTTATTAAAAGCACACATGACAAGTTAAAATTGCATTTAGAGATCGAGGGGTTTAGTTCAGAAGTTGATGAAGCTAAAACCGTTTTATAATAGTTATTATAGACAATTATAGACCCCTCTGTGCTGGTGGTTTCTGTATAAATAATGTGTGATAAATGCAAATCTTCTACAAATTTTGGTCTTATACAGAGGTGCTTATATGGATTACTAACAGATTTATCTAAAAGTTTGCCGGGGGCGTTTACTGGAGCAGGGCATGGATTATCTTGAATATGGTAATTTGTGTAAGTTTGAGATGTAGAATTACCACCCTTTCCTGAATGAAGTAAGGAGCTTGAAGATGGAATAAAAAATAAAAAACAGGAATGTGTTTGATATCCAATATTTGTATTATTTGGCTAATCTTCAAAACATATGATGTTTGCATTCAGCTGTTAAGAACAAAAATACATTTGATCTGTAAACCAGTTAATAAGAATCACAAGAGTCTGTAACTGGTCAACATTTATGGTAAATATCAAGATCAGTGTCAAGACTGTCTATGTGTTGACAAAACATCAATATTATCCAGGGTTTTTACAACTGTTTTTTCCAGTTATATTTGCAATTGTCTGTGCAATGATGTGTTGTATTATGAAACGTGTAAAACAAAGGTTTACAGTTTCAACGATAAGTAATTGTGATACAGGGTTGGACATAAATCACACAGAAAGTCAACATTAGAACTGCGCCGAATCTGATCCATGATAACAGGGCTACATGTATTATCACCCTGAACAATGGATATGTATGCACTCAATTTTCTTTCTCAGAGCTGCCTGTGAGGCAGAAGCACGGGTGGCCCAGTCGTCTAAGGCGCCTCAATTCGCTGTGGGGGCACGGGTGGCCCAGTCGTCTAAGGCGCCTCAATTCGCTGTGGGGGCACGGGTGGCCCAGTCGTCTAAGGCGCCTCAATTTGCTGTGGGGGGACGGGTGGCCCAGTCGTCTAAGGCGCCTCAATTCGCTGTGGGGGCACGGGTGGCCCAGTCGTCTAAGGCGCCTCAATTCGCTGTGGGGGCACGGGTGGCCCAGTCGTCTAAGGCGCCTCAATTTGCTGTGGGGGCACGGGTGGCCCAGTCGTCTAAGGCGCCTCAATTTGCTGTGGGGGGACGGGTGGCCAAGTCGTCTAAGGCGCCTCAATTCGCTGTGGGGGCACGGGTGGCCCAGTCGTCTAAGGCGCCTCAATTCGCTGTGGGGGCACAGGTGGCCCAGTCGTCTAATGCGCCTCAAATGGCTGTGCAGAGTTGCATTCCATGGGCACACCAGAAACCTATGATTGTGGGTTTGAATACCGGTTCGCCCCAATTATGTTTCCAGGTTTGTCAGCACCATACCCATGCTGTGGTATACGTCGAAAGGCTCTCCTCCCACATTAAGCTGACGCGCCATGATATAACTGGAATACTGTTAACACTCACTCACTCACTGTGAGGCGCCTGAAGGTTTACAATCACATTATCATATCTCCCTACCAGGTACCCATTAACTGCTAGGTTGACGGAGACATATTTCATTTGCCTTAGGAGACCCACATGTAACATATACGCAACAGTGATAGCTCTTCAGCATATGAATAATAAGAGATGTTTGAAGTGTGAAATCAACTATGTGCACCAGACTCTTATATAGTACTTGTCATCGATGAGGACCGCCTCTGTGGTCTAGTGGTAGAGTGTCTGCCCGGAGAGCGGATGGTCTGGGGTTCGATCCCCGAGCGCGTCATACCAAAAGACGTTAAAAGATGGTACTTGTTGTTACCCTGCCTGGCGCTTGGCGTTAAGGGGCTAAAACAAGGACTGGTCAGCTCGGATCCAATATACTGTGTCTAAATGGGGTATTCATGTTTAACTGCAGCATGGTATCTCAGTGAGCTAGCACTATAAATCGGCATCAGTCCAGACTAGTACAAGCAGCCACACAAACACACACACATAAATGCACGTCGCTATATAAGTGCAATAATCTTGGACACAACGTTAAACCCAATTTCACCTCACATGTCATCAATGACCTAACCATGCATTTCTTTTTCCATGTAGCATTTTCAAGAATTTCCTGACATCACTGTGGTCCAAGTACACGACTGCCATCCATTCCATTCATTATCTATGCCTTAAAAGAACCAACTGGCAGCAATTTTGTACTATATTTTTACACATAAAACTCATAAAACTCAAGGGACCCTTTTCATAAACCTTAGGCTGAAAAAATTAAAGAATTGGTTCACAGGCAATGAGGGGGCACGGGTGGCATAGTCGTCTAAGGCGCCGCGATTCGCTGTGCAGAGTTGCGTCCCTTGGGCACCCCAGAAACCTCTGATTGTGGGTTCGAATCCCGGTTCACCCCGATTATGTTTCTTGGTTTATCAGCACCATACCCGTGCTGGTGGGTTTCACTGAAGTGGTAAACGTCTGAGACCTGCATCACTTCGGGCTTTCCTCCCACATTAAGCTGACACGCCGTGATATAACTGGAATAATGTTAAAGCAGCGTTTAACCCAACTCACTAACTAACTCACTCAGTGACACATTAAACTGACATGCAGTGTCATTACTGAAATGCTGTTCAAGGTGGGGATGGAGGCATCTTGATTTGTTATGGTCCAGCGAGCTAGAGTCCCTTTACATCCATATACACTTCCTTGACTTGTACTTGACTAGTAATTGGCTAGTGGGCTTCTGTAACTTGTCCTTGACCAGAATTGAGTTGTACTAATGTTGTTTTATGTTGAAATTGATGTAAACTTGAAGGAAATATATTGTTCATATCAACCAGTTGTTTGTCTTTTCATGAGGCTTTGTGGTACAAGGGCTCGGTGCAGTTCATGGGTAGCCTACTGGTTAAGGCATTCTCTTGTCGCTCCGAAGACCTGGGTTCGATTCCCGACATGGGTATGATGTGTGAAGCCTGTTTCTGGTCTACACTGGGGCAGTTGTGTTGTCGAGTGGTAGCGTTCGCTCATCTCACCAAAGACCCAGGTTGGCTTCCCACTTGCGTACAATGTGTGAAGCCAATTTCTGGTGTCCTCTGCCATGATATTGCTGGAATATTGCTAAAAGTGGCATAAATTCAACTCCCTGACTCACTCTTGACTCTCTTGTGAGATGGGGTGGTCGGGTAGCCTAGTGGTTAAAGCGTTCGCTCGTCACGCCAAAGACCCGGGTTCGATTCCCGACATGGGTACAATGTGTGAAGCCCATTTCTGGTGTCCCCCGCCGTGATATTGCTGAAATATTGCCAAAAGCGGCATAAAACCATACTCACTCACTCACTCTTGTGAGATGTCTCGGGACATTGTCAAGTGACAACATGAATGGTTAGGGCAGAGAGTAAAAGCTGTTTTACCAAGTGTTCAGCAATATTTTAGCTTTGGTACTTGGATCAGTGTTCTCTGAAAGTGAGTGTTTGCATGTATATATATATAAAAAACCTGGATCACCTATGCAATGCGAGCTCAGGCCCACAACACAAATGGGATGCGGTTTCTGAGGCTGGTGCCAGGGTGCAACAGCTGTGTTGGGATAAGAGGTGAGTTAAAATTGGATAATGGTGGTTCAAGATTAAGGCACTTGCCTAGTAAAGTCCATGCATGTGAGTGTGTGGAAGCTTGTACAGGTCCATACATATGCTGGTTTTATAGTGCCAGCCCACTGAGATATGGTGCTGCAGTTTATACTGACACCAGGCATGGTAACAACAAGTAGCATCTTTTAATTTCTTTTGGTATGACATGGCTTGGATCGAACCCTCAACCTTTGGCTTTCTGGGCAGAAACTCTTTCCACTTGACCACGTGGGTGAGACTTTGTTTTAAGAAGTTTTGACAAAGCTCCTAAAGGTTGACCATTGCGTTTCATACCAAGGTCGTGGTCTAGTGGTAGAGAGCGGAAGGTCCGGGGTTCGATCCCCGGCCGCGTCATACCAAAAGATGTTAAAAGATGGTACTTGTTGTTACCCTGTCTGGCGCTCGGCATTAAGGTGCTAAAACAAGGACTGGTCGGCTCTGAGTCAGGATACTGTGTCTGAGTGGGGTATTCATGTTAAACTGCGGCATGGTATCTCAGTGAGCTAGCACTATAAATCGGCATCAGTCCGGACTAGTACAAGCAGCCACACACACAGATACACGTGCATGCACGTCGCTATATAAGTGCAATAATCTTGGACGCGACGTTAAACCCCATTTCACCTCACCTCACATGGCTGGGATCGAACCCTCAACCTTTGGCTTTCTGGACAGACTCTTTCCACTTGACCACGTGGGTGAGACTTTGTTTTAAGAAGTTTTGACAAAGCTCCTAACGGTTGACCATTGCATTTCATACCAAGGTAGAAACATCTCAAGATCCAGGCAAGGACATATATAGGTCTTTCATACCGGTTAGAATTGATCTTCAGCAACCCATGCATGTCGTAAGAGGCAACTAGCGGGATCGGATGGCCAGGCTTGCTGACTTGGTAGATACATGTCATCGTATCCCAAATTCGTGGATTGATGCTCATGATGTCAATCACAGGCTTGTCTGGTCCAGAATCGATTATTTACAGACCGCCGTCAAAGAGCTTGAATGTTGCTGAGTGCGGGGTTAACCAACCAACCAACAAACAAGTGAACCCCAACATTGATACATTGACATTCGCACTTCAAACAATAAAATAACGATCAAATTGCGAACTTATTTTTCACATATTTTAAAGAATACAAAACGTAAGGCTTGTATTCTCAAAATTATTTTTTTTCTATTTATTCTTTTTCGCCGGATCAGAACCCCATCATGGAGATGAGAAACATACAAAATACACTGACGAAAACAAAAACTATACCAAAATAAAATTTATTAGAATTTGTATTCGAACACGAAATAATGTTCGCTATATCGACCGCAGACATACAGCAGACACGCATGAATTATGTTGAGAATGACTTTGTTCGCTTTAATTAGAAATGCACGTGCAGCATGATCACAGGAAGCACATGGGTGTGAAAACGGCTCAAAATATTCGTCAGTGAGGAAAACCATAACCTGTCACGTTTGTCGGCAAAAAGAGTCGTTGATATGCTGCAGCTGAGAGCCAGTCATGACACCCTAGAATCCATTGATCGCGGTGATAAAAACAATAATACCACAGCTGTCGTCTGCTGTCGGCGAATGGATTCCCCTGTGAAATAATGACGTGACTGGGACCCCCCACCTATATTTCCGGTAACCATGATCATAAGACAATTAATTTACGAACCGATTAAGAACGCTTTGTGTATAGATCTTAAATATAAGTTAAACCATTTAAATTTCGATCGTAAGTTTTAACAATCTGTGTAAGTTACGAACGCATTGTGGACCAGTGAAGATCCGGGGTAGAATAGGTCTTCAGCAACCCCCTCGTAAGGGGCGACTAACGGGATCGGGTGGCCAGGCTCGGTGACTTGGTTGATGCATGTCATAATATCCCAATTACGTGGATCTATGCCCATGATGTCAATCACTGGTTTGTCTTGTCCAGACTCATCTTTTGATTTTGATTGGACTATGCATAGACTCGTGAGTCCAGCCAAAATGTAACTCAATAATCCCAGCCTAGTTCGGCAAGGGTGGAAACTGGACTTTTACAGTCAGTTAACTCTCTTGTCTCGGGAAGATGGTCCAGACTCGATTATTTACAGACCGCCGTCATATAGCTGGGATATTGCTGAGTGCGGCGTAAAACAACAAATAAACAAACAAACGAACGCTTTGGGGGTCGGGCCCTTGGACACTCTGGTTGCAGATCCTGGTGACGCAGCCCACGCGTTTACACATCAAACGACGACCCGTGCTCGTGGGTTTCACCGAAGTGGTAAACGTCTGAGACCTGCATCACTCCGGGCTTTCCTCCCACATTAAGCTGACACGCCGTGATATAACTGGAATAATGTTAAAAGCGGCGTTAAACCCAACTCACTCACTCTAACGACGGTAGTTATATATATTTGTTTTCCCATTCTTCACACCCCAGACATGGCCTCATCAGTATCATGAATAAAGATTGATTGACATGTCATCAATTGAACACATCTGGGAACACCTTGATCGACAGATTAAAACACGGCCTAACCCAAGGGACGCAGCCCTGCAGAGCGAATTGCGGCTTGGCGTGCCCCCTCTTGCGCTTTAAATGTTCGATGACCCGTGAAGATCCGGGGTAGAATAGGTCTTCAGCAACCCATGCTTGCCGTAAAAGGCGACTATGCTAGTTGTAAGAGGCGTCTAACGGGATCGGGTGGTCAGGCTCGCTGACTTGGTTGATGCATGTCATCGATCCCAATTGCGTAGATCGATGGTCGTGATATCAGTCACTGGGTTGTCTGGTCCAAACTCGAATATTAACAGACCGCCGTCATATAGCTGGAATATTGCTGAGTGCGGCGTTAAACAAAGAAACAAACGATAAGTTGTGAGCCTCACAGAAGACTAGACCTAATGACATTGAAATGATTATTTTTCAACATTATCCCCTTCCACATTGATACACCTTTGACAACAACGTTGGAAGGAGTTTATCCCAGTGTTAGAGAAGTCCTTCTCTCGGCTCTCCACAAAGTTCTATGCAGTTGCTATGACGTCATCATCGAGTCGAAATCGGTTCCGGATGATCTTTCTTGATGTTTGGGAACAGATGGAAGTGTGGCGGAGCCTGATCAGGAGAAAGCCACACTCGTAAACATGTCAGTTACGGATTTGTGCACTGGAGTATTGTCGTGAGAGCACACATTTTCACATCTTCCACGTCTCATCGTCGTAATTCCATCCTGAAATTGCCTCAACAGTGCAGCATAATATGCTCCGTTTATTGTCTGGCATTTCCGAAGATAGCCCCGACGATGACACCCTCGTCTAGAATCACAAATTTATTGCAAGAACCCTTCTGGATTAGCTGCAAACAGAGTTAGATTATCACGAGACATGTTGTGCCTGGTTCGTTTTTTTTTATCAGACGTAAGAAACTTTGTCATCAAACGAGCTGATACTTTCTTCACTGTTAAAATGTCTGTGACCATGCAATGTACCCTCTCCTGTGAAATATACCTTCTGAACAAGCAATATAAATCTCAGTCATTCGTCGGTCGTTCATCAGTATTAAATGGATTTTCTGGATCATGTCTGGTGGTGTTGACAGGATGTACAGGACGGTAATCGTCTTCAATAATCCCCTTGCCATGCTAAAACTCTTCTGTCCTCCTCTTCACGGTGGCATAGGAAGGGGCATCTATTCATATCTTCATGGATGGCTTTTGGTGTTAAGGCCTTTTTTTGCAAGTACTTTATTACTGCACGTTACTTAAGTTTGTTCATTTTCCAAAGGTCACAGATCCCTGCTAATTTTACAGCGAAACAATCTGTTCAATTGACTTAAGTTTTTTGTTTGGATATACCCATATCACACCCTGTAACGTCCACACACCCCACCACACCCTGTAACGTCCACAACCCCTACCACACCATGTAACGTCCACAACCCCGACCACATCATGTAACGTCCACAGCCCCTACCACATCCTGTAACGTCCACAACCCCTACCACACCATGTAACGTCCACAACCCCTACCACCCCATGGAACGTCCACAACCCCTACCACACCATGTAACGTCAACAATCCGACCACACCCTGTAACGTCCACAACCCCTACCACACCATGTAACGCCCACAACCCCCACCACACCCTGTAACGTCCACAACCCCTACCACACCATGGAACGTCCACAACCCCTACCACACCATGGAACGTCCACAACCCCTACCACACCATGTAACGTCCACAACCCCTACCACACCATGTAACGTCCACAACCCCCTACCACACCATGTAACGTCCACAGCCCCGACCACACCATGTAGCGTCAACAACCCCTACCACACCATGTAGCGTCAACAACCCCTACCACACCCTGTAACGTCCACAACCCCTACCACACCATGTAGCGTCAACAACCCCTTCCACACCCTGTAACGTCCACAACCCCGACCACACCATGAAACGTCCACAAACCCTACCCCACCCTGTAACGTCCACAACCCCTACCACACCATGTAACGTCCACAACCCCTACCACACCATGTAACGTCCACAACCCCTACCACACCCTGTAACGTCCACAACCCCGACCACATCATGTAACGTCCACAGCCCCTACCACACCATGTAACGTCCACAACCCCTACCACACCATGTAACGTCCAAAACCCCTACCACACCATGTAACGTCCACGACAAATCAAACCATGCTTGTCGTAAGAGGCGACTAACGGGATCGGGTGGTCAGGCTCGCTGACTTGGTTGAAGCATGTCATCGATCGATGCTCATAATGTCAATCACTGGATTGTCTGGTCCAGACTCGATTATTTACAGACCGCCGTCATATAGCTGGGATATTGCTGAGTGCGGTGTTAAACAACAAACCAGACCAAAACCACAACAAAACATTAACTTTTACGCAATTACTTCTGTGTGGGGCTCAAAGCGTATCAGTAAACCCTCGTATGTGTCTACTTGGATCTTTAGAGATGTAATTTGGAAACATTTCTTGCCTTTTTCACGAAACTAACTAACTTACACGAAATGACGGCGGGTTTTTTGTTTTTTTTGTTTTTTGAGGGTGTGTGTATGTGTGTTTTTGGTGTGTGTGTTTTTGGTGTGTGTGTGTGTGCCTGTGTGTGTGTGCCTCTGTGTGTGTGTGTGTGTGTGTGTGTGTGTGTGTGTGTGTGTGTGTGTGTGTGTGTGTGTGTGTGTGTGTGTGTGTGTGTGTGTGTGCCTGTGTGTTAGTCCAGACTATTTCTGGTATTTTAGTGCTAGCCCACTGAGATAGCATACTGCAATCGATTTGTATCCCTGTCGCACTCCAGACAGAGTAACAAGAAGTACCATCTTTGATTGAACGTCTTTTGGTATGAAGCGGTCATGGATCGAACCCCCTGACCTTTCCCTTACTGGGCAGACGCTCTATCTACTCACAGGACCATACAAATAATAATAATAATAAAAATAAATAATAATAATAATAATAATAATAACAACAACAACAACAATAATGATAATGATGATGATGATGATTATGATGATGATAATAATAATGATAATAATAAGCAAATTCGCAAAAGAACTCGTAGACGAGGCGTAGTCTGATGGTTTGTTTGTTATTATTATTAGTTACATGGTCCCGTGATCTACTGCACGGAAGCAGTAGCTAAATGTGAGCTTTTAATATTTAACAAATCGTTGTAGGGCAAAGAAAAACGATGCCTGAAGGTTTCTGGGGAAAATATTTGGTGTGAAGGCTTTATAATTATGAGTTTGACATTATTTTCTGTTGCGATTTCCATTTTTGAATGCTTTGTGTTTTAAAAAGCATGTTATTATATATATGCGCAGATGTTTGGGAGAAGAGGTTTTGAAAAATGCAATGGAACGGAAATTATAGACGAATAATTGAGAACTTGTTATTTTCCTATTGCCCTTCTTTGAATTTGTATTTTCTTCCTTACAACGGATGGCGAATCTGGCGATTATGATGAAAAAACCCAACAACGTATGCAAACGTTGTCGTAGTAGTCCAGGGGAAGTAACTCGATGTCAAGACGGGCACCTGTCCCTTGATAATGACCTTCACCTTTGACAGCTGAACCTCGCGCGGCCCGAGATTTCAGTGTAAACTTCAAACATGGCGGGACCCATTGCAGAGCGTGACAAATGATTTTGTAGAAAATACACAAACCGAAAATATTTTCGGAAAGTTTCATGTGCAAGAATGCGTTTGCTGAAGCCAAACTGGGTATCCCACGAGGGTAAATATGCATATATGTATTATCTATAGTTCAATGAAATGTCTTTTTTGAGGAATTTCGAAATTGTCAAATTTATGCAAATTGAGCGTAATTGCACAATGCGTAACACTGACAAAGAAACGCAGATGGTTATGACAACATTGTTACCAGACCAAATAAACCTGGCCACAACAGATTACGCATGGAACAAATGTTACATTATTATTTTTATTGTTGACTATGTAGAAATGTTGTGTTGACATTGAAATATTATGTTTTGAATAAGATTTTCTAAAATCACAAATATGTTGTTTAGGAGATGACATTAGTAATAATAGATTTAGACACCCAAACATTAAACCTTATATCCCAAGATTAACCTTATCACAGATCGATTTGTTCCTCAATCGTTTTGTACCTATACATAGCCCAGAAATGATCCATGGTCACATTAGTGATCAACATCGCATTTGATGGTTAGTATTCTGCTATTCAGGTTAATTATTTATGTCAGAAAAGACCTGCTGATCTGTATTGCAAACCTTTGCATTATACAAGTAATTTGTGTCCAGAACCCATACATGTTATTTGTCTCAAAGCATCCTATTTTCGAGTCGCGCCTCTTTTTCAGCCCTGCTGTAGAAGTTGTTTTTGTTGATTCTGAATGTATTCCAGCTGAAACTGCATGGGTTTATGGCAACGTTGCTGTTGGTTTTAGAACAGGGACCTATATAACCGCATTATACAAGTCCAGCTTTAGAAGGAACGATGCCATTATTTTACATCTTTTGTAAAACTGCTCATTTGAAATTTGGGATCGTTGTATTATTCCTGTTCATGTTAAGTTTTCTGGGAAAGTTGTAATGAGAATCGGCACATGATCAGACACAGTATTTGTATTGAAGGGGAGGTGGGGTAGCTTTGTGGTTGAAGTGTTTGTTCGTCATGCCCAAGACCCGGGTCTGATTACCCACATGGTACAACGTGTGAAGCTCATTTCTGGTGTCCCCTTCCTTGATATTGCTGGAATATTGCTGAGAGCAGCGTAAAACCATACCCACTCCCTTACTCACTCACATAATATTGAAAGTTTATGATAGAAACAGTGTAAGTATGTATACAGGATTCAATTGTTTTAAGCCAACACCAACAGATGAAATCTTCATATCATGTAATGATGTAAACTATCTTCTTATATATTTATGGCACACACCAAAAAATCGTAAGTTAATGTTTTACCGTGTTAAAAAAAATATTATGTTTTGATTGATGCCAAAATTCTAATTTTAATTTTGGTTGGAAAAGTATGTCAGATAACATTTATTAAACAACCCGTTTCACAAAGTATCTAACAAATGGTGCTTGAAAACATCTCATGTTGTAATCTCATTCAAAACATTTTGATAAATGTTCTCACAACATGTCGACCGCGTCCGTGGTCTAGTGGTAGAGCGTCCGCCCGGAGAGCGGAAGGTCCGGGGTTAGATCCCTGACCACGTCATACCAAAAGACGTTAAAAGATGGTACTTGTTGTTACCCTGTCTGGCGCTTGGCATTAAGGGTCTAAAACAAGGACTGGTCGGCTCGGAGTCAGTATACTGTGTCTGAGTGGGGTATTCATGTTAAACTGCGGCATGGTATCTCAGTGAGCTAGCACTATAAATCGGCATCAGTCCGGACTAGTACAAGCAGCCACACACACACGTGCATGCACGTCGCTATATAAGTGCAATAATCTTGGACGCGACGTTAAACCCCATTTCACCTCACCTCACAACATGTCATAATCGTGCCAATACTGTCATCTTAACACTGCTTACAATGCAGTCATGTAAAACAAAGTATCAATGCTGTTTTCTCTTTCTTGGTCCTGTTATCAGTGATATAAAAAAGTCAAATTTACATTGCTAAACATAGGTCCTCATGGTAATAACCTGAAATCAGAAGTTGTAATACCAATTGGGGAATGGTTACATTATTGAACTTTGACAATACTTAGACAAGTCCCTGGTCCTGTATAACATGACATGTTTTTTTCATTCCAGGCAAACCAATTTTCTCAATTGACATTCACCCAGATGGCTCAAGATTTGCAACGGGAGGTCAGAGTAAGTGGAATCTTAAATATGTTTGCCAAATATTTCTCTTGTTTAGTTGGGGTTGTTGGGTGGCTTAGTGGTTGAAATGTTTGCTCGTCACGCCGAAGGTCCGAGGTTGATTCCCCACATTCCTGAAACCAATTTCTAGTTTCCACCGCTGCTATGCAGCTGGAATATTGCTAAAAGCCACATAAGATCCAACTCACTCTTGTTCAGTCATATTAATTCCTCTTTTTCAAAATTATTTTTTGTTTACAAATATAGATATTTTTCTGCAAAACCAAAAGGATGTGGTTATAACTGTTATATAACCTGTTATTAACAGGTGCATAAATACAATTATGATGCAGGTAATGTGTGATATTACAGGTGAGGATGCAGGCAGTGTGGTGTGTGATATTACAGGTGATGATGTAGACAGTGTGGTGTGTGATTTTACAGGTGATGTAGACAATGTGGTGTGTGATATTACAGGTGATGATGCTGGTAATGTGTGTGATATTACAGGTGATGATGCAGGCAATGTGGTGTGTGATATCACAGGTGATGATGTAGACAATGTGGTGTGTGATATTACAGGTGATGATGTAGGCAATGTGGTGTGTGATATTACAGGTGATGATGCAGGCAATGTGGTGTGCGATATTACAGGTGATGATGTAGGCAATGTGGTGTGTGATATTACAGGTGATGATGCAGGCAATGTGGTGTGTGATATTACAGGTGATGATGCAGACAATGTGGTGTGTGATATTACAGGTGATGATGCTAGTAATGTGTGTGATATTACAGGTGATGATGCAGGCAATGTGGTGTGTGATATTACAGGTGATGATGTAGACAATGTGGTGTGTGATATTACAGGTGATGATGTAGACAATGTGGTGTGTGATATTACAGGTGATGATGCAGGCAATGTGGTGTGCGATATTACAGGTGATGATGTAGGCAATGTGGTGTGTGATATTACAGGTGATGATGCAGGCAATGTGGTGTGTGATATTACAGGTGATGATGCAGGCAATGTGGTGTGTGATATTACAGGTGATGTAGACAATGTGGTGTGTGATATTACAGGTGATGATGCTGGTAATGTGTGTGATATTACAGGTGATGATGCAGGCAATGTGGTGTGTGATATTACAGGTGATGATGTAGACAACGTGGTGTGTGATATTACAGGTGATGATGTAGGCAATGTGGTGTGTGATATTACAGGTGATGATGCAGGCAATGTGGTGTGTGATATTACAGGTGATGATGTAGGCAATGTGGTGTGTGATATTACAGGTGATGATGTAGGCAATGTGGTGTGTGATATTACAGGTGATGATGTAGGCAATGTGGTGTGTGATATTACAGGTGATGATGTAAGCAATGTGGTGTGTGAAATTACAGGTGATGTAGACAATGTGGTGTGTGATATTACAGGTGATAATGCTGGTAAAGTGGTGTGTGATATTAAAGGGGATGATGCAGGTAATGTGTGTGATATTACAGGTGATGATGCAGGCAATGTGGTGTGTGATATTACAGGTGATGATGTAGACAATGTGGTGTGTGATATTACATGTGATGCAGGCAATGTGGTGTGTGATATTACAGGTGATGATGTAGACAATGTGGTGTGTGATATTACAGGTGATGTAGACAATGTGGTGTGTGATATTACAGGTGATGATGCTGGTAATGTGTGTGATATTACAGGTGATGATGCAGGCAATGTGGTGTGTGATATTACAGGTGATGATGCAGGCAATGTGGTGTGTGATATTACAGGTGATGATGTAGGCAATGTGGTGTGTGATATTACAGGTGATGATGCTGGTAATGTGTGTGATATTACAGGTGATGATGCAGGCAATGTGGTGTGTGATATTACAGGTGATGATGCAGGCAATGTGGTGTGTGATATTACAGGTGATGATGCAGGCAATGTGGTGTGTGATATTACAGGTGATGTAGACAATGTGGTGTGTGAAATTACAGGTGATGATGCTGGTAATGTGGTGTGTGATATTACAGGTGATGATGCAGGCAATGTGGTGTGTGATATTACAGGTGATGATGTAGACAATGTGGTGTGTGATATTACATGTGATGCAGGCAATGTGGTGTGTGATATTACAGGTGATGATGTAGACAATGTGGTGTGTGATATTACATGTGATGCAGGCAATGTGGTGTGTGATATTACAGGTGATGATGTAGACAATGTGGTGTGTGATATTACAGGTGATGTAGACAATGTGGTGTGTGATATTACAGGTGATGATGCAGGCAATGTGGTGTGTGATATTACAGGTGATGATGCAGACAATGTGGTGTGTGATATTACAGGTGATGATGTAGGCAATGTGGTGTGTGATATTACAGGTGATGATGCAGGCAATGTGGTGTGTGATATTACAGGTGATGATGTAGGCAATGTGGTGTGTGATATTACAGGTGATGATGCAGGCAATGTGGTGTGTGATATTACAGGTGATGATGTAGGCAATGTGGTGTGTGATATTACAGGTGATGATGCAGGCAATGTGGTGTGTGATATTACAGGTGATGATGTAGGCAATGTGGTGTGTGATATTACAGGTGATGATGCAGGCAATGTGGTGTGTGATATTACAGGTGATGATGCAGGCAATGTGGTGTGTGATATTACAGGTGATGATGCAGGCAATGTGGTCATCTGGAACATGGGCCCGGTCCAGGACGAAGAGGTGGAGAAGGATGAGAATGTCCCAAAAGTACTGTGTCAGATGGACGACCATTTAGGTAGGGTTCTTGAATGTTTCCATTAGTTCAATCAATGTAACATTTCCTCTCAATGTAGCTCTGAAAGTAAAGTGAAAATTGTCATCTTTAGAACGGATTTTTGGGTTCATGAGTGTTTATCTGAAATTGTACAAAAAGAATAGTGAGAACATTTACTTTGTGTTTTCCCTACAGTAGAACATAGTTATAAAGCCTTATTATGCCCATTATCAAGTACTTATAAAATTATAATAGGCCTTATAATTATGATAATGCGGGTTATGAAGTATTTAAGAATAGAAAGGCCTTATGACGCAGGTTATGAAGTATTTAAGAACAAAAAGGCCTTATGAAGCAGGTTATGAAGCATTTAAGAATAGAAAGGCCTTTTAATGCAGGTTATCAAGTATTTAAGGATAGAAAGGCCTTATAATGCAGGTTAAGTATTTAAGAACAAAAGGCCTTATGACAGGTTATCAAGTATTTAAGAATAGAAAGGCCTTATGATACAGGTTATGGAGTATTTAAGAATAGAAAGGCCTTATGTCACAGGTTACAAACTATTTAAGAATAGAAAGGCCTTTTAATGCAGTTTATCAAGTATTCAAGGACAGAAAGGTCTTTTAATGCATGTTTCAAGTATTTAAGAATAGAAAGGCCTTATGATACAGGTTACAGTGCTCATACCTATGATGTTGTCCACATATTGTCTTGGAAGTAACGTGACGTTGTTTGGTGGTTCCAGCTTGCGTGAACTGTGTTCGCTGGTCTCACAGTGGCAAATTCCTTGCTTCGGGAGGTGATGACAAGCTTATCATGATCTGGCAGCACAGCAAGTAAGAGACAGCTTAAAGCCCGTCTTATCCCTTCTTAACGAAGAAAGGGGGTCACCAGTGAACTATTCCACTTTCTCATTGTGATTGTTCCTGCCATAGTGTTTCAGGCACAGGTTACATGGAATAGGTCCCAAGTACTCCTAGTGAAAAAGAGACCCGTGAAGATCCGGGGTAGAATCGGTCTTCAGCAACCCATGCTTTCCATAAAAGATGATTATGCTTGTCGTAAGAGGCGACTAAAGGGGTCGGGTGGTCAGGCTCGCTGACTTTGTTGATGCATGTCATCGATCCAAATTCCGTGGATCAATGCTCATGATATTAATCACTGGATTGTTTGGTTCAAACTTGAATATTTACAGACCGCCGTCATATAGCTGAAATATTGGTGCGGCGTTAAACAACAAACCAACCAACCTAGTAAAAGATGACTTACCATATTCACCCTGGCAGCTTAGAAAACACACATAGGGACACGTATTCAAGCCATGTGTAGATCAAAGCTCATGATGTCAATCACTGGATTGTCTGCACCAGACTCCATTATTTACAAACCACCGTCCTGTGGCTGAAATATTGTGCGACGTTAGCAACAAATAAAATAGAAACAGTGACTGCATTACGGATGTTTAATCGGACTGTAAGCATGGTAAGAGTGTATTATTCTGTTCCACTGCTTGTAGGTTTGCCCGGCCGTCATCAGTGTTCGGGTCAAACGTCGTGAATGTCGAATCATGGAGGCCTGCATCTACACTACGGGGGCATCTCGGAGGTATGGCGTTCTTCTTCCTCATGTATTGTGTGTCTTTACAACCCTTGCTATCCCTGTTATTGGAAGGAAATTTATCCATAATTGCATAAACCAGTCGTAACAAAGTTTATCCAACAGCACGTTTCACATGTCAAGTATTGTATTCATAAGTACTAACATGCTTAAGCTCCTGACAGGGATATCTCAGGATGTGATTCTAATAAATGCTCATTTAAAATGACGAGATGTTTGTAGTCTCTATGTATCATAATGTATATTTAATGGTGTCTGTGAATCTTTACTTGTATCTCTGAATATTTACTTGTGTCTCTGAATATTTACTAGTCTCTCTGAATATTTACTAGTCTCTCTGAATTTTTACTAGTCTCTCTGAATATTTACTAATCTCTCTGAATATTTAATAGTCTCTCTGAATTTTTCTTGGTCTCTGAATTTTTACTAGTCTCTAATTATTTACTAGTCTCTCTGAATATTTACTAGTCTCTCTGAATTTCTCTTGGTCTCTGAATTTTTACTAGTCTCTCTAATTATTTACTAGTCTCTCAGGGGCGGTCGGGTAGCCTAGTGGTTCAAGCGTTCGCTCGTCACGCCGAAGACCTGGGTTCGATTCCTGACATGGGTACAATGTGTGAAGCCCATTTCTGGTGTCCCCCGCCGTGATATTGCTTGAATATTGCTAAAAGCGGCGTAAAACCATACTCACTCACTCACTACTAGTCTCTCTGAATATTTACTAGTCTCTCTGAATTTTTGCTTGTCTCTTACTAACAGATTCAAGACCGTGTCTATCCCTAATGTCATATTAGCGCACTGTTCACTTCTCATGTAAACATACCTGCAGGTTGTGCACCTGGAATACTCCTTTGCATTTTGCAAGAAATGCTGCTATCCAAAAGGATCTTGGTTAGGCTTTTTTAATCATTTAAAGTTATTCTTTTGAAGTGTGCATTAGATTTAACTGATATTGCTATTGATAAGACGCTCAATGAAAGTTAAGTCTGACCCTGTCCTGTTCTGTTGATATTCATGTAGACCGCCTCCGTGGTCTAGTGGTCATACCAAAAGATGTTAAAAGATGGTTCTTGTTGCTACCCTGTCTGGCACTCGGCATTAAGGGGCTAAAAGGACTGGTCGGCTCGGAGTCAGTATACTGTGTCTGAGTGGGGTATTCATGTTAGACTGCAGCTTGGTATCTCAGTGAGTGAGTGAGTTTGGTTTAACGCCGCTTTTAACAGTATTCCAGTTATATCACGGCGTGTCAGCTTAAAGTGGGAGGAAAGCCCCAAGTGATACAGGTCTCAGACTTTTACCACTTCAGTGAAACCCATGAGCACGGGTATGGTGCTGTCAAACCTAGAAACATGATCGGGGCGAACCAGGATTCGAACCCACAATCATAGGTTTCTGGGGTGCCCAAGGGACGCAACTCTGCACAGCGAATCGCGGCGCCTTAGACGACTGGGCCACCCATGCCCCCGGTATCTCAGTGAGCTAGCACTTTAAATCGGCATCAGTCTGGACAAGTACAAGAAGACGCAAGCACGCACTCATGCACGAAGATCTGGGTGGAGAATAAATCTTTAGTATCCATACTTGCCGTTAGAGGCGACTATGCTTGTCATAAGAGGCGACCCATGGGAATGGATGGTAGATCGATACTCAAGATGTCAATCCCTGGATGGTCTGGTCCAGACTTGATCATTTACAGACCGCCATCATTTTGCTCGAGTGTGACATTAATCAACAAACAAACAGATATCGTAGACTTGTCGGGGCTTCCCAAGCACTCATAAATAGATAGTCCCTGAGACAATGAGCTGTACAAGTGATGCTCTGTTTCAGATGTGCTAGACTTGGCGTGGTCCCCCCAGGACATCTGGCTGGCTTCCTGCAGTGTGGACAATACCATCATCGTGTGGAACGTGCACAAGTTCCCTGGTGAGTTAACATGTTCTGAGGTAGTCATTATGCAGGGATTTGTCTTGACATGCTCACATTAATTTAAATAAGAACTTTGCCAAAATCTCAATTTCAAGCAAAAAAAACCAAGTTTTTTTCAAAAATTGCCTGCCATTTTACAAGGATTCATGTAGGATTACAAACTACGTGGCTTAGCAGGAAAATAGGGGGAAAAAGAAATATTTTGTTCAATATATTTTTTTTATCATTGCAATGTGCATGATAATTTCAAATCCGCCTTGAGCCTCTTCCTCTTTATTGGTGCAGTTAGACTGCCTCCGTGGTCTAGTGGTGGAGCGTCCGCCCGGAGAGCGGAAGGTCCGGGGTTCGATCCCTGGCTGCGTCATACCAAAAGACGTTAAAAGATGGTACTTGTTGTTACCTTGTCTGGCGCTCGGCATTAAGGGGCTAAAACAAGGACTGGTTGGCTCAGGGTCAGTATACTGTGTCTGAGTGGGGTATTCATGTTAAACTGCGGCATGGTATCTCAGTGAGCTACCACTATAAATCGGCATCAGTCCGGACTAGTACAAGCAGCAACACAAACACACACACGTAAATGCACGTCGCTATATAAGTGCAATAATCTTGGACACGATGTTAAACCCCATTTCACCTCACATGTCATCGATGACCTAACCATGCATTTCTTTTTCCATGTAGCATTTTCAATAATTTACTGACATCACTGTGGTCCAAGTACACGACTGCCATCCATTCCATTCATTATCTATGCCTTAAAAGAACCAACTGGCAGCAATAGTGCAATAATCTTGGATGCGACGTTAAACCCTATTTCACCTCACCTATTGGTGCAGTTACTAGTGAAATGCAAGTCTCCTCTACCTGCATCACTTCGGGCTTTCCTCCCACATTAAACTGACACGCCATGATATGACTGGGATACTGGTTCTATTTCAGAGCAAGTTGCAACGTTGAAGGGTCACTCAGGCCTTGTGAAAGGGGTTACGTGGGATCCAGTGGGAAAGTACTTAGCCTCACAGGTAATGCTGCTTTCCCGGACACTCATTTGATGACAGTGAATTACTGATGAGATTATCAAGATTAAATATGTGAACGACTGTTTGCGATGTATTCAGTGATATCGCTAGAGATGGCTTCGGAATATTCTCATTGTTATATTTCCTTTTGATAGAATATTCTTCTATGTCATTACCAAATTTTTTAAAATCTATTGGACAAAATGGATGTCAATCAGTGTCCTAGAACTAGTGTATTGCAATAATACACCAATGCTTGAAACGTCTTGGTTCTGATGCTTCAGCAAAAGCCTTTTGAAGCATTTTGTTCTGGTATTAAGGCAAGGGGGAAGTATTAGAGGAGTACTGGGGCGTTGTGACTGTACGGCAATATTCCACGTGTTACAGTCAGATGACAAGACACTGAAGGTGTGGAGGACGTTAGACTGGCAGCAGGAGACTTGTGTGGCAGAGCCTTTTAAAGAGGTGAGTTGTCAGTCACAGCTTGTGACAGCTGCACAATACAGCTGTGCAATACAGACACACAACTCAGCTGTGCAATACAACTGTGCAATACAGCCACACAATGCAGCTGTGCAATACAGCCACACAATGCAGCTGTGCAATACAGACACACAACTCAGCTGTGCAATACAACTGTGCAATACAGCCACACAATGCTGCTATGCAATACAGCCACACAATGCAGCTGTGCAATACAGCAACACAATGCTGCTATGCAATACAGCCACACAATGCAGCTGTGCAATACAGACACACAACTCAGCTGTGCAATACAACTGTGCAATACAGCAACACAATGCTGCTATGCAATACAGCCACACAATGCAGCTGTGCAATACAGACACACAATACAACTGTGCAATACAGCCACACAATGCAGCTGTGCAATACAGCCACACAATGCAGCTGTGCAATACAGACACACAACTCAGCTGTGCAATACAACTGTGCAATACAGCCACACAATGCTGCTATGCAATACAGCCACACAATGCAGCTGTGCAATACAGCAACACAATGCTGCTATGCAATACAGCCACACAATGCAGCTGTGCAATACAGCCACACAATGCAGCTGTGCAATACAGCCACACAATACAGCTGTGAAATACAGACACACAACTCAGCTGTGCAATACAACTGTGCAATACAGCCACACAATGCTGCTATGCAATACAGCCACACAATACAACTGTACAATACAGCCACACAATGCAGCTGTGCAATACAGCCACACAATACAGCTGTGCAATACAGCCACACAATGCAGCTGTGCAATACAGACACACAACCCCTCTGTGCAATACAACTGTGCAATACAGCCACACAACCCCGCTGTGCAATACAGCAACACTGCAGCTATGCAATACAGCCACAAAATGCAGCTGTGCAATACAGACACACAACCCCACTGTGCAATACAGCCACACAATGCAGCTGTGCAATACAGCCACACAATGCAGCTGTGCAATACAGCCACACAATACAGCTGTGCAATACAGCCACACAATGCAGCTGTGCAATACAGCCACACAACACTGCTGTGCATTACAGTCAACACAATATGCACATTGTAGCTGCACAATACCGCTGTACAATTCGAACAACAAATACACAATGCAACAATTCACGTGCACAATAAGGGCACACAATAGGCTGCCCAATAAGAGCACACAATAGGCTGCACAATACAGGTGCACAATAAGGGCACACAATAGGCTGCACAATACAGGTGCACAATAAGGGCACACAAAAGGCTGCACAACACAGGTGTACAATGTAGCTGACATAAGTTGGGTCCGAACGTCAACAGGTTGGAAATAAAGGATGATTATATGAATGCTGTGACATCGTACACTGCCGGCTCAGGAGTTGCTCATAATATCAATCACTTGTTCAACTGGTCCAAATTTGATTATTTACAGAATCTTGCTGACTGTTAGGTTACACAACAAATAAGAAACAAGATGCTGTTGCTCTACTTTGCCAATTGTTGCTTGTTGTGACACGATTGTCTGACTATTCAGTGTGGCGGTACGACCCATGTACTTCGTCTCAACTGGTCGCCAGATGGCCACTACATCGTCTCAGCACATGCCATGAACAACTCGGGCCCCACGGCGCAGATCATCGAGCGGGATGGGTGGAAGGCAACGCTCGACTTTGTTGGACATCGGAAAGCTATTACTGTTGTTGTGAGTCAACACTGCCTCATGTACTCATTTGTAAACTCAAACATGAATCTTCAGCTTGCGATTTAGCTATGCTTATAGTTGAGCAGTCTGGTATTTTGAGATTTGTTTATGCAATAATTACAGCTTGGTCCTTCAAAGAAATGTGTTTCAAGAATGACAATGATCAACAGGGCTTGATTTTGCTCTATTAAACATGTACCAGTCCGCCCTGTTATTGAAAACTGCAACTTATATTTATGTCTACGTGCACCAAGTGCATGTCTAAAAAAAATTGAAGTTGTATATGACTTACCCTTATTGTCCAAACAACATCTGTCTTTGAACACACTCAAGTCTCTAAACTTTATTTACCACACTATATCACTAATCACAATGTAATTATCCCCCGTCCAACAAAGTTGGCGTCATGTTTCGTTTCTGGAGCATAACTCATAAACCGTTTAATATTTTTTCATCAATCTTTGCAGGTCTGTCAGGCACATGCTGAACTGGTGCCTTATGTATTTAGAAATTTTGGAAATTTTTATTTTTTACATTTCCATGGCAACAAGATTGACTTAGGTGCTGTGAGGGTAGGGTTCGTTTCCAGAGCATAACTCATAAACCGTTCAATATCTTTCATCAAACTGTGCAGGTTTGTCAGGTACATGAACTGGTGCCTTTTGCTATTTAGAAATTTTTATTTTTATACGTTTCCATGGCATCAAGATGGACTTAGGTTCCAAACTTTTCTTTTTTTTACAATTTCCATGACAAGTTCCACCTCAGTTAAAAAAGGTTAGGGTTTGTTTAGATTTAAGTATGTCATAAATTCTGCAACAGGGGCGGGGAATATAGCCACGTTAGTGGCAAACTCTTGTTTATAATTCATGACACATGACACAGTCATCAGAGTTTCAGGATTTTACTTATTTAGACGAGTTTATGCATCTGTGTTTCAGTTTTGAAATAATTATGAGACCAGGGTGCAACCTGGTTCAGTTTGGTGCAACTAGCTTTTCATGTCAACTTGCACCTAAGCAGGCTAAATCAAGTTGCTTGAATCGAGCCCTGGTTCATTTCTGATTCATTCATTATGAAAGTATTACATAATAATAACACTACTTTGTTTCCTTTTCATTACTTCTTAGACAATTGTAGACCCGTGAAGATCCGGGGTAGAATAGGTCTTCAGCAACCCATGCTTGCCGTAAAAGGTGACTGTGCTTGTCGTAAGAGGCAACTTACAGGATTGGGTCAGGCTCGCTGACTTGGTTGATGCATGCCATCGTATTGATCAATGCTTATGATGTCAATCACTGGATTGTCTGGTCCCCACTTGATTATTTACAGACCGCCGTCATATAGCTGGAATATTGCTGAGTGCGGAGTTAAACAACAAACAAACAGACATTGACCATTGTATGTTTACATTTACACTATATTTTTCTTCCAGAGATTTAACCCTCAAATTTTGACCAAAAAGATAAAGAAAGATTCCGGGAAGGTAATTTGGATTAGGTGCCTTAGTATTACCAATTATGAAACATTATCTTGGCAACAAATAAGATGACTAAATGGATTGGGTGGTCTGGCTTGGTCCATTGATTTCATGTCATTGTATCCCACTTGTGTGGATTGATGCTTATGTCAATCTTAATTGGATTGTCTGGTCCAGACTCAATTATTAGAATAGGTCTACAGCAACCCATGCTTGCCGTAAAGGGCAACTATGCTTGTGGTAAGGCGACTTACGGGATCGGGTGGTCAGGCTCGCTGACTTGGTTGATGCATGTCATCGATCCCAATCGCGTGGATCGATGCTCATGATATTAATCACTGGATTGTCTGGTCTAGGCTCGATTATTTACAGACCGCCGTCACATAGCTGGAATATTGCAGAGTGCGGCGTTAAACAAACAACCAACCAGTACAGTAACCAGCAGGCTACAGCATGGCCCCCAGGGCGGTCAGGTAGCCTAGTGGTTAAGCGTTCGCTCGTCACGCCGAGGACCTGGGTTCAATTCCCGACATGGGTGCAATGTGTGATGCCCATTTCTGGTGTCCCCCGCCGTGATATTGGTGGACATTGCTAAAAGCGGCGTCAAACCAAACTCACTCACTAACTACAGCATGGCCCACATCAAATGTACTGCGGATGATCCATGCTACAAGACTGTAGTGATGTGAGAGACGTGGCTGTGTGTGTCACCGTACCTTTGTGATGTTGTTGTTCATGTTTTCAACTTCTGGTCTTTATGACACAAGATTATTCACTGGACACAATATATGAATGGGCTATTACGTAAAACACTTTCTCATGCAATGATGATGCTTGAAATGGACTCAAGACCTGTATCATGAAATGTTTTGTTTTTTGTTTTTGCAGAGTCAGCAATATTCATGTTGTGCTATTGGAAGTAAAGACAGATCTCTTTCTATATGGGTAGGTACCCTGTCAATAGCTGTACATGTTGTTGAACCCGTGAAGATCCGGGTAGGATAGGTCTTCAGCAATCCATGCTTGCTGTGAAAAGCGACTATGCATGTCGTAAGAGGCGACTAACGGGATCAAGTGGTTAGGCTCGCTGCCTTGTTGATGCATGTCATCGTATCCCAATTGCGTGGATCGATGCTCGTGATATCAATCACTGGATTGTCTCATCCGGACTTGATTATTTACAGTCCGCTGTCATATAGCTGGAATATTGGTGTTAAACAAACAAACAAACAAACATGTTGATGACATTCCCTGACTGTGTTGTATCAAGACGGGGCACAGGTGGCCCAGTCCTGAGCCGTCAAAGGTGCTCCAGTTGGCTTAGATTGTGGGTTTTGAATCCTTGTTCGTCCACGCTTTTGTTTCTAGGTTTGTCAGCACCACTGCTCGTGAGTTTTGCCAAAGTGGTAAACGTCTGAGACCTGTATTAATTTGGGCTTTCCACCCATTAAGCTGACACACCGTGATATAACTGGAATACTGTTAAAATTGGTGTTAAAACCAACTCACTCACTCATGCCAAAAGACGTTAAAAGATGGTACTTGTTGCCACTCTGTCTGGTGCTTAGCATTAAGTGGATAAAACAAGGACTGGTCAGCTCGGAGGCAGTATACTGTGTCTGAGTTGGATATTCATGTTAAACTGCAGCATGGTATCTCAGTGGGCTAGCCCTATAAAACTGACATTAGTCTAGACAAGTACAAGCAGTCACACACACAGCCACACACATACACACACATACACACAACCTCACCTGACCTATATATTCTTTATTACAGTTGACTGCCTTGCGACGACCCCTGGTTGTCACACATGATTTGTTCAACAGCTCAATCATGGATATATCATGGTGAGTAGTGCAGCGAGTAGTATCAAGCAGATACTGTGATACTGAAAACTATTTACAATTGTGACTTCTTCATCCGTTTTCAGATTTGCTTTCAGCATATGAGTTCATCTTCACATTACACTGCTAGCAAGTTCTTAACATGCTTAGTTTTTTAAATTCAGAGGTATTTTAATTAAGTATTTTGAGATTGTATAAAACCTAATATTAAAACCTCTTCCAATGTGCTGATCCTGTTATCAGTGAAAAGCAGGTTCGGTCTACAATACCATAAAATTAGTTATCATTTATATATATTGACATGAATTGGGAAATTTTTATTTCCAATTTGGGAATTTTTACTATCATTTGGTGTAGACTTTGGCCTGAATATCAGCCTCTGAGACAGGTGTAAATACATCCCAAATACTTGTCAAAGCTGCATTACTTGTGTCTTGAGTCCCGTGAAGATCCGGGGTAGAATGGATCTTCAGCAACCCATGCTTGCCGTAAAAGGTGACTGTACTTGTCAAAAGAGGCGACTAACGGGATCGGGTGGTCAGGCTCGCTGACTTGGTTGGTGCATGTCATTGTATTCCAATTGCGTGGATCGATGCTCATGATATCGATCACTGGATTGTCTGGTTCAGACTCGATTATTGACAGCCCGACGTCATATTGCTGGAATATTGCTGAGTGTGGCGTTAAACAACAAGCCAACCAACATGTTTATGACATCCCCTGACTGTGTCGTACGATGTCAGTGCAGCATCAAACAACAAATAAGCAAACAAACAAACTTGTGACTTGACTCTCCTTTCTGTCCACTTCCCAGGAGTCAGAACGGCCTGGAGCTGATGTGTTGCTCTATAGATGGTTCCGTAGCCTATGTCAACTTTACTCAAGAGGAAATTGGTCATGCTTTGTCTAAACAGGAAGTGGTGAGTGATTTTGTTTCATAAATATCATGTGGATTGTTGCTAATTATATGAATCCGAGAAGATCTAGGTTAGAATAGGTCTTCAGCAACCCATGATTGTCGTAAGAGGCGACTAACAGGGTTGGGTTGGCAGGCTTGCTGACTACGTTGATGCATGTCATCGTATCCCAAATGCGTAGATCGATGCTTTTGACGACAAGCACTGGATTTTCTGGTCAAGACTCGTTTATTTACAGATCGCCGCCATATTGCTGAGTGCAGTGTTTAACTACAAACAAACAATCAATCACTGCATAGTCTAGTCCAGATTTGATTATTTACGGGCTGCTGTCGTAAAGCTGGAATATTCCTGAGTGAAGTCTTAAGCAACAAAACAAACATGAGCATTGATGATAATGTGTATATTCCTCGTGAATCTCGGAAGAGGTGGAGCTGAAAGCAAAGGATGACACTCAGCCTCTGTCTGTTAAACAACAAACAAAAACACAAACACAAACAATTCTGTATTAAGTCCATACTTGTTTGGTTGTCGGATTTATGAACAGTCGTTTTTCTTTCAGCAAACACTATTAGAGAAGATTTACGGCAAGAGTCTACCTCTGCAGTCCAACCTGGCCGCCAATGCAGCGAGTCAGATAATCGAGTCTGCGGCACTTTTCAATCTTCAGCTACAACAGAAAGAGAAGGAAAAATTCAACGACCTTGAGAACAAGAGCAACTCGTCCATGAAGGTCAACGGGGAGACGCCATTCAAGGTGTCACAAAAACCCAACACTGATGTAACGAGAACCTTGCTTATACACTACATAAGTCTGTCGCTAACATGACTGTCACTCTTACTAACAGTCTGCGTCTGTCTAGATTTGTCTCAACAGTTGTCCAAATTCAGAGGAATGTTAGCTAAATTTCTGAGGCTACAACAGATACTCATGTTAAAAAAAAGAAACATTATATATTTTTTATTATTATTGATTTATTTCCTGTTGAAATGAGAATTATTTTTTTTGTGATCTTAAAGAATAACTGTGATTTTTATGATGAGCTCTTATGAGCATTTTTGGCAGGAACATATTTCCACCAAAGTCCTGAAAATGACCCCTGAAAAAAAGTCCTGTTGCTAAGTGGGTAATGCTTTGTGAATTCTTGGTCAATAAATAGTAGTTAGCAACTATGAGAAAAATTGAATTAAATATATAATTTCATGTCATTTCAATTTCGACAACAGAAATATTGATACCCACTGTCACCAAAAATCATACATATTATTAATCAATTTGTTTTGGCCTGAGGAATAGTTTCAACTTCTATTTTTAACTGTTGATAGACCGCTGATTTCAGTTGTGAAGATTGGCTATGAAGAGTTATTAATAATGAAATCTGCTACAATGACTTTTTATTTGCTTAGTACAACCCTTTGGACAATAATTGTAATGGAATTTCTTGTACAGTCAGTAATTACAAGTTTCCTTGTAGCCAGACTTATGATGTATGTAATTGTTAAAAGGAAAGAAATTTGTTAGATTTTACCCTCTTTCTACTCTCGCTTTATTAGTGCATTACTCAACAGTCATTACCATTGTTAGACATCGTCAGTGCTTCACAAGCTTGTATACACTACACAACTCCCATCACCTGTCAGAAGGCCTGTGAAGTGCCGGGGTAGAATTGGTCTTCAACAAACCATGCTTGTCTAGTGGTAGAGTGTCCGCCCGAGAGCGGAAGGTCCGGGGTTCGATCCCCGTCCGCGTCAATACCAAAAGACGTTAAAATATGGTACTTGTTGTTACCCTGTCTGGCGCTCGGTATTAAGAGGCTTAAACAAGGACTGGTTGGCTCGGAGCCAGTATACTGTGTCTGAGTGGAGTATTCATGTTAAACTGCGCCATGGTATCTCATTGGGCTAGCACTATTAATCGGCATCAGTCCGGACTAGTACAAGCAGCCACACAAACACACACACGTACATGCATGTCACTATATAAGTGCAATAATCTTAGACGTGACTTTAAACCCCATTTCACCTCACCTCACCTTAAGATGGGACTAATGGGAACGGGTGGTCAGGCTCAGTGACTTGGTTAAAACATGTCATTGTATCCCACGGCTTCTGAGCAGTGTCATATTAGTCAAGGGGGCACAGGTAGCCCAGTCTTCTATGGTGCCGCAATCAGATTTGCAAAGTTGCATCCCTTTGGCAGGCCAGAATAATGATCAGAGTTTGAATCCAGGTTTGTCCCAATTCTGTTTCTGGGTTTGTCTGCACCATACCCGTGCTCGTGAGTTTCACCAAAACGGTAACGGTCTGACACCTGCCTCACTTCATTTTCCTGACTCTTTAAGCCAATGCACATTGATGTAACTGAAAAGGGCATTAAACCCCACCTACTCACTCACTTAGATCAGATCTTAGTGCTCGCTTCACAAAGTTCTCAGGAAATCCCATTACAGGTCACATCAGGAAGACATTGCGAACTTTGACCGACAAGTGAAACGACGAACAAGAAGTCAATGTTAACCAATCAGAAAGCAGCTCTTTTTTAGCTTTACTGCACTAGCTTCAAATTGGTGACTTCCATTCCATACTACACTTTGTAGACTGTTTGGACAAAGTTCGCAATTCAAAATTTAGAAAAGGCGACTATGCTTGTCGTAAGGGGCGACTAACGGGATTGGGTGGACCGGCTCGCTGACTTGGTTGATGCATGTCATTGTATCACAATTGTGTGGATTGATGCTCATGATGCCAATCACTGGATTGTCTGGTCCAGACTCAATTTACAGACTGACGTCATATAGCTGGAATGTTGCTGAGTGTGGCGTTAAACAACAAACAAACAAACAAAATTTAAACAGTGAACAAAAGAACGTTCTGGAATGTTGATGGCCGGATAGCATGGCAGTAATACCTACGGGCTATGGAAAGTCTCTTTCAGATCAAATATTTGTCCGATTGAAGTGAGAGATGGACAATGATTTTGACTGAATAAGCTGCAGAGGTCATAACTGTAGCTTAGAATACTTGAATGGATTGATTCATAGGTTAAAAATAGCAACTACACAGGTGACGGAGGAACATAGACAGGTGATGGAGGAACGTAGTATGTGGAGCCAATGAAGCACTGACAATGTCGTTAGATTCCTTGGTCATTTGTGTCTGCAATGTCTGTTGGTGGAGTAGTGGTATGTACATGTGATTGTCAGGGGGAGGATCTAGGTTCAACTCCAAACAGGTACCGCATGTGAAGAAAAATATCCTGCACAAAAAAAGTTAACATTCACCCAATATTTTTCATATGACTATAGTTTATCTTTTAAGTAATATACATTGAATATCTAACATGAGTTCTTGGTCACCCCTGCTGTGATATGGATGGATCATTCTAAAACATACAGGGGACGGTCGGGTAGCCTAGTGGTTAAGGCGTTCGCTCGTCATGACGAGGACATGGGTTCGATTCCCGACATGGGTACAATGTGTGAAGCCCATTTCTGGTGTTCCCTGCTGTGATATTGCTGGAATATTGCTAAAAGCGTAAAACCAAATTCACTCATTCACTCACTCATTCACTAAAAAATACAGTTGATCATTGTGTAGAGTGTGTTTCAAGGTGTTTTCCAAATTGAAACACAAAGGTTGACCTAGAATTAGGTACATACAGAATTAAATTGTGAAATCAATAAATAACTACACAGGGTCAATGAATAATCCATAAATTTTATGGAAACACACAATTTTGGGTTTACAATAAAAGTAAATACATTGGTTAAATAAGTGGCAGAAGCGAGAGGAAAGGGCCCCAGAAGTAATATGTTAGTGTGTTCATGTATGTTCAGAAATTTGTCACTCTCAAGTGTCTTGAGACCAGCCTTTCTCAGCTCTTGAATCCTGAATGTTGTTGGAAGCTGGCAGGAATTTGCGGTTTACAGACACCAATCCAAACCACATATGGCAAGTGGGTAAAAAGGCCTTCAATGGCTTTGGAACTCATCTGCTGGTGCAGATAGCGGTCAACATATCCTGACAGCATGGAATGTTGCTCACAATATCGATCACTGGTTTGTCGGGTCAAAAACTCGATTTGTTCAGGTCATGACTTAATTATTACAGGTCACTGTCATACAGAAAGAGATATTGCTCAGTGCAGCATTAAACAGCAAAAGAAAAATGTTATAAATTTGGCATGATGTTTCGGTCAGTTGGTTCGGTTGAAAAAATACATGCCAAATGTTATTACTGTACAGTATGGTCAGTACTCTAAACAAGTTCTGGCAGTTCGTGGATTTGGTCGAGTCCGTAAACCAATAAATATTATAAGACGTAACAGTATCACGAGGGGTATATGTGTTTTTTTGCATCCCGCCTTAGGTTTTATTCCATGCTGGAGGGGCTCTTGTGATCTGTCACGTGACTTTCATTGACTAGTGGACAATGTGCGGCTTCTTTGCTTTGTAGCAGGGTTCAAGATATTTATTCTCCCGCTAGGAAATCCACATGCGGCCTGTTTTCTGGGTGGCGGGTAAAAGAGATTTATTCTCCTGCTCAGAAATGTATTTCCCTCCCAGGCGGGATGCGTAGTAGTTTATCAAGATCACATGAACCATTCAGATCTCAACATTCTGAAAGGGAGGTGAGATGAACCCTGTTTGACCATACTCCCTCACTTGAAAGTACCACAGCCAATACAGAGTACAGACCATTGCAGACATGACTGTCCATTGAATCCAAGAGGCCACCCTGCCTTTTCTATAGAAAAACTCATCAAAGAACTCACACAAGATGTCGCCACTGGATTAGCAGTGTCAGAGATTTTGTTCTTGTGAATTTTTGAAATTCCTATGGAGTTACTTTTGGATGATTATTTCATCATGCAGACTGATTTTTGTAGCTGAGTCAGCAAAAATGACGAATTGTTTCAAACTTGTTTTGATTGGACATGTTTGGAACACCTTTTTTTCTCAACACCATTTTTGGTCCATGTGCAAAAGTTGTTTAATGTGTGTGAAGAACATGAATGTTTGCATATTGTACCCTACTCCAGCTTGCTTCTTATTGCATTGTATACTGGCCATATATCGGGGAAATTAAGAACGCTACGTTCCCACGTCTACTTTATATTCATGTTGGTTAATATTTACCAGAATAATTGATTGTGGTAAAATATCCAACCAAATCATGGCCACGTGTTCATTTTTATGCAAATTTGTGGTTACCATGGTTACCTGGTTATGTTCCTGCAGTCAGTAATACAGTTGTCTTGTTTATAAGGAACTGTGTTTGACTTTTCCCTTATTTTGATTCACTTTGATGTACAATCTTTGATTTTTTGATGTTGGTTGTATGTTGCTTAGAGCTGTGATTAAGGTGGTATGTTGCTAAGAGCTGTAATGAAGGTGGTATGTTGCTAAGAGCTGTGATGTGGGTGGTATGTTGCTAAGAGCTGTGATGTAGGTGGTGTGTTGCTAAGAGTTGTGATGTGGGTGGTATGTTGCTAAGAGTTGTGATGAAGGTGGTATGTTGCTAAGAGCTGTGATGTGGGTGGTATGTTGCTAAGAGTTGTGATGTGGGTGGTATGTTGCTAAGAGCTGCGATGTGGGTGGTATGTTGCTTAGAGCTGTGATGAAGGTGGTATGTTGCTAAGAGCTGTGATGTGGGTGGTATGTTGCTAAGAGCTGTGATGTGGGTGGTATGTTGCTAAGAGTTGCGATGTAGGTGGTGTGTTGCTAAGAGTTGTGATGTGGGTGGTATGTTGCTAAGAGTTGTGATGTGGGTGGTATGTTGCTAAGAGCTGTGATGTGGGTGGTATGATGCGAAGAGTTGTGATGTGGGTGGTATGTTGCGAAGAGTTGTGATGTGGGTTGTATGTTGCTAAGAGCTGTGATGAAGGTGGTATGTTGCGAAGAGCTGTGATGTGGGTTGTATGTTGCTAAGAGCTGTGATGTGGGTGGTGTGTTGCGAAGAGTTGTGATGTGGGTTCTATGTTGCTTAGAGCTGTGGTGAGGGTGGTATGTTGCTAAGAGCTGTGATGTGGAAGGTATGTTGCTGAGAGCTGTGATGTGGGTGGTATGTTGCTAAGAGCTGTCATGTGGGTGGTGTGTTGCTAAGAGCTGTAATGTAGGTGGTATGTTGCTAAGAGCTGTGGTGAGGGTGGTATGTTGCTAAGAGCTGTGGTGTTGGTGGTATGTTGCTAAGAGCTGCGATGTAGGTGGTATTTTGCTAAGAGCTGTGATGTGGGTGGTATGTTGCTAAGAGCTATGACGTAGGTGGTATGTTGCTAAGAGCTGTGATGTAGCTGGTATTTTGGGGGAATGGTTCAATGGCTGAAAGTCCACTAGAAGATGATGAAAGTACCATGGGATTTCTACATCATTTCTGATTTTCTTGACAAAAAGACGCTTTAAACAAGAAGCAAGTAATAAAGTTTCCATCGTTTTTGCTGATTCACAAATGACAATTCTGTGTGTAGAGTCATTCAGATCTCCCTGTCCCCTATCCTGTCTTTGATGAGTAGTTCACAGGTACCCAGTCTCACCAGGTACTATTGTTAGTGTTTTCTGTTACAGCCGAGAGATAAACAGATCGAGACGAAGACGGCTGATGGAAGGAGGAGAATCACGCCTATCTTCCTTGCTCCTCAGCCAGAGATCGGATTTGAGTAAGTTCACGGGGGATCCTGAGGGGATTCTAGCCCAGACCCTCATTAATGTGTTTGTTGTGTCGCTGCATTCAGCGATAATCCAGCCATATGATGGCGGCCTGTAGGTAATGAAGTCGGGCCCAGACAAACCAGTGGTCGATACTGTGAGCAAAGTACTAACTGTTCGGGTACGAAGAGACACCATGCTCCCTGCCACCGAGTTTGATCACCTTGTAGTCGCTGCTGACAGCCATCATAGGTTGTGGGGACCTAGTTTACCTGGAATCTACCCAGGGGCGGGATTGCTGGACAGAATAGGTCCCCTCATCACCCATGTTTGTGGCCCGGGGTAGAATAGGTCTTCAGCAACCCATGCTTGCCGTAAAACGCGACTATGCTTGTAAGAGGCGACTAACGGGTGGTCAGGATCGCTGACTTGGTTGACGCATGTCATCATATCGCAATTGCGTAGATCAAGTTGAAGATGTCAGTCCCTGGATTCTTTGGTCCAGATTTGAATATTCAGATACCAATGTTATACAGCTGGAATATTTCTGAGTGCAGCTTCATCTTCACGGTTCATAGGCCTTCACACAAGTAAACTGGGATCTTTGACTTTGCCTGAACTGAAATTCCTCTCTCTCCATCGTTCACTCATCATGAAACTCTTCATCCCACGCAGGGAGGCTCCTCTACCCTTCACAAGCAAAAAAATAGAATTTGCTTCGTCTGAAAGACAGAGCTCAATACAGATAGAGAAGCAGGATCGAGTGACGGGCCCGGGGATACAGTCCTCTCCCTCCCAGTCCCTCCAGTCCCCACCCCCGGGCAGCAGCCTAGGCTCCCAGGACTGTAAGACCCCCTCCACCAGTGACCCACACAAGGCCACCGACGCCAAGACACCTGCCTCTTCCGCCTCCACTGCTGTGTTTCAGGTACGGGAGTCTAAGGCTGGAAATTTTAGCATTGATACCGTATTCGACGTAATAAGCGCCCAGGGCGCTCTCAAAATTAGAAATAGGGGGCTCTTATTAAAATATTATTTTGGTGAAAAAAAAACAGTTGAAAGATAAATTTTGTGTTCATGTACGACAGATATATTTTTCCAGAATTTAATTGCCCATAATTAAGGTTGCATATAACACACGAGTGCGTATCATACGCGAATAAATAAGTCTTGTGAACATTGATCATCCGGAAGGGGTGCTAATTGGGATTGTTCACTAGCCAATATATTCGCAAATATCGCCGTGGGCGCTTATTAGAGCGGGGCGCTTATTACGTCGAATACGGTATATGAACCAAAAGTATCACAATATTTCAAGTCGAATTGAAATTCACAAATTCAGAAATTAACAAATGATTACGGTTATCAACAAAGCAAAACTAATTGCGACCGGCTTGCTGTATATAATGTGTCTGTTACACATGCATTGTGATCTTAGCAACATCCAATAAAATGACGGATAATTAGGAAGTGGAAAATATTGTGTGGGGATAATCCGATATATGGGCCCATTTCGCACCAAGACATTTGGGTTATTTTGTTACAGGTTAATAACAAATTACAGATAAAAGAATGAATGCAGTATAGTGTGGTTCATATCGCAATACATAAATTATTGGACCCGTGACGATTCCGGGAAGAATAGGTCTTCAGCAACCCATGCTTGCCGTAAAAGGTGACTATGCTTGTCGTAAAAGGCGACTAATGGGATCGGGTGGTCAGGCTCGCTGACTTGGTTGATGCATGTCATCAATCCCAATTGCATGGATCGACGCTCATGATATTAATCACTGGATTGTCTGGTCCAGACTCGATTATTTACAGATCGCTGTCATATAGCTGGAATATTGCTGAGTGCGGCGTTTAAACAACAAACCAAACCAAAACATAAATTATTGAATACGAAAGTCAGGCCATCACTGTTTTTAAGTGATAAACTTTTTTGTTCTGGTTCACATAACTTACATATTATTCAAAGCAGTGCTAGACTCACTCTCTCAATGGACATCAAGGTTCACACAGGCTTGAAAAGACTTGAATTTGACAGTCCAGAGTGGTTTTTCAATCCTGCCGTGAAACTGCTTTATGTTGTAATCTGCCTCCCTAAAATTCAGTCAAATGCATCAAACAGACCTTGTATTTGGCTACTGTGGTTAATTCTGTAGTAAGCTAAATATAGTGCAATCATATTTTTTTCTTATAATGCGACATGGCATTTAGCAACAGTTTGAGTATAATGTATCGATGAAACACTGGTCTGTGAACTCGAGGAATCTAATGGTGTAGTTGGACGTACATGTAGTTCCAACAATGAAATACATACATGAAATCTGTTTGAAAGCACATTTGGGGATTACTCTTTCACATTGAAGAATGTGATCATTGCCTTGAAAAGTTTTAGCTTTGATGCCTCAAGTTTGTATGTATCCTTTTTATCAGTGAATTCTCTGTATTTCAGCCGATGAAAGCCCTTGAGAAGACGCCCACAAAATCAGAAAAGTCGAAGTCTGTCCCAGTCCCAAGCACTACCACCACCACCACCCCAGCAGAGAAGTAAGTGTTTAATGTCCTGCCTTCAGGTTCAGTAACTGCTGCCTTGGTCCAGTGGTTAGAGTGTCTGCCTGGAGGGGCTTGTGGTTTGATCCTCTGTTCTAGATCTGTTTATTGAATGGTCACAGTGATATACAGTCGAACCCCCTTATCTCAAACCCAACAGGGGCGGTTGGGTAGCCTAGTGGTTAAAGCATTCGCCTTGTCACGCCAAAGTTCCGGGTTCGATTCCCCACATGGGTACAATGTGTGAAGCCCATTTCTGGTGTCCCCCGCCATGATATTGTTGGAATATTGCTAAAAGCAGCGTAAAACCATACTCACTCACTCAGTCAAACCCAACAGAACCGTGTTTTAACTTGTCGTCGGTGATTCTGCAATACCGGGGCCATTTGAAGCAGAAACATCTTTGGCATTTTTAGAACTTGACTACCATATTTGCAAAAAAATGTGAAAGCTTGATTCTGATTGGACCATTTGTGACTTTCAGCCAATGAACTGATAGTAAATTTAGACATATTAGGCAATGAAAATTAGGATGTTTACATGCAATAATAGAGGCAGCTTTCCGAGTGATGTAAAAAAAAATTGAGACAGCTAGTGACTACCATAATAATATACAATAAACCCATCTACAAGGATGGGTCAGATGTACCACTGAGGGTAAATATAACGCGCCTATCAATAGATTATTGCAAGAATCCCACAAGGCTGCGCTCTTGGCAGAATACTGATGTGGCTAATGCCAGCTTCGAGATAAAGGTACAAAATTCTATATCAAAGTTGAAGTTGGGACCTAGTCCAAGGTTTGAGAAAGCACTATATATATTTATCTCGAATTCAAAGGAAGCAATCAAATTTATATGTATTAATATATTGAGGAGGTCAGGACTGGAGAGCTGGTTCATTGGAGATAACCAGGTTCGAGATAAAGAGGTTCGACTGTTGCTGGAATATAAGGGATTTATCGAGACCTGTTTAGAGGCTGATAGTTTAGCATTGAATTCAGTGTTAAAATTCAATGTTAAAATATCTCTGAATTTAGGAAAATAATTTTTTGAGATAATTCCAATTTTGAATAACAAGTATTCTCATTTTACCTGACAAGGGTGCTTTACATTAAGACAAAGGGTAGATTAGAATCCAAGATGAATCCCTGAATAGTGCTGACTGGCTTGACATACATCACTCACTGTACAGGTCAGTCGAGGACAAACAGAAGGAATATCATCGTGCAAAACTCGCCTCTGGGCTGTCACTAAAACGGAAGATCGATGACCGGCGGCCAGGGAAAGTGGGACGACCGCGGAAGGCTGATAGGGAAGCAAGGGAGGCAGAGAGAGCAGCTATCAGCATATCCCAGTCAATCTCTACCCCGGTGAGACTTGGTACACTTTATGTGGGGGACAAACTTCATAGCACGGGTTCAATTCCCTGAGATGACAGCCATTACGATTTTGGCGAAATCATTACAATGTTATGAACCAAATATTGCCAGTAGGATTCAGTGAAATATGTTATGAATTTTGTCAAAAACTTAATTATTTTATTAGATATGAACCTGGCGACAATCGATTATTATGAATTATTCATAATCACTTCTTGTAGCTTTTGAAGGGATGTTGACAGATTTTGAGCTGTTTGGTGATAAAATATAATGCAAAGGATATATTTTCATCAGACATACATAAAATGATTACTAATGTTTTTTGGAACTTACTAACTTTAGAATCCAATTGTCTCAGATATTTCTGAGTGCCTCACTTTCAGATGGGCATTTCTAAGTTGCCCACATTGGCGTATGTGGTGGCTGTACTTTGTCTCCCTGCAGTGACAGGTCTGAAATATCACTGACCACAGGACACAAAACATTCACTAACTCGCTCACGATGGGGCCAAACTTCATCATATTCATTATTAGTAAGCATATTTTGTTTAGTAAATGTAATATTCACTAGCAAGATATGTTTATAATTGCAGCTTGCACCTGACCGAGAAATTGTACGTCATGTGCCGGTGCCTAGTGACCTTCACCTTCCCGTGCCAACCATTGAAAAGGCATCGAACAAACAGGTGAGGAAACTGTAAATGTTTTTCTGTGGTCGTTAAATGAAATATTTTTAAAAGGACGTGAGTTTTGAACCCCTCTATTTGGAAAATAACATATCATGGAACCCAATGACCCATAAAAAATAATTCAAAATTTGAAATTAAAACGGCAATTTTTTACTAATCCTGCATTACTCCTTAAAGCATTCACTGCTTACTTACGACAACTAGAAGGACAGCGCTGCGAAGGTCCTGGGTGAAGAAATAAAGTTGTTGTTCTCAAGTCCCAATCAGTGGCCTTCCGTCGCTGTCCTGTGACCTTGATGACACCTAAGGTCATCTTCACATCACTGCTTGTCGCAGCACAGCTAGGACGTGTCCAAGCGGAGCTCTCCTTTTGGATTAATTTTAGACCTTCAGTTTGTCTACAATCTTAAAAATTGATCTGCGATGGGTGATGTATTCTTTTCATATTACTTTCACCATGTTGTGTAGTTTTATGTGAATTAATTAGGCGTGAAAAGACGCTTGTCTTTTTTCCCGCCAAAATATTGTTGTTCGCCGCCATTTTGAATTGTGTTACAATCGTTTGCCTGCCAAGGTAGTCATATTGTTTACAATTCTCAGCTACGTATGTATAACATGTTCTTAAATATTACTAGCTTTGGCGTAACAGTGAGTTGCGTATACTAAAATTATTGTATACTTTTTCAACTCGTTAAAAATATGGTTGCCGATAGATTAATATCAAATCTACGGCTTTCTTCCAGTCCCGCTTCATCAACAATTCTTTTATTGCGTACCTATGTTTATGCGATTAAATAGTTTTTTGTTGGTATTTTTGGTTTTACATTGAGTTGCGTATATGAACTATTGTATACTCTTGCAACTCGTAGTTTTTGCCAATAGATTATTGTTCAATTCTATGGCATTCTTCCAGTACCGCCTCATCAACAATGGCGTAATTGTGTTTGTTTTAAACATATTTTATTGACATATATGGTCAACGGGATTGGGCAAAAGTTATCCAACTTAGGTGGCCCTTTCCCTACTCTATATGTACAGACATTGATTATACATATGTGTGTGTATTGATTATACATTATACATATATATATGTAATTGTGTAACTTATGATTGAGCGTGGTATTAATTGTCGTGGGAAAAATCTTACAAAGATTATCATCCACGTTGTTTGGTTTGCGCGCAGATGTGCTCTCCAAACCCTAAATGAAAATATAAATACCCTTGGTTTACATTGGGTTGCGCATACAAAAATATTGTATATCCTTGCAACTCATAAATTTGCCGATAGATTAGTGTTCAAATTCTTCGGCACTCTTCCAGTATTATCTCATCAACAAGGGTTTCATTGCGTAACATACCTTTGAGCATTTTACTAATTGTCGTGGAAAAAACCTTACAAGCTTATCATCCACGATTGGTTGGTTTGCGAGCGGATGTGCTCTCCAATCTCTAAATGTAAATAGCCTTGGTTTACATTGAATTGCGTATATAAAAATATTGTATACCCTTGCAATTCGTATTTTTGCCGATAGATTACTGTTCAATTCTACGGCATTCTTCCAGTACCATTTCTTCAATGGTTTAATTGCGTAACATAATTATGTTTGCTCGGTGTACATATTGTCGTGGAATAATCGCCCAAAGCTCTTTATCCACGGTCATAGGCATGCACGTAGATGTGCTCGCCAAAATTCAAAATGTAATTTTTATGTAAATCTCTAATCCAACGAGTTTACTATATAAAAGCAGATTACTCACAATCATATTTTGCAGTTATTCCGTCGTGAGACGAGAGGAATGTCACTATCGCAGAATAGCGAATGACATATGGTTCTGTCATTACCACCCAACCGTTATTATCGGCAGGTATTATGACGCCTGTGATTGCAGAAGTACACCATCCACCGAAATCAACAAAACCGGAGGATTTTGTGAGTATCGTAACTGCTCCTATTTTTTCAGCCGCCGGACACTTCCAGATACATGTATGATAATCTGTGACGTCGGCGACAGCACCAGCACCAGCGTATCGAGATGCTATGATGGGGGTAGATTAGACGCAAGCCTTGATCCAGTCAATACTTTTGAGCTTTGTGTCTGATTTATCTGCGCCGAGCGCAGCACTTGACTACAACCCAAGCACTTCTATTACGCAAGCGGCGCACGATCAGCTTTGCGCTGTTCCAACATTCCAGACCTGCGCTGAGCGCAGCGTCTGCGTATCAATCAAGGTCTCCACAATGACGTTAGCCCAAGGCTTACAGTGTACTCGGTTACGTAACCGGCACATGATCAGCTTAGCACATGTACCCGATTGGGAAGCAGACCATCTCGTGTCAGTAACGCCCTCCCCTGATAACAGGGTAAATAAGAGGGACACCACGAGGCCATTGGAGGAAGCCTTCTCCAAAACTCACATTTGCTCCGTGATTTAAGCGACCAATATCGTCAATGTTTGCAGTGGATCAGAATCTATTAGAGGATAACCCCATCTGATTAGATCACTTCCAAACTATGGTGTTTTTCCTACAGCGTCAGTTTGACCACAGGAAAATTCATCTTGAGACCGTTCTGACGGTGATTACCGTTACACCCAAGACTTTATAGCGTTTCCAACTGGGATGCTGGTTTCAAGGGCAGTCTATTACGTCAACCTTGATCATCTACTCCCCTGTTCAACGAACAGATCGCAGACACGCACGTCAAGTTCCCAAAAAGCTTGGAAAGTCCAAGTCAGGGAAATTATAAGCCTAGACGCGCGTTTCTCAGGGAAGACCAGCATTCCCTTACTGAGAAAGGGAGTGGCAGAGACAAGTCTCAAGGACGATTTCGTACTTATCGCACTATATCATGGTGTCCGTATAAGGGTAGAGTTAACCCCACCGTTGACCACAGTTTGATTGGGAAAATCCAACATAGACATACTGTTGGTAAGAAGAGCTGTAGAGTGGGTTCACAACCCAGTCTTTACTCCGGGGTTTTATCCTCACACCTACCTGGTACTCATGAAGGACCCAGACAAGATGAGAATGATCCACAATCTCTGTGTTCAACAAACGTTTGATTCTTCATCAGTCTCGACTATCCATCCCAACCGTAGACTTTTCAGGTCCAGTTCATTGGGGTTCACTACCAATGGTAGTATTTCCCATTTGACATGTCAGTGACACTTATGGCTATTTACAGGAGTAATGAAGCCAATAACTATCTACACGTGACAAACACTTGGTTCGAGTCGTAGATGGAGGGCGATCTACTGTATCATCAACACATGTCAATAACTTGGATAGACAATCAACGAGGCGAAGTCGGGAGTATTCTCCTTCCTATTGACTTCAGTTCATAGGAGACCTGTTTAAGACAGACCAGGATATCCTATCTGTACTGAGGGACAGATGGCACAAGTTTCTACTTCTTTTGTCATCTACTCTACACCAACCACACACACTTCGCCAGTGGCAAGTGTTGCTAGGGTTAATCACCTCGGCACAGGAGTTAACTAGCATGGGCCGCTTACAACAGCGACCAATTCAATTTTTTCCTGAACCCTTACATCAGGAGTCAGGATCCACTCAAGGCCATCACTCTACCGACTAAGCTAGAGCCTTGCCTCAATTTGTGGCGCTGAATGTCTGCGGAGTCTGTTTATTCGGGTTTCCCCCGAATACACACCTGTTGGTGGACGTCCCCTTTCAGGGGTGGAGTCTTCACTTACAAGACCAGATAAGCTCAGGGCTATGGCCCGGCGCACAATGGAAGTGGCACATAAACAACTTGGAGTTGGAAGCTTTAATTCTGGCTATATCACATTGGCAGAATCAACTACCCGACTCGCTATATCCACAGACAACAGCACTGCGGTGTGGTGCCTGTGCAATCGGGGAACAACACACTCCCACTCTCCACTTCTAAGGACATTCAGATTTCTTCCATCTAGTGGATCGGCTGTGACTAAGGTTCATAGTTCAGCACATCCCCGGATGTAGAAACATACTGGCCGATACTTTATCACGTCCAGACAGGGTGGCTCCCACTGAGTGGAAATTTCTCACAGAAGCATTCCAGTTACTGCTTCAGGAATTCAGGCAACCAAACATTGACTTGTTTATTACTTGCCTAGGCCACCAACTCATGACGTATATATCTCCCCATTGCCGGATCCGCAGACTTGGGCGGTGGACGAGTTCAGTATCACTTGGGAAGGGCAAAGAACTAAAACTCTTCTGCCACCACTTTTACTTCCCAAGGTGCTACAGGGGATCAAGGAGACAAGGTATCTCGATCTCTCCTTTGATCGCACCATGGTAACCGGCAAGAGGGTAGTTCGTCAAGCTCGGAAAAATCTAAAACGATTCACTTCCCCTCTCACAGTGGTCCAACCTACTCATCCACCCTCAACAGAAAATTGCCTCACCCAACGTCTGCACGCATGGTTCGTCTTTAAAAGGCGTTTAAGTGCGAAGGGTTATTTCGACACGGGCAGCAAAGCTATAGCTTTAGTTCATCGTTACTCTCCCAGAGACGACGATGACAAGTGGGGATCACTTGAGACTTTTTACAGGGAAGAAAAGAATCAAGACCCTACGATTGCGTCACAATTCCTAGAGGAATACCTCCTACATTGCGTACCCAAAAACACTTGGAAGGTAGCACCATTACTACGTAATTGGCTGCAATTATCTTAGTGTTGGCCGTTTCCGGAAAATCACAGTGTGATTAAGGTCACGGAACTACAGGCCATATTATGCTCATTCAGGTTTGAGGATCAGAAGGCCAAGTTCCAGCCACCTGATTGGGACTTGAACGTGGTACTTCGAGGTTTGCGAGGGCCCCCTTCGAGCCCCTCATTGCATCCTCATTTTCAAGCTCCTTCCCAGCGCGTGACACCTTCGTTACACTCTCGGTATAGTATAGAGAGCTCCGCGAACGGGCTATCGCTGTGAGGAGCTTGGACATCACCAAGGAAACAATGGTTTCTCTTGGCATTAGCAATGGCGGTACGGGTGAGCGAACTACATGTGATCGACTCAACCCGGATCCGTTTTGAGCATGGGACGCACGGAACGGGACATCTAGGGTTATGCTGGGATTTTATTGCTAAAATCTACTACCAGGCCAACCCGACCGTTCTTCACCATCCCACCGATATCGACTATTGTGGGAATCGTACATGGTGAAGTTCTCCTGGGCTCGGTGCGAGCAGTTCGAGTTTTCATTCGACGCTCCAAGACAAGGCGTGGTTCGTCCACGACAGAAGTTAGTCGCATAATCGCAAAAACCATATCTATATGGTTACCCGCAGTAATCCTTCAGGCCTACGAGATCATCAAACGGAACTCGCCGAGAGCGAATTACCCTCAAGATCTCAAGGTGTCAGCCTTACCAGGGCTCAACACGGCAATTGTGGTTTTGGAACAATCACGGAAGGATATTTCTGGAGATTCGACACATATTTTCGTTAGTCATAACCTTCGCGTTGTGACTCTCGAGGATATCGAAGACGTTCGAAGTTTGGCCCTCTGGTTGTTATCCTGCAGATTGCCAACCACTGACGCAAATAATGAACTCGCCCTATACAGAGCCAGTCAACTTCCATGTGCAGTCACTCAGTCGCCACCAGTGGAAGAATATTAGACAATCTTGTTTGTCAGCGACGGCTCTATGACGCAGTAAGTAAAGAATTAGCTGAATAGCTATTATTTTCTTTATTACTAAGCGTGTATAGGGAATTTCTCTTTAATTCCTATGTTCAATGTTTTTGATTTTTGAACAACCCTACCGTAATGGCGTTTTTGTCTGAACTTTTCCGCTTCACGGTTTATCGACCAAATGGGGTCGTATTGCAGGGTGTGAATTATTGAGGTTTCTGTATTCTGAAGGTTTACCCACCTCCAAACCGTCCGATACAGATGCATTAAGGAGTAATGCAGGATAAGTAAAACATTTAGTAAAATCTAAATATTTTTTACATTTGTATACTTATCCTGCATTACTACGCTTAAGGCCCACCCGTCGTTAGACTTGCCTCCCCACTTTGGCTTCAGAAACCTCAAAAGTATGTTTTTCTAAGAGCTTGGGCGACAGGCAGTGATGTGAAGATGACCTTAGGTGTCATCAAGGTCACAGGACAGCGACGGAAGGCCACTGATTGGGACTTGAGAACAACAACTTTATTTCTTCACCCAGGACCTTCGCAGCGCTGTCCTTCTAGTTGTCGTAAGTAAGCAGTGAATGCTTTAAGGAGTAATGCAGGATAAGTATACAAATGTAAAAAATATTTAGATTTTACTAATATTGGATAAAAATATATAACAAATCTACACACGAATTCATTTACAAATGATGTTCCCTGAAATTTATTGATGACATGATGGAAATGCAGAAGTGTCCAACACTTTAGCTTCCAATATGTCACAATCTAAACCTTTTGCCAATACACAGCCCAACTCACTAAGGTTCAAATAATGAGGATCTACCTCAGACCATTGTAGCTTGAAAACTCCCAGGGACGGTCAGGGAGCCTAGTGGTTAAAGCGTTTTGGTTCAATTCCCGACATGGGTACAATGTGTGAAGCCCATTTCTGGTGTCCCCCGCCGTGATATTGCTGGAATATTGCTAAAAGCGGCGTAAAACCATACTCACTCACTCACTCACTCACTCACTCACTCACTCACTCACTCACTCACTCACTGAAAACTCCCGTGCTCCTCACTAGTAACACACATATGCTGATGTTGCAGATTCTAGGCAAGGCAGGCGTCCCTGGCTCTGTAGCTCTAGAGGTGGAGAACTGCGTGGGTGGCGGCTCTCACAAGCTGCACAAGGTCAGGTGTGTCAAGGATGGAAATGTCACATGGGAGCAGGTCATGACCTCCAAGGTCAATGCTGTAACAGGGTCAAGGTCAGGTCATTTTCTGTAATGTTTATTGACAGTTGCCCTTACACTGATGACATTTATGTATTTTCATCTCCATGTATTTATTTGTATCATCACCAAGGTTTGCACAGGCTTGAAAGGGCCTTGAATGTGATGCTCCTGCCTTGGAAAATCGTAACTTTTCGGAGGCACGGATGGCCCAGTCGTCTAAGGCACTGTAATTTGCTGTGCAGAGTTGCCTCCTTTGGGCATGCCAGAAATCTATGATCGTGGGTTCGAATTCCAGTGCGTTGCGATTATGTTTCTTGGTCTGTCAGCACCATACCCGTGCTCGTGGGTTTCACCAAACATCAGAGAGCTGCATCCCTTTGGGCTTTCATCCCAACATTATACCGACATGCCTTGATATAACTAGAATACTGTCCCAAGTGGTGTAAAACTCAACTCACTCCTGGGATTTGATAAAAAGCCTTGAATGTGGAAACCAAGGTTGACTGTGTTGTTCGATTGATATAGTACAATTATGTTTTCTCAAATAAGCCTTAATGACTTCATGTCAAAAGAATAATATCAAAACTCATGTGTGGATCTGAATATTTCGCTAGTGTAATTGGACAAGCATTCTCACAATAAAATCAAGTAGAATGTCCAAAACAAATCTGATTCAGAGCACACTAGGGTCTTACCTATGGCCTTATTTAATTGCCTTGAAAAGATCACAAAAAAGCCTTGAATTTGGTGGCTTATATTTTGTATGAACAGACAAGCTTTATGATAATATTTTAAGGACATCGTTGTATTGAGTGTTGACAATACAAATAATCAGTGTTAAAATTCTCACCAATTCACTACCTCACCCCCTTTCCCATCCACAAACCCTCTCACTCACTCACTCACTCACTCACTCACTCACTCACTCACTCACTCACGGGTGGCCCAGTCGTCTAAGGCGCGGCCAAAAACCAATGATTGTGGGTTCGAATACTGGTTCGCCTCGATTATGTTTCTTTGTCAGCACCATACCCGTGCGCGTGAGTAAACGTCTTGAGACCTGCATCACTTTGGGCTTTCACGCCTTGATATAACTGTAATACTGTTAAAAGCGGTGTTAAATCCAAGTTACTCACTCACTCACTCACTCACTCACTCACTCACTCACTCACGTAGGTACTTCCTGTTTCAGCCATGTGTATGGAGTTAGCTGTGAGAATCATTCCGTGTCCTTCTTCAGCGAGGGAGGGAGAAAAACCCTCCCGACCATCGTGCTGAACTCTAATGTCTCAATACTCAAGTGTACCAACTACCATGTCATGGCAATAACTCGCAAAGGGAGTCTCTATGTCTGGTAAGTCATCTTGTCATTTGCACGTTACAGATTCCTAAAATGTACAGAATGAGCTTTTAAAGTGAAATATTATTTTTAAGTAAGTGTGAAGCTATTACTCATCTTGTTTTTATATCCTGAAATCAGAGTTACTCTATTCATCATATTTGATTCATGTTTTGTAATTTAAGTTTTCGTTATTGATACCTTCATAGAATTAAATTTCTGGGGGAAAAAACTCTGCATATTTAGGCTAGTTAAATTTGAAATTGGCTGGTAACTTTTAGATTAAGGATAAAACATGACTCCTAAGGGTTTGGCTAAAAATGTAGCACCATAAGCAAGCAACTTTTTCCCTGGCTCGAAGTTTTACATAATCAACCAAAACCAAGGAGGAGTGTTTTATCCAACTTATGAACTGTCGACATGCATGAAAGAAATAGAAAACATAGGTTTGTATACCTTATGTTGAAAGAATGGTATTAAAGGAATTCGATAAAAGCATTCTAGAGAAAAGCCATGTGCACACAACTGAAGTCATGACATGTAAAATTGAACAACCTTTCATCACCTGCCCCGAAAACCTTAGTGGTTTTGTCTGTCAGCTGTCTGTGGCTATTCACAGGTCGCTGTCATGTAGCTGGAATATTGCTGAGTGCAGCTTAACTAACCAAAAATATAACACTTTTTCCTTTTCATGATCCAGGAATCTACAATCTCGGTGTGCTGTTATAAAGAATGAATGTCTGGCATCAATCATGACAGGTAAGCAGCTCTTTCTGCAGAAGGGGGTCCCAGCACTCTAAGGGAGAAGGGGCGGTCGGGTAGCCTCGTGGTTAAAGCGTTCGCTCGTCACGCCGAAGACCCGGGTTCGATTCCCGACATGGGTACAATATGTGAAGCCCATTTCTGGTGTCCCTCGCCGTGATATTGCTGGAATATTGCTAAAAGCGGCGTCAAACCATACTCACTCACTCACTCTAAGGGAGTAAGAACTGACGTCCACAGTACTGAGAGGCGACTATTTGGGCATTCTTCGGGTTAGACTTGGTCTCCAGCAGCCTGTGCTGGTCGTAAGAGGAAACTTAATGGATTGGGTGGTCAGATTTGATTCTTATCTCAAAAGGACCACCTCCTAGGTCTAGTGGATAGAGCGTCTGCCTTGGGAGCTGAAGATCTGTTTTTCAATCCTTGCGTTGTACGAAAAGACACCTCCAGATGGTACTTGTTATTAATTAACCTGCCAGGCGCTCTGCAAAAGAGAATGACACAAGGACTGGATTATTTCATATCAGGGTTGGTCATGGGTGGGTCAATGTTTGTAAATGTTTGTAAATGTTTGTAAATGTTCTCCTGTTGCGCAGGCTTGGACATGGGTTTGATATGAGTTAGTCAATGTTTGTGAATGTTTGTGAATGTTTGTGAATGCTCTCCTGTTGTGCAGGCTCGGACAAGGTGGAGAAGACTGCTCTGACATCTGATGGGATACCAGTCATTTCCCTCTCCAACAAAAAGTCCTACACATTTGCCGTGGAACTGGGAACATGGTATGTACATATCAGACAGTCCCTTGAAGATTCCAGCTGAGAATTTGTCTTCAGAAACCCATGCTTGTCATAGGAGGCGACAAGTGGGATCGGGTGGTCAGGCTGGCTTACTTGGTTGATGCATGTCATTGTATCCCAATTGCATAGATCAATGCCCATGATATCAATCACCGGATTGTCTGGTCCAGATTTGATTACATATATTTTATAGCTTGAATTGTGCTGAGTGCAGCGTTAAACAACAATCAAACATTTCCTGTACATATCTCAAAAGAGGTTCACTTTTTCTTCACAATCTTTACAAATGTTAACACAGTGATTTAGGAGTGGGTTTTCAACGGAATCCAGCTGGACTGGTTTGGCATTTCCCATGCTTCCCACTGCCACTGGAAAACCTGGAAATGTGTTGGAAAAAATTCCAGTCGGAATTTTTCGGAAGGAAAAAAGTGGGAACCATGTTTCAATATGTCATTTCCAGTTTAATCTACTAATTCTTGGAAATGTGAACTCATTAGTCCTGACATCATGTCAAACAAAGCCTGGAATATATACAAAGTGTACTCATCTGATCATACTATCTCAGTACTGCAAAAATAAGTAGGCACCAAAGTGAAAAGGGGAGATTGAACAGGGAAGGGGACATTGAGTTGGGAAGGGAAGATTGAGCTATTAGGCACTCAGCAATATTACCAGGCATAGAAACTTCCTTTGCGAGATATTGAGCCGGGAAGGGGAGATGGGCCGGGTTTTGGAAGATTGAGCAGGGAAGGGGAGATTGAGCCGGGAAGGGGAGATTGGGCCGGGAAGGGGAGATTGGGCCGGGAAGGGAAGGGGAGATTGGGCCAGGAAGGGGAGATTGGGCCGGGAAGGGGAGATTGGGCCAGGAAGGGGAGATTGGGCAGGGAAGGGGAGATTGGGCCAGGAAGGGAGATTGAGCAGGGAAGGGGAGATTGAGCAGGGAAGGGGAGATTGGGCCAGGAAGGGAAGATTGAGCAGGGAAGGGGAGATTGAGCAGGGAAGGGGAGATTGAGCAGGGAAGGGGAGATTGGGCCAGGAAGGGAAGATTGAGCAGGGAAGGGGAGATTGAGCAGGGAAGGGGAGATTGGGCAAGGAAGGGAAGATTGGGCCAGGAAGGGGAGATTGAGCAGGGAAGGGGAGATTGAGCAGGGAAGGGGAGATTGGGCAGGGAAGGGGAGATTGAGCAGGGAACGGGATGTTGAGCAGGGAAGGGGAGATTGAGCAGGGAAGGGGAGATTGGGCCAGGAAGGGAAGATTGAGCAGGGAAGGGGAGATTGAGCAGGGAAGGGGAGATTGGGCAAGGAAGGGAAGATTGGGCCAGGAAGGGAAGATTGAGCAGGGAAGGGGAGATTGAGCAGGGAAGGGGAGATTGGGCAGGGAAGGGGAGATTGAGCAGGGAATGGGATGTTGAGCAGGGAAGGGGAGATTGGGCCAGGAAGGGAAGATTGAGCAGAGAAGGGGAGATTGGGCCAGGAAGGGAAGATTGAGCAGGGAAGGGGAGATTGGGCCGGGAAGGGAAGATTGGGCGGGGAAGGGAGATTGGGCGGGGAAGGGAGATTGGGCCGGAAGGGGAGAACTGGTTTGAAACACAAGATGATATTAATGTTTGAATCTTACTTTTTGTGTCACCTGCTGAAGAGTTCCTGGAGCATTGAAACTCTCACTCACTCACTCACTCACTCACTCACTCCACAGGGTTCTTGTCAACGACAGAGAAGACACTCTACATCTGTGTTCCAACCATCATGGCTGCCTGCCGCCTGGGAGCGTCAACATGATAGCCGGACCCCTCACATCACTACAGGCCAACCCGGACAGGTGAGAACTACTACTGTCATGCAGGTTTAGGGTGGCCTACCGAGAACTTAGTGGCCTACCCAGTAGTTAGTGGCCTACCCAGGACTTAGTGGCCTACTCAGGACTTAGTGGCCTACTCAGGACTTAGTGGCCTACCCAGCAATTAGTGGCCTACCCAGAACCTAGTTGCCTACCCAGAACTTAGTTGCCTACCCAGAACTTAGTGGCCAACCCAGGACTTAGTGGCCTACCCAGAACTTAGTGGCCTACCCAGTACTTAGTGGCCTACCCATTAATTAATGGTGTACCCAGAACTTAGTGGCCTACCCAGTACTTAGTGGCGAACCCAGTACTTAGTTGCGTACCCAGTACTTAGTGGCCTACCAGGAACTTAGTGGCCTACCCAGTACTTAGTGGCGTACCCAGTACTTAGTGGCCTACCCAGTAATTAATGGCCTACCCAGAACTTAATGGCGTACCCAGTACTTTGCGGCGTACCCAGAACTTATTTGCCTACCCAGTACTTAGTGGCGTAAGCAGTACTTAGTGGCCTACCCAGTACTTTGCGGCGTACCCAGAACTTATTTGCCTACCCAGTACTTAGCGGTGTACCCAGTACTTAGTGGCCTACCCAGGACATAGTGAACAAGAGGAATTAATTTGTATTTTTTGAGGGGCGGTGGGACAGATGATCCCAATTATAAGTTCCCTTTAGGTTATTCTGTTATTTACCTGTCAACCTTTTTGTAAGAAATGGATGATGTCATCTTCAAATATTTGCCTGAATACACTGATCTGACCCTTGCTGTGAGTGACCCATGAAGATCCGGGGTAGAATAGGTCTTCAGCAACCCATGCTTGCCTTAAAAGGTGACTATGCTTGTTGGAAGAGGTGACTAACGGGATCAGGTGGCCAGGCTTGCTGACTCGATTTTTTACAGACCGTCGTCATGTCACTAGAATATTGCTGAGTGCGGCGTTAAACAAAAAACAAACAAACAAACAAACACTAAAGAAACCTGCTTGCACATACATGGAAGATCCCAGTAGAACCCTAGGTGTTGTTTCAGACCTGGCCACAAGGCAGCAGGCATGCTTGGCTCCTCATCAGAACTGAAGAAGACGGCCACACTCAGCCACCTGGAGTCACAAGTTGCCGTCTGCCTCAACCTCAAGTCGACATCGGAGTACAAGTTCTGGCTGCTTACTTATGTCCGATATCTAGTCCAGGAAGGTGAGTCTTATGTCTGATATCTAGTCCAGGAAGGTGAGTCTTATGTCTGATATCTAGTCCAGGAAGGTGAGACTTATGTCAGATATCTAATCCAGGAGGGTGAGACTTACTTATGTCTGATATCTAGTCCAGAAAGGTGAGACTTATGTCAGATATCTAATCCAGGAGGGTGAGACTTACTTATGTCTGATATCTAGTCCAGGAAGGTGAGACTTATGTCAGATATCTAATCCAGGAGGGTGAGACTTACTTATGTCTGATATCTAGTCCAGGAAGGTGAGACTTATGTCAGATATCTAATCCAGGAGGGTGAGACTTACTTATGTCTGATATCTAGTCCAGGAAGGTGAGACTTATGTCAGATATCTAATCCAGGAGGGTGAGACTTACTTGTTTCTGATGTCTAGTCCAGGAAGGTGAGACTTATGTCAGATATCTAATCCAGGAGGGTGAGACTTACTTGTGTCTGATGTCTAGTCCAGGAAGGTGAGACTTATGTCAGATATCTAATCCAGGAGGGTGAGACTTACTTATGTCTGATATCTAGTCCAGGAAGGTGAGACTTATGTCAGATATCTAATCCAGGAGGGTGAGACTTACTTATGTCTGATATCTAGTCCAGGAAGATGAGACTTATGTCAGATATCTAATCCAGGAGGGTGAGACTTACTTATGTCTGATATCTAGTCCAGGAAGGTGAGACTTATGTCAGATATCTAATCCAGGAGGGTGAGACTTACTTATGTCTGATATCTAGTTCAGGAAGGTGAGACTTATGTCAGATATCTAATCCAGGAGGGTGAGACTTACTTATGTCTGATATCTAGTCCAGGAAGGTGAGACTTATGTCAGATATCTAATCCAGGAGGGTGAGACTTACTTATGTCTGATATCTAGTCCAGGAAGGTGAGACTTATGTCAGATATCTAATCCAGGAAGGTGAGACTTACTTATGTCTGATATCTAGTCCAGGAAGGTGAGACTTATGTCAGATATCTAATCCAGGAGGGTGAGACTTACTTATGTCTGATATCTAGTCCAGGAAGGTGAGACTTATGTCAGATATCTAATCCAGGAGGGTGAGACATGTCAGATATCGCATTGTTCATCCGTCGTTAAGTTAATGATGCCAGGTTTAGTATCTCTAAATAATGCTCACAGAATTCCAAACTGACTGTGAACATGGCTGCGATTATTTGTGCATAATTCAGGTGAGCTACAGAGCCTTATGGCTCTATTTTTATATGCAGTGATCCATTGTGACAGTTTTCAGAGGATAGGTGAAACTCATGGGTAACAAATATCTGTCATATAGCTGGAATATTGCTGATTGTGGTGTTACACGACAAACAGAACAAGCTAACAAATATATCAGAAATATCCGGAGCTGGTTCCAATTCATTCCCTGTCCAGGGATACAAGAACTCAGAATAGAGAGGGAAAGTTGTCTTGTTGAGAACAGAAAGGGAAAGTGAGTTTGTTCTGTTGAAGCAGGCATGTTTCTTTTCTAGGTTTTGAAACCCAGCTACGGGAAGTGTGTAATGATCTTCTTGGGCCGCTCTACAAGTCCAAGAAGTCCTCCTCATGGCAGGAACAAGTGCTGGTAGGTTGGATGTGTGTCTTTACACCAGTATACAGTGTTCAGTCTTAGACAAAGACGTCCATACTGACATTCTATCTCCTATGTTAGAGATTACAGATGTAGGGGTTGTTGTATTAAGGCAAGACTTTTAAAGAAAATTGTTCAAGGATTCTGCTGACCCTACAATAAAAGCACTATTTCTTCCTTAATTTATATCAATACTATGTCAATCTAGGAAAAAATACTCACAAGGACTACATTTTTGTGGATGCTGGTAAAGAGAGGGTCATTATTTAGCTTAACTCTGTCTGCTACTTGGCTTTTGAATTGATTTGTATGACTTGTGTTAACAGTGTTGCAATTGAGACACCTAACTTGTGTTCCCACGGTGCTTTTTTTTAAATTGTGTTCCCAAGTATATACCAGTTGGCCCTTAAGTTTCATGAAGATCCGGGGTAGAATAGATCCCGTGTCTTCAGCAACCCATGCTTGAAGTAAAAAGCGACTATGCCTGTCGTGAGAGGTGACTAACAGAGTGGTTGGGCTAGCTGACTTGGTTCATGCATGTCATCGAATCCTAATTGCGTGGATCGATGCTAATGGTATCAATCACTGGATTGTCTCGTCCAGGCTTGATCATTTACATCATATAGCTGGAATATTGCTGAGTGGGTTTAAAACAACAAACAAACAAACATTAAGTTTCAGAAGTACATTTGTAAAGTGACTTGTCTTTTACAGGGTCTCAACAAAAGAGATGTTTTACGAGAAATCCTCCCAATAATTGGCAGCAATCTCCGATGGCAGCGCCTCTACACAGAATATCATGAGCAGCTAGAGTCAGTCTGAGTCGGCCTACCTCCTGGTTTCATCTACTTGCTTCTCTTCCTTCATCAGCGGGGGCACGAGTGGCCCAGTCGTCTAAGGCGCCGGGATTCGCTGTGCAGAGTTGCGTCCCTTGGGCACGCCATAAACCTATGATTGTGGGTTCGAATCCCGGTTCGCCCTGATTATGTTTCTAGGTTTCTCAGCACCATACCCGTGCTCGTGGGTTTCACTGAAGTGCATCACTTCGGGCTGTCCTGACATGCCGTGATATAATTGGAATACTGTTAAAAGCAGCGTAAAACCATATTCACTCACTCACTCACTCCTTCATCTGTAGCCTGGAGCGTGGAGGAAGGCCGGCTAGGCGCAGCTCATGGAATCATTGTACATATTCATGGGATGAAAGGACCACCGTGAAACGATCAATACTTAAATGTTGTGCTGTAAAAATTGTAATCTAAGATGCCAAACCCATTGTTGAGATCTTTATGAATTCATCTTCTGATGATCATGTATTTGGTATATATTGCTTCCCCACCCTTACCTTGCAATAATATCATGAAATATTGCAACCTAATTCTTACCTTGCAATAATATCATGAAATATTGCAACCAGGTTCTCACCTTGCAATAATATCATGAAATATTGCAACAAGATTTTTATACCTTGCAATAATATCATGATATCTTGCAAACTGATTCTTACTTTGCAAGACATATATCATGAAATATTGCAACCTGAGTTTAACTCTATGATATATATATCATGATATATTGCAAATTGACCTGTAGCTTGCAATATATGTATCACTGTAGATTGCAACCTGACCCTTATCTTGCAATGTATATATCATATATTGCAACCTGAGCCTTTTGCCTTCTGCTGTCAATATACATCATGATATATTTAAACTGATCTGCAGCTTGCAATATATATATATATATATATATATATATATATATATATATATATATATATATGTATGACACAGTCTGGTCTAAGATCCTGTGATTCAATGTGCAGGGTTGCATTCCTTGTTTTGCCAGGATCCGCTGATCATTCGCCTTGGTTACGATCCTTGTTCTGTCAGCACCATACCAGCACCATCTCCAAAGTGGTAAACGTCTAAGACATGCATCACTCCCACAATAGACTGACACCCTGTGATATATCTGAGATGTTGTTCACATATTGAACTCCAACTCACTTTTGTGACTGACGTTGATTCACTGCCAGACCTTGAGAAGGTCATAAGAGGAAATGTGAGGAATAAAATACATACCGTATTCGACCCAATAAGCGCCCAGGGCGCTTAAAATAAAGACAGAAGGGGTGGGTGCTTATTGGACCAATTCAGAGTCAAATTGGCGTAAATTCATCAGTAAGCCTTAAGTCACAAATATCTAAAATAAACAGAATACAGTCATGCCCTGCTTATACGGACTTCAAATATCCGGAAACCTCGGTTCCTGGATGATTTTAATTTAAATGAAATTATTTCTATATAAATTTCCGGAACCGGTGGGGGGTGCTTATTGGGACATGGGCGCTTATTGGGTCGAATACGGTAACAGTTTACTGCAAGGAGACTTAAGGATATTGATCGCCAATCACTATGTAAATACATCAGCATTCTGCAATGCAATTCATCGATGCTGTTTCAGCAGTGGTCTCTAACATACCGTATATCGCCATCTATATTGCGAGGTTTTGGCCCCTAGAATGACGGGGTGATGAAAGGGGTATAAAAGGGGTAGAAGATCTCACGTTGTTTTCCAGCTACTTCAGCAGTGGTCTCTAACATACCATATATCGCCATCTATATTGCGAGGTTTTGGCCCCTAGAATGACGGGGTGATGAAAGGGGTATAAAAGGGGTAGAAGATCTCACGTTGTTTTCCAGCTACTTCAGCAGTGGTCTCTAACATACCATATATCGCCATCTATATTGCGAGGTTTTGGCCCCTAGAATGACGGGGTGATGAAAGGGGTAGAAGATCTCACGTTGTTTTCCAGCTGCTTCAGCATCCATTGAATTTGTCAACCTCTGTTTGAAAGTTAGGTGACTGACGACATTGAAACTTCGCATTTTTTCGTCTGAAATAACTATAACCAGAAATTTTTGTATATAAAGACAAATTATATCTGACATCCTGACTTTGAAGGTTTCTACAGAGGGGGTCGTATAATCAAGGGTGAACCTACCGGCACCATTGTAGCAGAGGAGCAATTGCTTACACCTTAACAAAAGCACTTTTTTTTAATAATTTAACCTCAATTTATCATATATGCAGTAAGTTGTTAATTCAAACTCTACACGGTCGAACAATATATTTATTGTCTAACTTGAAAATCGGAATCTTTACTCACACAAATGAAGATGTAAAAACATCGATATATATATTATCGATTCGTTTTAATGTTCAAATTTCATTTGTCATTATAGATGTTTGATGAATGAAAGTTGACAATGCGTTGGGGGGAAACACGTATATATATTACAAATAAAACATTATAGATAAATTCCCAATATTTGTTACAAATAAAATCTAACATAAACGGTCCCCAAATGCAGGAAATAGGGTTTAAGAGCATCTAATTTAAAAAACATTCTGGGGGAGTTTGCCTCTAGCGTGCCTTTGTAAAGTAGATCTTGCTTACAGTTAAAAATAGCCAAGTTGCGCCCCTAATTATAGACAGCAAAATATGGTATGTCTCCATGGCAGCATCTTTACCAGTTATTGGTTCATCTCATCAAAAGTCAGGGAAGAGCACAGTCAAGGTTATCTCATCTATTGTCTCAGGGATTTTGAATCCAGTCCCAACACTGGTTAAAGCAGCATGTAAATTTTTTGAATTTGACAATCAGCCTTTATTTTCTGGAGGAATCAGTTTAAATTTGTGCGACTCAGTGGATTGGTTGGTCAGACTCAGTGGATTGGTTGGTCAGACTCAGTGGATTTGGTTGGTCAGACTCAGTGGATGGGTTGGTCAGACTCAGTGGATGGGTTTGACAGACTCAGTGGATTGGTTGGACAGACTCAGTGGATTGGTTGGTCAGACTCAGTGGATTGGTTGGTCAGACACTGATTTGGTTGATAGCATGTCATTGTACCCCAAGGGGCGGTCGGGTAGCCTAGTGGTTAAAGCGTTCGCTTGTCATGCAGAAGACCCGGGTTCGATTACCGACATGGGTACAATGTGTGAAGCACATTTCTGGTGTCCCCCGCCGTGATATTGCTGGAATATTGCTAAAAGCGCCGTAAAACCATACTCACTCACTTGTACCCCAATGGTGTGGATCATTGCTCATTATATCAATCACTAGTTTGTCTGCTGCAGTCTTGATTATTTATAGACTACTGTCATATAGCTGGAATATTGATGAGTGCAGTTTTCAAGTCACAAAGAAACATAGTTTTATAATAAATGAGTGGGTTTCAATGCCTGATTCTTTGGTTTGTCAGGACTACACAAATACTATACCCTCCAGACCCGTGAAGATTCTGGGGTAGAATAGGTCTTCAGCAACCCATGCTTGCCGTAAAAGGTGACTCTGCTTGTCGTAAAAGGCGACTAACGGGATCGGGAGGTCAGGCTCACTGACTTGGTTGATGCATGTCATCGATCCCAATTGCGTGGATTGATGCTCATGATATTAATCACTGGATTGTCTGTTCCAGACTCGATTATTTACAGACCGCTGTCATATAGCTGGAATATTGCAGAGTGCGGAGTTAAACAACAAAGCAACCAACCAACTAGACCCTCCAAAAACAAGTATTGCTGTGCTCATATCTGGTCTGAACTGACCTAATTCATCTGAATACAAGAAACAAGTGGTCAGGTTCTTCTTTACCACCTGAGTCCTATGAACCATTGTAGCAGCCAGGTTGTTCATACGTCAAGGGAGGTATGCTGTTTATGCAATGGAATAGAAGGCTGGAGTGAGCTTGTCTCATGACTATAAAATGGCACTAATGATGCACTTTTGCACTTACTCAGTTATGTTCACACTCCGAGGACATAGTGAACACCATCAGTTTAGAAATACTGTAAACGCTAATTCATCGCCCGGGCCATCGTTATAGAACACTTTTTCTGAATGAGGTGTGGAGTGATGTCAATTCAATAGCTTGCAGAACAGAAAGCAGGAATGGTGATTATTTGAAACAGTCACTTCCTCATACATGCACTGTCATTCAGTGACGAATCTGACCAAAACCAAGGGCTTCATGAAAAATATCTATTGAATAAGGCTTTAGAAAATAAAAGAATTGGTTCTCAGGCAATGGCTTTAGTAAATATAGTGCGGGCAGGCGGTGTTTTTTTTTTTTTTTTAAGGTTGTTCAAACTGTTATGTAACCAAATAAAAAGTTGTGTACAATCAATCTGGGAAAGGGCCTCCCTACATAAATGTATTCCTTGATGAGTAAAATACTGGAATACAGTATTTGACTACCATTGGACTTGGATTTCTTTTTTCTTCAAAAATGGAAATAAAAACGAAACGTGGGGCTGACTTCATGATGATGTGTGCAGTGCCTGAGAACCAAGACTATTATTTCTTTCAGCCTAATATCCTTATTTGTTTAAACACCAATCAACTTTGGTCTGCAGTCACTTAGGTGTATGAAGGAACCTGCCATGTGTATTTTGATGTGGAGCAGGAGCTATACTTGGGAATGGCATCAACTATAAATCCCCATCACAGATTCACAACCTCATGACAGTCTCAAAGCAGGGTTAAAAGTACCTGAGAAATTCTTGAATTTATGAAACTTGCAGGCATTCAATTCATGTCTGCCAGGTTAAGCTTGTTTAAATAAGTTTCAGGCTCCGAATATTTTTATCTCATTTGCCTAAAGGTCATGTGACTTGACAAGGTTTGATTCCTCACAGGAGAACTTTGTGAGAGGCCTTGTGGGAGCCCTGCAGTGTTAATGTCTTAGGGGCGGTCGTGTAGCCTTGCAGTTAAAGTGTTCGCTCGTCACGCCGAAGACCCGGGTTTGATTCCCGACATGGGTACAATGTGTGAAGCCCATTTCTGGTGTCCCCCGACGTGATATTGCTGGAATATTGCTAAAAGCAGCGAAAAACCATACTCACCCACTCACTAATGTCTTAGTAATATATTTAAATAGACAACAATAGTGTTGGTTTCCACATGCAGTTTGATCCCAGTATCTTGAACCAAGCGAGCGTGTTGTAGCTTTGAGATACCTGCATCTGGACAATTGAGACCCTGTTATATAGGGTAGTGTGATTATGTTTGTCGATGACACTTAGTGCTGTATTGCTATGTTTTATACCTTACAATACCATTTTGCCATATTTCTACACTATGGATGTGAACTTGTTGAAATGTTTTTTTCATATGTTGTATATACGAATTGTATATATTTTGCAGTTGGCGAGATTGTTGCAAGGTCAGTGATAGTTGTTGGTACAGTGACTCCTCTCCTCTAAAACAAAAGCCTCTGTCGGGGTTCTGGGTTAGAATTGGTCTCCAGTAAACTCTGCTTGTCGTTAGGCGACGAAATGGGGATCGGCTGGTAAAATTTAGTGACTTGGTTGATTTGCTTATATCAGTCACTTATTTGCCTGGTCGGGATTTGATATTTTCAGGCCACCATCATAGTGATGAGTGTGGCGTTAAAGAACAAGACAAGGAAAAGAAACGTCTCCAGTGTCCTAAAATTTTGAAAGCATATTCCTGGGATCAAGTGAATATTTCAGAAAAACAGGTAGTGGTCATGATGATAGTGAAATAAATTAAAAATAAGATTTTCTTATGGGCTATTCATGTTACGTTTGTCTGTTACATGATCAACTAGTTGGTCTTCTTTAGATATTGACTTCTCAAATAGAATGTATACTGTAGTTGCCTGCCAGATGGACATTTTGTACTGATTGACCTCACCAAAGGTATCTCTTCACCAGTTGCAACAGGCGCTGTACCAGCATGCGTATGTGGACATGATTGGAAGTGTTTGATCCCTCACAGGAGAACTAAGTGAGAGACCTTGTGGGTCTCCCGCTGTGTTAATGTCTTAGTAATACATTTAAAGAGAAAACAATGGTGTTGGTTTCCACATGCAGTCCGACCTTAGTATCTTGAACCTTGCGAGCGTGTTGTAACTTTGCATGGTTCAACTTCGCATGTGTATGTGGACATATTTGGTGGTGTCACGTGTGTGTATAGACCAAGCATCAATGCCTGTTTCGGTATTATTACATCTCTTGAGTTGAGTGTACCAAGTGCTATGCAAAGAGTTGTCGTGTTTCTTCTCGATCTACATATCTTGGTGGATTCTAACCGATTATCCATGTTTGAAGTAATAAGATAGGTATGCTATTTTTAGTGGCGCCATTCCATGAACACGTTTAGACTTTATTATGTTTCTTTCATTTTTTTCCCCCTGAAATTATTAAACAAATTTGTGTTCTCCCTGAAGGATGTGCGAGCTGCAAATGTTCAGGAGGGGTTTCCAGGTCAAGGGCAAATTATGAAATGTTCTCTCCCACCAAACTGTTGAGATCGTGGGAAACCGTGAAGGGATTTGTTTGTCTGATATGCGTTGATGAAATGAAATTGTACGAGTCAAATATACTTGTTTGTTATCTTTTATTACCATTATTTAACGAGTCACACTGTGGACAAACATTGGACGGCAAGGTTGGATCTGAACAGTGTATTTGAATCCATTTTTTTGTTTTGTATGTTTTGCACTCATCAGTATTCCAGCTATATGACGGCGGTCTGCAAATAATCGAGTCTGGACCAGACAATCCAGTGATTCACATGACCATCGATCTACGCAATGGGGATACGATGACATGCATAAACCAAGTCAGCGAGCCTGACCACCCGATCCTGTTAGTCGCCTCTTACGCCAAGCATGGGTTGCCGAAGAGCGTAAGAGCCGCCCGTGATAAGGATCGGGCGGCCAGTGCTTGACCAAGACGCGTTCCTCCGAGAGACCCACAGTCGTACGTCTATGTAGACAACACAAGTTGCGACTATCGTATAACTAGGAAGTCTTTGTGGAACGGTGCCTGGCACATGGTGTGGCATCGAGGGGTCAAACAATACAGCAAGGCCACGATACGATGCATATGGTACCTAGGTCACGATACGATACTTATTTACGTCAAATCATGAGACAAGAACGCTGGGGTGGGCGTCAGTAAATGAGTGGTAGGTAATTTACTTTAGCAATTGTAACGGTACAGAAAAAGCGTATCGTGTATCGTATCGTCGCAGGAAATATTGAGATGCGTGACGGGGCACTGTTGTATCGTTTCACCCCTATGAAGTGGCATCGCATCCCGACTGCGTGGATCGGTGCTGGTTCCGTCGACCACTGATTTACCTATTTTATGTTCGATTATTCTCAGGCTGCCCTGAGACTGGAATTGTGAAAAGGGCGAGGTAATAAACAATTCATTCCCTCACTCGTGTATTTATGAAGCGTGTCAAGCATGCGCAAATTGACTGGATGGTAATAGCAAGGCTCGCTGCCAACCAAACAGACTGTCAAAGCTAATCATATTTTGATGTCCAGGCACGAAGTAAGTTTTAAATATCTAGGTCATTGTCAAGATGTTTTATTAAATAATTTTGTCAATCCGTTGATCTGGAAGTACACATGCACTGTATGGTGCTCATATGCTTCAAATAAAGAAAAAAGAGAAAATACCCTATATGGTTTATGTTAAAGCCAAACACATTGCCTCATTTCCAAACATGTATCTTCGATGTTTCAGCCAGTTCAATGTAGAACATTCAAACGACTTCAGCTGCTATCACACAATACATGGTTAGATAACGGGTAAATGCCAAATAATTTGATCACTAAAACAAATATTGTCTGCTCTATTTCACGTTCCCAGTGGAGAATCCGGGTCAGAATAGGTCCCCAGCAACCTTTGCAGGTTGTAAATGGCGACCTAATGGATCAGGGCTTGGTGTGTTGGTTGAAAATGTGGATCGTTAAGTGACAGTGTGGATCGTTGCTCACAATATCACTGGATTATTTACAGGGTGCTGTCATATAGCTGCAGTATTGCAGCATTAAACAACAGACAAACACGCATACACCTGCGTTCATCCGTAGATGCTATGTGTTAACACAGAAGCCCAGTGTGGATTCAGAAGAAGAACGCACGTAGGTCCTCAGTGCCGTGCACTGAAACTGAAACAAGGGAAGGGCCTGTCAAGTTGTGACCTACATGACTTTGTGTCATGTTCCCCCCAATGTCCTGGATTGTTGTTCGTGTTTTCAGGCACTGGTATGTCTGGTCTAGACTTAATTACTTATGAGCCGCAGTAATATAGATGGAATATTGCTGACTTGAGTGAAACAGCACCGACCCACTCACCCACCCCTGAGCTTAAGGCCTAAACATAAACCGATGGTCTTGGTCCACTTCGGCAGATCATGAGCAAACTGAAGATTTGAGCGACTTGTTTTGTTCAAGCTGAACATGCTTTCATGCGGTATGTCTTCACACAAACGGTCATTAATTGGTTTAACAATATGTCTGCGGTATTAGGGATGTCCTTAAAGTGGGATGAAGGTCCAACTTGAGGCCGATTCAAACCATAATTGTCGGATTTTCGCAAGGCTCAGAAAGTTTCTGCGCCGTAAACTGCTTTGCAATCGATGCCCGAAAATATCCCGATGATAATCGGCGTATCCTGTCACGACTAACGTAGTAACTCGACTATTGCGCTACCCTTCAAGGGGTAGTATCATTCGTCACCACTCGCCCCTTTCCGTAACCTGCAAGAAGACTCGTCCCCCTATCGAGGAATGTTATGTGCGAAAATACAACAAACCAATCAGAATGCGCGCATTTGAAGTTCTTCGTCAAAGAATCCCCCAGAAACAATTTTTGATTTAACATATGTCTTGCATCTAAAATGTGGTCAATCATACTGTATAATTCCGCATGTCCCGATGTGCTTTAAATTGCATCTGAAATATATATAATATATGGGGAAATATATGTGAACCATTACTCAACGAGTTGACAATTGTTTTAGGTATGCCCGTTTGCGCTAAGACGGAACCCGGTCGCAAAAATGGCCATGAGAGGGGCACGAGTCGCTCTTCGGCTTGTCCCGGAATAACACGAGTTGGTCACGAATGGAGGTAGTATGTATCCGCCATTGTATAAGGTGTCTTGGTAAATCTTGTGGCTTCTGATATGGTGGATGCAGGATCTCAGTTATGGAAGTCCCTTCTCCTAAGCGGTAGTCGATCTTTTTCAGCCGCAATTAAAACATCCGCCAGATCGTTTCGGGAGAACTCGCGAAAGGCACAAGCGAGGTCATTGATGAGGTCACAGTCGGATTTGCCGCTGTTGGTAGCTATCCACTTGTGAAACATTCTGAAGGCAGGGCTGATGTGACGTCCACTGGCCTCTTCTGAGATTCTCTCCACTTGGGTCAAGGTCATCCCGAGTTCAATGGCCGTCTTCTGCCACTCAGACCAAGGCAGCTGCTCACTTAGAACCAGAAGGCTCTTCTCGCACAGAGCTGGGTGCCCTGCGACACAAGGAGAAACAGAACGTCTCTTATACTGAAACACTGCAAGAACACAAGTTACTCGACATGTAATTGTGTGTGTCTATAGAAGATTGAAATGTGAGATATGCTACGGAAGAGCAAGCGCAGATAAACCCGCTTGGAAAAGGGAGGTGGTGGCGTTTTGGGATCTCAAGTTCCATATAAGTGTTGACGACATGCAATTGTGTCGCGAAGAAATTTGCGTTTTTATTTATTCATTGTTGAAAACGTATCACCAAATGATTCAGGAAGCATCCACTTGATTTTTAAGGAGGCATGTTCACTATCAACACATAAAAGCTTTGGAAATTTTCATTGAAACAAACTATTCATTTTAGGCATATTGTTTAACAAGCTATTCATTTGCAACACACACCCCCTCCCCCACCCCCCAACACACACACACACACACACACACACACACACACACACACACACACACTGAAATCAAATAGATTCTCATTAAGTCGGTGTTAAAAAACGTTTAACTACGTATACCCGATCACCTATCAAACCTCCCAAAGAACGCGTGTGTAGCATGATTTCTAAAATGTGTGAGGGGTCACTACAACCCGGGGTACTGAGAAGATATTCTCTCCCGTAATATCAATGTTTATAAAATATTGATAGCAAAATTATCAAGAAACAACCTACTTTTCTCTTCGAACACTCCATCTTCGGAAATTGACGACAGTGAAGCTAGAGATGACATCATCGAAGCCGTTTCAGCGGATGATACACTGCTACAGCTGACCAACCGCTGACGTCTGTCCGGAACATCCGGCCTACCTACCATTGTATTGGCCGGTCGTCTCTTGCCTTCGGACTGAACCGACCCCGTTGCAGAGCCTGAACGAGACTGGCTTGAGCCAGAACGAGGCAGTGCTGAGCCAGAGCGAGACAGGGCTGACCCTGACCTTTGCCGAGGCTGACTGAGCAGATTCTTGGAACTCTTTGTTCCACGATTAACGTTGAAGTGTACCCTGTGCGTCCACTGTGATCTGTTACCAATAAACGTAATGATGCTGAAAGGTGTTGATGACACTTTGACTTTCATTGGAAAGGTAACGTGGTTTTTCTTGGCAGCTTTAACGAACACCAGTGCGTACGCTTGTCTTGGGATACCGGGCGCGTATGTAATATCTCCACTCAGTTCGATCCGGATCCTCTCCCTGTCGGCTACAGGGATGTCACGTGACCGACTCATGCTGATCTCCTCAAGCCCGGCACGTTTGTGTTCCTCCGCCACGACATCAGCTCGACACGACTCAACTACGTCGACCTGAGAGCAAACGACGAGTTAGATGTGCTACCCTCGTGAATCGTTAATGAGTGAGTGAATTGGGTTTAACGCCGCTTTTAACGTTATTCCAGTTATATCACGGCGTGTCAGCTTAATGTGGGAGGAAAGCCCCAAGTGATGCAGGTCTCAGACGTTTACCACTTCGGTGAAACCCACGAGCACGTGTATGGTGCTGACAAACCTAGAAACATAATCGGGGCGAACCGGGATCCGAACCCACAATCATAGGTTTCTGGCGTGCCCAAGGGACGCAACTCTGCACAGCGAATCGCGGCGCCTTAGACGACTGGGCCACCCGTGTCCCCCATGTATCATTAAATTAATGTAGTAACACAATGCAATGCTTATGTGCTTATGTGCTAAACTCTGAAAACGCACACGGGTCATGAAAACTCACCAATGATACAAAATGAAACTAGTTTGGTATGTTTAATATTTCAAGTTATTTTTGGAATTCTTATTCCATACATCCCTCGGGCGTGGAAGGATCTTTTGATCGTGGGTTAGAATCCCAGATTCGACCTGAATATGATCCTTTGTTTAGCGGCACCACATGGGTGTCATCAAAATGAAAGAAGTCAAAATTTGAAATCTCTTTTTGGATTAAGGAAGAGAATTTATGGATGTCAACTTCTTTATAATGAGGAACACAACGTTTCGGAGTATTTGTTTACTCCTTCATCAGGTGAATGGATGCTATGAGACAGAGAGCATATACATGTACATTTAAGAATAACAAAAGTAATAAGATAACAAAAGGTGGAAACTTAACAGGGGAAGCCAACAGATAATTGGCGCTGATGGGTGATTAGCAAGACAATGGAAGCCAACACTTCACAGTAATTTGCGCTGATAGTTCCAGCAGGATTTCCTTCCATATCCAGCCTACACGCCAGAATATAACTGGAATAATGTTCAAAGCGGCTCTCTTCTCCGACATGAAGCTGACACGCCGTGATATAACTGGAATAATGTTCAAAGCGGCTCTCTTCTCCGACATGAAGCTGACACGCCGTGATATAACAGGAATAATGTTCAAAGCGGCTCTCTTCTCCGACGAAGAACTGACGGTACAACATAAATATTTACCAGCAGCACTGGCAAGCCGGCGAGGCCTTTGTTGTTGATGAAGCAGAGAAGGGTGCACAGGTTTTCCCTCCCCGACAAGAACCGGGCCGCCGTCAGAATTTCCGACCTTGACACCGACGCTGATCTCACTCGCACAGCACTGTATCTGGAAGAACATTTTGTATATTAGCTGTCTGGTGTACAGGGCACGCATGCATAGTCACCATTGTCCGATTGTCGTGGCTTCGAATATCATTTTCGCCATGATTACGATTCTTGCCTCATGGTTTTGGAAAAAAAAAAATTCGCTCGATGTTCTCTTCGTTTCAGCTTTTTAATAAATAAATGTTTTCTAGCAAATATCTGAGACCCAAGAACAGTAAACAGTCATTCCTTTATTCATGACTAATGGGATTGTTTTGGAGAGTTGTACGATTTATATTTGTTTGATTGTTGTTAAACGCCGTACTCAGCAATATGCCAGCTGTATGACGGCGGTCTGTAAATAATCGAGTCTGGACCAGACTATCCAGTGATTGACATCATGAGCATCAACCAACACAATAGAGATGCAATGACATGGAATCAGGGGCGGTTAAAGTGTTCGCTTGTCACGCCGAAGACCTGGGTTCGATTACCGACATGGGTACAATGCGTGAAGCCCATTTCTGGTGTCCCCCGCCGTGATATTTCTGGAATATTGCTAAACGTGGCGTAAGACTATACTCACTCTATCATTCACATGGAATCAACTACCGTATTCGACGTAATACGCGCCCGCGGCAATAATTGCTCATATATTGGCTAGTGAACAATCCCAATTAGCACCCCTTCCGATTGATCAATGTACATGTCCAAGACTTATTTATTCGCGCATAATACGCACTCGTGTGTTATATGCACCCTTAATAATGGGCAATTAAATTCTGAAAATAATATATCTGTCGTATATAAACTTTTCAGGCTGTCAGCATAAACCACGAAATTTATCTTTCAACTCTGTTTTTTCCACCAAAATAATATTCTAATAAGAGCCCTCTATTTCTAATTTTGAGAGCGCCCTGGGCGCTTATTACGTCGAATACGGTAGTCACCGAACCTGACCACCCGATCCATTTCTTAGTCTCTTACGACAAGCATTCGTTGCCGGGGACTTATATCCCAAGGGATCCCTTAGACGACTGGGCCACCCCTGCCCCCACATATTAGGAGGTTGTACGAGTAATGTATACTTACGCAGAGAACCCTTTCACATTGATGCTGTAGCATCCTTCTTCCTTGGTAGGAACGTCGTCTACGATGTCCACTTTACCATCATGCCACCGGAGGAAGACCACGTCTCCATCACCGCCGCCGTCGTCGTCGTTACATTCGTGAATGGGTAGTGTCACCTTAGCCCCTGTCTGCAGCTCTCCTTTAAGGTTGTGTTCGATGTTGACGGTTGTTGAGAATCCCATAATGCTTTGAAATGTGTTTGGGTTGTAGTTCCGGTATTCGGATGACCTTGTTGGGTCAACCGTTTCCGTCTGAAATGTATTGGGTGAGTGAGTGAGTTAGCTGGGTTTAACGCCGTTTTTAACAGTATTCCAGTTATATCGCGGCGTGTCAGCTTAATGTGGGTGGAAAGTGACGAAGGTATCAGACGTTTACCGTTTGATTATTGGGAAATAGCTTGTCCGTAAATAACTACACAATGATTAATTGATCCTGACATCGAATAATAATATATACTACTCAAAAGAAATTAAAGACACCCACTTCATCTTTATGACTACTTAATCTGTCATGGCTGGTGGGTATTGCAACACACAGCCTTCTAATTGTGGGTGTTCTTTTTTTTTTGCTACGAGTAGTATGTACATATGGCGTCCATTGTAACACGTGGCCCGAACGGGATTTAAGGAGGTTACCTTTATGACCGAATTTGTACATAAATGTTCAGGGCGAAATCCTTTCCGTACAGCAATTACACCTGAACCGAATTTTAGGGTATTTAAAAAAATGATTTACTGGCTTTATTCGCCATTAATATATCCCCGTTTTAAAGAAATGTTTTAAAAACACAAACATTGATCTGATTCAATTTAATGAGGCTTTTTGGATGCCAGTCGTCGCCATTCATTGTTGAGAGTTGCGTCCCTTAGACGTGCCAGAAACCTATAACCATCGGCCCGAAATCTAGTTACCCTGATTATTTTTCTAGATTTATCGGCACCATAACCGTGCTTGTCAGACAAGATCGTCCGCTAATGTGCCATAGCAAGCCCACCTTTCTATGCTAAATATGATTGGACTTTAGCACATATCGATAGTTCAATCAGAAAACGTTTCACAAAATCAACATCTTGGTTCCGAAAACATGACATAGCTTTACGAATTTGCGCTGAACATTTTCAACAATTTAGCAAAGACAAGCATTTTCTAAGTTTTAAATCAAGTTGCCCAATACTGCGCTTGTAAGCCGTACGATGATGAGAATAGTCACAATTCCCAGAACTGATACCACATTCGTATGTAGGGATTACCGCTACCTGTCTTTGGTGACACGAATATGTCTTTTCGCGAATATTTTCGATGTCTGATGGACCCTGTCTTCGCCTATGCTTGTCGCCATCTTGGAGGTGAGGAGAAATGGGGTTTAACGTCGCGTCCAAGATTATTGCACTTATATAGCGACGTGCATGTACGTGTGTGTGTTTGTGTGGCTGCTTGTACTAGTCCGGACTGATGCCGATTTATAGTGCTAGCTCACTGAGATACCATGCCGCAGTTTAACATGCATACCCCACTCAGACACAGTATACTGACTCCGAGCCGACCAGTCCTTGTTTTAGCGCCTTAATGCCGAGCGCCAGACAGGGTAACAACAAGGATCATCTTTTAACGTCTTTTGGTATGACGCGGTCGGGGATCGAACCCCGGACCTTCCGCTCTCCGGTCGCCATCTTGGAGCCATACGAGCTGAGAACTATTAATCTACGGGAAGTGGCGCCCCGATCTAGCCTAGAAAAGTGGGCTTGATGTGGCAAGGGCAGAAACTAGGCTTTGAAATATGCTAGTGGACACGCTTGACTCGGGAAGATGCGTTTAACCAAAGATGCGTTTAACCAAAGGTGCGTTTAACCAAAGATGCGTTTAACCAAAGATGCGTATAACCTGCATCACTGACCTCACACATCCAGCTGACACGCCGTGACATAACTACGGTTTAGGGCGGCGGTAAACACAGCCCACTCACTCATTGTTTACGTGTCTGGTTGCCTGGTAACACAATACCCACCACAAACCGGAACTCCGCATCCTCTTCCACGGCTCCTTTGGGGAATTCAATTTTAACATCCGGGTCTTTGTCTGACACAAATTCCACGCCCTCTGGTGTGATTATTGTCCGCTCTGGTTTAAGCCTGGCCACCACTGTCAGCAACTGTAGGCTGTCAAGATGCGCACGCGCACACCCGTGCTGAAACGGCACAAATATTGCTTTTTAAATAAATGTGTTGAGTTTAGAGGGACTTTCTTGACCCCGTTGGCTGTCCTAGCGAGTTCAAAGCTTGTTAACTTAACATTTTGATGTTGATCGATCTAGCCTTGAATGATAACCTTCCTTAGACAGATGCAATGGTTCAGTTTCATGCGAGACACAAATAAATATTTTTATCTAGACCGGATTTGAGCATCGGCGTAGCCGATCCACGAAGATTCGTGATAGAATTGGTCTTCAGAAACCCATGCTTGCCGTCAAAGGTGACTATGCTTGTCGTAAGAGGCGACTAACGGGATCAGGCGCGCTGACTTGGTTGATGCATGTCATCGTATCCCAATTCCGTGGATCGATGCTCATGATGTCGATCACTGGACTCGATTATTTACAGACCGCCGTCATATAGCTGGAATATTGCTAAGTGTGGCGTTAAAAAACAAACAAACATTGGCTTAGCCCTCCTCTAAACGAAAAGAGTTTGAAATTAAGATCAAGGTAAGAACATTCAAGGCCGCAGTAAAGCTTTCAAAATGTTCTATGTTGGACACGTGGAGGACATTTCATAATTTGACGCATCCCTATTTTGACTTGTACCATATGTTTCTGTGTCTGTAAAGGTGAACACTTGACCTGCCTTTGCGTGTGTTTGTGTTGATAGTGATAGAGAAACGCATGCTCATGATATTGTTGGAATCGTACAATCGACTTTGTTTTTAGCAAAGATTTTTCTGTGGCTATGGAGAGGGTTTTGTCCTTTTCTATTTAGACATTTAAAGACGACTTAATACCTGCCAGGTTCAACACCACGACTGTGGAAGTTGTATTGGAGTATTCAAGATATTTTACAGAAATAAGTTAAACTGGAAGCACTGATGCTTATTTAAAATATGCCAACAAAGATTACATTTGATGGGCAAATTAAGATGTTTTAATGTCAACCAAAATGCCACCTCTCTCTTGCTGAAACTGTTTCAACTTTTTCCCTTCCGTGTTGGTATGGAGCTCTGTCACTTCATAATAAATCACGTCCAAACAAAATTGTTTTATTGGCTAACAAAATTGCCGGATAAAGTATTGTCATTATCAATATGTCGAGCTGTTGTAGTAACTGTGTTTTATAAATAAATACCCTTTCATCAACAGCGTGTTGACATTGACATTGAATTGAAGGATTTGTTTTAGTGTTGTGATGCACATTTACCTTCCGGTTATAAACAATTAAACAAAAAACCAAAAGACGTGATCCGATCTACTACAGGTACTATCTGCACGAATATCTGCTAGTTGTTACAAGCAGGGCTGAGACGGACATACACGCCCATCCGTGGCCATGACTTACCTTGTAAACAGCAGGAACGAAAACCCATTCCCCGTTTTCAATGACCTTCAGGTAGAAGTCGTACATTTCTCCAGGAGGGACGTAGCTCTTGGGTATATTTACTGGAAATACAGCTACGTCTTGGTTATGTTCATAATATAGCAATGCTTTTCAAGCTAGTCCTGGTAGTTGTGAGTTTGGTTTAACGCCGATTTGAACAGTATTTCAGTCAAATCACGGCGTTCCAGCCTAATGTGGGAGGGAAACACGTAGTGAAGACGTTTACCATTTTGGTGAAGCAAACGAGCAGGGTGTGGTGACAAATCTAGAGACATAATCAGGTCAAATCTAAATCTCATTAAAATCAGATCTTAGTTCTCGCTACCGCTAAACAATGATCTGAGGACATCCCTTTACAGGTCACGTCAGAACGACCTTTCGCGAATTTTGACCGACCAATGAAATGACTGACGAGAAATCGACGTTAGCCAATGAGAAGGCAGCTTTCTTGAGTTTTACGACACTAGTTTCAAACTGGCGACTACGCTTCGAAACATATTTTGACGCATTCTCGATTAAAAAAATTATAACTGATAAGAAGAACATTCTGGAATGGCTTATAGATGGCCTAGATTGTATGGATATAATCATAAAATCCGTAACTATCGTTCGGAATACCCCGTGATAAATATTTCGTGGTTGCATGATTAGAAAACACATTCCGACTGTCACTTTCATGATCTGGTAAGCGACGCTCCGATTGGTTGGATGAAAGGTCGTTCTGACGTGACCCTTAATGGGATGTCCTCAGATATTTGTTTAGCGATAGCGAGAACTAAGATCTTATTTAAATGAGAGTGGGCAAATCTTGGATCCGAACTCACCACGACAGTGTGTTTAAAACCCCTAAGGGACGCAACTCTCCACAAAGAATTGCGGCGGCTTAGTCGACTAGACCGACCACCAGTGCCCTGACCTGGTTAAGTAACTGTGCAAGAGTATCTCAGCTATGTAAGGCTGATTATAACACCCGGACAAGGTTATTCGTTAATATTAGCTTTGTATTTTAACAGCGTTCGCTTGTCACGAAAGTCCTTGTGAAAACAGTTTTTCTCTATGTTTCAGATGTTTCTTGTTTAAAAAGATAGTTTGGTTTCAAATTTCAGGTAAATTTGTATAAAAATAATTTGCAAGTGATTCAGTGGATTTACAGTGTGCACATCGAGGTTTACGATCATACCTCCATAAACACCAAAATGTTCCACTAATTCTTAAGACTTACATTTTTAGGTATAAGCGTAAAATACCGATGTGCTCCATAACTCCATAAACGCAAACATATTGAAATTAATTCTTATAAATATATACGTCAACAATAACAACTTATCAGACTGCTTATTTAATCACCAACTTACAAATATCTGATGACAACAATACGTTCTGTCCAATGGTGCAACACAAACCCCTCCTATTCTGTTGTCAGCCAATCAGGACACAGTAGTCTGTTGGTTGGCGTGGTCTAAATATGTTTCAGTTTTGGGAAACAAACGTAAACAAATTTTTGGCTAGCCAATCAAATGTCACGGGCAACTTTATTTATTATGTCTTTCTCCAAATTGATGCAATCACGACTACTACTACTACTACTACTACTACTACTACTACTACTACTACTACCTGGGACGTTTATTGTGACGCCATCGTGCAAGACGAGAGGCTTTGATCGCACTTCATAGATGTCGCTGCTGAGGATGTCGTCTGCCGAGAGGTCCAACTCTTCCAGTCTCGTGTTTCGCGTCTGCACGTCCCAAACCTCCAGACGACATTGCAAATTCTCATAGTCGTCTGCAGCCGCGCCATCGCCGAGGTTGTCATGGCACCAGTGGTACCCATCACCAGTCAGAACTCCAAATACTTCGCTGTCGGGGTGAAAATGTAGGTTGTTTTACATGCAAATTCACACAAAATGTCAGCATTATCAATCAACAATCTTTATTATTTTTTTATATCATAAATTGTCGTTTAACGTCGCACTCGACAATATTCCAGTTACACAACGGCGGTATTTAAATAATTGAGTCTAGAGCAGACAAGTGATTGATATCAAGAGCATCGATCCACGCAATTGGAATTATACGATGACCATCTTCCAGAGGCAAGGAAGTTAGCTGACTATAAGAGTCCAGTTTCCACCCTTGCCGAACTAAGCGTCCTCCCGGAGAGCGGAAGGTCCGGGGTTCGATCCCCGGCCGCGTCATACCAAAAGACGTTAAAAGATGGTACTTGTTGTTACCCTGTCTGGCGCTCGGCATTAAGGGGTTAAAACAAGGACTGGTCGGCTCGGAGTCAGTATACTGTGTCTGAGTGGGGTATTCATGTTAAACTGCGGCATGGTACCTCAGTGAGCTAGCACTATAAATCGGCATCAGTCCGGACTAGTACAAGCAGCCACACTAACACACACACGTACATGCACGTCGCTATATAAGTGCAATAATCTTGGACGCGACGTTAAACCTAATTTCACCTCACCTCACCTTGCCGAACTAAGCTGGAATTGAGGAGTTACATTTTCGCTGGACGAAAATTGAAAAACGAACTAGACATCCGGTAAGTAAGCAACATGGATTTCAACGTTGCAGATTTCAGTCGACAGCAGGATTTGCAAAGCACGTGTATTTCCAAATCTTTTCATGTTTTTAATCAAGGTGCTCAAGTGAATTGATCCACTTCACGAGGTGAGACCCGTTTTATTACAATATAGATGTTGATTATCGATCAGATCGTCTTGACTGGGCACCGCCATTTTGTGTGAAGCAAATGGAATCTGATTGGTCAATAGGTGGGACATAGGAAGGGACATAACTCGTAAAAGCCACTGGTGGCGCTACGACGGAGCCACAAATTTTCAGCCTAGTTCGGCAGGGTGGAAACTGGACTTTTATCGTCAGTTAACGCCCTTGCCGCGGGATCATGTACGATGACATTTATCCGTCAAGTCAGCAGGCCCGACCACCCGATCCCGTCAGTTGCCTCTTACGACAAGCATGGATTGCTGAAGACCAACCCTCAAGTCAATCTTAGCGTTAACAGACAAAGCGGAAGATTACATCGCGTTTACTGCAGTGCTGCGAGTGAGAGAGTGAGTGAGTACGGTTTTACGCCGCTTTTATTAATATTCCAGCAATTACCCGGTGGGAACACCAGATATAGGCTAACACATTGTGCCCATGTGGGGAATCGAACTGGGGCCTTCGACGTGACGAGCGAACGCTTTAACCACTGGGCTACCCAGTGCTACGAGTAGTCCCAGTGGGGATCCCGGGAAGAAAAGGGTCCCCGGTGCAACATGGTTGTTGCGAGAACCGATTCGGGCGGGGGTAAAATAGTGGTACAAACGCCCGCTCGCCACACCGAAACACTGTGTTCGAATCCCCATTTGAGTACGATATTTAATGCCATGTGTGTGTGTGTGTGTGTGTGTGTGTGTGTGTGTGTGTGTGTGCCGATTTCACCCCACCTCACCACAGGTTGAATGATGACAAGACTGTTCGTGCCCCAAGTACGGAGACAAGATATACTCCGTGGACAAGTCACAGTTGGATAGAACTTTGTTCATTTTGCTGCGGTAGTAAAAAATATCGCAGTTCAACATAATACGTTATTAAGCTTGGAAAATCAGATCAGACGTCCACTCAAGCAATGCAATAAAACAGGTTATTGTTTATATTCTTATTTTATTTGCATATGAATACCCTTCACAGTACTACCGAGCCCGGGAAGGTATGTTTAACGGAATAATTACCTTAGCCTAGATCTAACCTGAACTTTAGAGACACCTTTAGAGACATATTGGCAGTATCCGGCATTTTCTCACAGAATGAGGTGTAACTGCACTCGATAGAGTATTGCTTCGTTCAAGGCTAGACTAGTGCAATGTCAAGAAAATCCAAAACACGCATTGGGGCACGCATTGTCAGAAGATCACACCGAGACTGCCATATAACACATATACTAAAATCCCTCACTGGCTTCCCGTCAACCCTGCCGATGTGTAAAGAAAAAAGCCCAGCCTACCAGTGTGATATTGTTCCCAAGGACGCCCCTTCAAGACCCCAGCTCAATCACAAAGATGAACCTGGAAGTTCCATAACCTATCAGAAGACCTTTGGAAATCGACCCTTCACCTATGTGGCAGCTGATCGATGGATTTAAAGCCGGCCCTCACTCGCCGCTAAATCACACGCCACCTCAGAGACACTTCAATTCGGATTTATGACTTAAAGCATTAGTACGAAAACGAAATACCATCAGTTCTTGCAAGCGCTCTGAGCATACCTTATTGTGTGGAGTTTAGCGCTACATAAGTAGCATTGTTATTAATATAATACGCACAGCCGTTATGCCATGTAATAATGACGCGTGGCTATTTTTAATCAGGTATTGAAATGAGGCAGTGTTTGGGGAAGTTAAAAGAGCCATACTCCGTGTATAGTCTTTGTGCGATCCCTACCGTTGCCTGAAATTGAAGCAGTGTTTAGAGCAAAGGCAGAAGGCCATAGCACAATTTGCACGAGAATATTGCCGATGTTATCTGAACGTTCATTGGTCAGAGCACACGCTAGTACACCTCTCGCTGACGGTGGCGTGATTCTTTGGTTCCTTATAGGGAGAAGACCGAAAGTCGACTGTTAAAGTATTCACGGGTGAAGGAGAAACGTAGTGTATACAATGTGGCTGTGTTGACCATGTGGCTGTAGGTATATCTAGCTTACCTGAAATTTTCATCCAAACCTTTCTCCTCGTCATACTTTTCTGTGCAAGATGGCGGCGAATCTTCATTACCCTCGTGGCTGTTTGGGGGAGATCAAATCTCTAGTTAAGTAAAACTTGATTCCAGTGTTGTTAATTAGAAATATAAGCCGACTAAACTATAAACACTCTCTGCTTTTAACGGTAATGCTCCAAACTCCATTCGGCACTTGAAGGTCTTTCTGTTTGTCTGTTTGTTGTTTAACGCCGCACTCAGCAATATTCCAGCTATATGATAGCGGTCTGTAACTAATCGAGTCTGGACCAGACATCCAGTGATTGACACCATGAGCACCGATCGCCATAATCGCCAGTTGCGGTACATTGTATTATAATTCAGAATCTTCACGAGAGACAAGTCTAAAGACAAACATGAACAGCAGAATTATTTGATGTACACAAATGTATATAAAATTAGAATGATTATTCATTCGGTTACTCAGGAAATACTCTCTATCTATATCTATGTAGATGTTGGCCAATGGATGGAGGAAAATTCTCCATGTGAAAATTTGTTGATAAAAAAATAATCACTGGGAAAATGTGTGTGGTTTTTGGGAGGGTCAGGTTCGCTAGCTGAGGGTTCGAATCTGCATGTCTAAGACCTGCACTATTTGCTTCACCCAAACGCTTTATCCTTCATGAAGGCGACAGCAGTGGTATAACTGAAATACTGTTTAGAGTCGCGTAAATCGTTATTCACTCACTCAAGTAGTGTTCCACTCCCTACACCTTTTCCTTTCACACTGGTAAACATTAATCACGTTACACAAATATTCTGTAAATATAATTCCATTCTCCCGTTGAACAAACTAACATGCTGTTCCAAATGCACAAGGGATATTACTGATTTAAAAACTCATTCAAATCTCGAGCAAAAGGTAACATTGTACTCACGTGTATACGAAGAAAATCTTTCCCTGGATGTCCGCCATTTTGAATCAAGGTCCACATGCCCTGCACTCCCTATACTGTGGTTATAAATCAGGAATAGTAACGTAAATTGTCACTGATAAATAAGCCTACAGTAGAAATATCATGTTATCATCACGATCAGCGCTTATCAAGAAAACAAAATCAACAAAAATCAACATGGTACTCAACGTTGACAAAATAACTTTTGATAACTTGTTTTTTCTAACATCAGCATATATGATATTTACTACGTTCTGGCATATATATTTCTGTTTCACAATAGTTCGCCATATCCACATGATTGTAAACAAACGGCCATGTTTGAAATCTTTAAAACGACCATCTGATAACACTTCCAGTATAGTTGAATGGTTATGTTTTATAGGTACAAGCCAAAAATATATTTAGCATTACTAGAATTTAGTTCTGTAACGGCAGTATCAGCATATACAATCTCTCACCGCTGTGCACCACTTCGTGTCACGTACCAGGTCAGACTTACCAGATCTCGCGTGAAAACCTACCTAATGCGAAATATTAAGTAGAAGCCAGCATACAAGCGGTTTATAGCGCTACAGCGCGTACTTGATCGGATTACGCTAATACGCACATAGAGCGTATCGGATTAGTGGTGTCGTACATCGGCCGCAACGCATTTCCAGTCCTACCTTTCGTACAGCAAATGGTATAAGGTGACAACGCAGTCCTGTAATCTGGTAAAATGTTATAAGTCACTACTTACACCTTTTACACTCACTCACCCAAACCCCACTCACTCACTCACTCACTCACTCACTGACTCACTGACTCACTCACCCACCCAAACCCCACTCAACTCACTCAATCACCCCAAACCCACTTACTCACCCAAAACCCACTCACTCACCCAAAACTCACTCACCCACTCACTCACTCAAACCCCGCTCACTCGCCCAGCCACTCACTCACTCACTCACTCGCCCAGCCACTCACTCACTCACCCAAAACTCACTCACTCACTCAAACCCCACTCACTCACTCACTCGCCCAGCCACTCTCTCACTCACTCACTCACTCACTCACCAAGAAAACCAATGAAACCAATGATTGTGGGTTCGAATCCTGTTTCGCCCCGATTATGTTTCTAGGTTTGTCAGCACCATACCCATGCTTGTGGGTAAACGTCTGAGACCTGCATCACTTCAGGCCTTCCTCCCACATTAAGCTGACACGCCTTGATATAACTGTAATACTGTTAAAAGTGGCGTTAAATCCAACTCACTCACTCACTCACTTTCCCAAACCCCACTCACTCACTCAATCACCCAAAACCCACTCACTCACTCACTCACTCAAAACCCACTCACTCACTCAAACCCCACTCACTCACTCGCCCAGCCACTCACTCACTCACTCACTCATCCAAACCCCACTCACTCACTCACTTACTCACTCACTCACCCAAACCCCACTCACTCGCTCAGCCACTCACTCACTCATTCATAAAACAGACATAGTTGATGTTCTTCAGATTTCACACAAAGAACGTTTCCTGAACAATCAATGGAAATGCAGGAACAATCGCGAGTTATTTATAGTTTGTGTCAAGTGGACCGATGTATTTAATATCACAACGATAATAATTCTGTCAGGACCAACACGTTACATCATGTAAATCAGTATATTCAATTGAAGTTGTGGACAAGGTTTCAGTGTTTATAAAATTGCCTTGCATGAGCATGCTATCAACCCGCTATGACATTTCCGTCCGATTCAGTCTTAATAGACTTGGAGTCATAGTGTCACCACCGTTAACACCCATTACATAAACGGAAGTAACCTACGTGCTTCGAGTCTAGCACAAAGCATTGCCAAAAATACATAACGTCAGCAATTTGGTAACACCCCCCCCCCCCCCCCACACACACACAGTGGATAAATCCGCTACAGCCCGAGGCCATTCATGTCATCTAACAACAATGTTCCTCTCATACTGATAATACCATATATAACTTCATTAATAATCCATGTAAAGGGGCGTGGCACTACTTTCTCCGACTTATTTCATATCGATTCTCATCATCATCCTCTCCGGGCCGCGTCATACAAAAAGACGTTAAAAGATGGTACTTGTTGTTACCCTGTCTGGCGCTCGGCATTAAGGGGCTAAAACAAGGACTGGTCGGCTCGGAGTCAGTATACTGTGTCTGAGTGGGGTATTCATGTTAAACTGCGGCATGGTATCTCAGTGAGCTAGCACTATAAATCGGCATCAGTCCGGACTAGTACAAGCAGCCACACACACACATACACGTGCATGCACGTCGCTATATAAGTGCAATAATCTTGGACGCGACGTTAAACCCAATTTCACCTCACCTCACCTCATCCTCTCCACTGCACCATGCCATCATGTGGCTTTCAGAATCACCAATTATGAAATCAAAAATAACATTTTTCTCGATGACATTTGATTTGAAAGTTTGTACACTTTAAACCATTTTTATCCACCATTTACTAGCACTCTTAAATACATAGTAACAGGCTTTCGAATTCTTATAATGAGCAACGCATATTTCTGAGGCTGTAGACTATGTCTTCAACAGTGTTCAGGGAACATGTATCAACATTAGTGATGTTTTCTACTTCATTGGCAAGGAGGGGGCATAGATGGCCCTGTTGTCGAAGGCACCGCTACTCACTGTGCAGAATTGCCTCCAGAAATCTATGTGGGTACGAAGCCCGGTTCGCCCCGATTATGTTTCTAGGTTTGTCAGCACCATGACCGAGCTGATGGGTAAATGTCTGCGACCTGCATCACTTCGGGTTTTCCTTCCACATTAAAAATAACTGAAATACTTTTCAAAGCGGCGTTAAACCCAACTCACTCACTCACTCACTCACTCACTTACTCTTGGCAAAGATGAACAGCAGGCGTTGAAATCGACAAAGATCCGTTGTAAAATTCACACTGCCTTAGACTGACCAAATCGTGTGTACTCTTCTCATATTTCACGCCAAATGCTGTTTTATTACTTAATGGTAGGTAGGGAGATAGGAGGGTACATTCCAATTACTTTACGTCTTCGTTTTCTGAAGAGCCATCTACTTCTGACGTAGCCGTGGATATAGTTGCGGATTCATACAGTTTGCACATCGGTTTATCGATTCATACCTCAATGAACCGAAAAAAATACACAGTCAATCCTTAAATGAACATTATAGAAACCTGCTTGTAATGAATTTGGTCCATCTGCGGTCCTGGTTTCTTCACCCAGAACAGCATGTTGTGTGCATCATTTGAAACAATAAATACACACAGGAACACTGGAAGTTTGTTAGTTTGCTTGTTGTTTAACGCCGTTTAACTCAGCAATATTCCAGCGACATGACGGCGGTCTGTTAATAATCGAGCCTGGACCAGACAACCCAGTGATTGACACCATGAGCACCGATCCACGCAATTGGGATCGATGACATGCATCAACCAATTCAGCGAGCCTGACCACCCGATCCCGTTCGTCGCCCCTTACGACAAGCATAGTCGCCTCTTACGGCAAGAAAGGGTTCCCGAAGACCTATAATTCTACCAAACATCTTCACGGGTAGAACACTGGAAGTAGCATGGTGACTGTTTTTTAAAACGTGGAACGTCACCGTCCCTTTACAAACTACATGAAGAAGGTATGTGGTATTGGAAATGTACCGAGTTCTTTAACGTCTGTCTTTCGAAGTAAGGGAAATATGGAATACACATTAGTGGGCGTTTGTCATTAGTCGTGGAACAACCCACAACCACGCATCTATGCTATACATTTTGTCATCTGTAATGAGTTGCTCTGGCCGGGCGGTAGGGTAGCCTAGTGGTTAAAGCGTTCGCTCGTCGGGGCGCCCACGTCGGAACAACGTGTCAACCCCGTTTCTGGTGTCCCCCGCCGTGATATTTGCTTGAATATTGCTAAAAGCGGCGTACAACCATACTCACTCATTATGACCATTTATCCGTGTTTTCGGTTTATGGAACAGGAAGTTGGAGAGAGATTTTGTATTTTCAGCTGCTGCATCAAGACGTAACTTTGCATCTCTGGAGAGAGGAGCCGGACCCTTTACGTTTGCTTTCACTGCACATGTTTCACGGCATTCAACAGCGAGAAGTTGTTTCTTTTTTTTAAATCTGAGGCAAAATAATTAGTTTTCTTTTTTTTTCTGGAACAAATTTTATCTTCTTAAAAAATCCCACATAGGTGGTATTCAAGAGGAACGAGTACTTATATAGATGTGTTCCAGGAAAAGAAGAACTGTTACGAGTGCAATGGAGCACAACTAAGCAGGTCAAGTTGGTGCCAAAGGTTATATGATGTTGATTATCACACAATCAGTTGATATGAAGCAACTCCATTTTATTTCAAATGACATATACTTATAATTTTGATTTTACAAGAGAAGATGCAGGTGTCACAAGAAACATGAATGTTATGTCACACAAGGTAATACATTATGTGATGTAGGTAACTGTTACAAGAACTTACGTATGCTGTGTCACACAATGTAATAAATATTGTCAATCAATCTTTATTCAAGCTCCAGGCCTTTAGTACATGTGACAGAGATGCTGCACATTTATTCGATAATATCAACGAAAATGACCACGATTGCTAAAAAATATATTTTAGCCTTTGTGAAAAGAATTAGTACATACACTTTCAGATTGTACAAATGTATCATACCAAACATTTCCAAAACCACTGTTGAATAACAATTTTTTCACATCAGTTACCCAATTAGTCTTTCCATTCGTATCGTATAACATCATCATATTGTAACATTTCTGAGGGTGTCTCGATGAGTTCACTTTTTGAGGAGTTTCAGTCAGTACTTTGTGACTTTCAGCTGTGAATATATAAATTCACATTCTCTATAAACCATTTGCTAGAGGTGTTTGGTTTTACACCAAGACATTTACATGCAAATAAGTGTACCTTTTCGATATCATTAAATTGTTTTAATCCCCATATTTCATCAGATGTTAATTTTAACATCAAAGATTTTAAAGAATGACTTTTAAGATATATCACCAAGGATAATGTGTATGTATATTCTTAAATATACAAAATAAAACCTGAAAGCCTGAACTGATGCTTCTCTTAGATGAATTGACCAATTTAGACTGCTACTGAATAAACACCCAAATATTTATAGTGTGTAGTCACATTCAAACTTTCACCTTTAAAGGACCATTTTTCAATTTTGGCAAGTTTGCAACCATTTTTGAAAACAATAATCTTAGTTTGACTGTTAACAGTGAGTTTCCATTTATCATTTATACATATCATTTATCGTTAGAAGCACCTGCTTCAAGAAGCGGAATTAAATACCAATAGACCCTGTTTCCCAGGAAGTATCCCTCTTCAAAATCACATTAAAGATAAATAATGTGATGTCACGAGAACCCATGTACCATGTCATACATTGTTACAAATAATGTTATATTGGCTACCGTCACGAGAACCCATGTACTATGTCACACAGTGTTACAATTAACCTATTTGCTATGTCACACACTGTTACAAATAACCTATTTGGTATGTCACACAATGTTACAAATAAGGTGATGTTGGTCAATGTCACAAGAGCCCATGTGCAATGTCACACAATGTTACAAATAATGTTATGTTAGCTACAGTGACAAGAACCCATGTACTATGTCACAAAGTGTCACAAATAAGGTGATGTTGGTCAGTGTCACAAGAACCCATGTGCAATGTCACACAATGTTACAAAAAATGTGATGTTGGTCAGTGTCACAAGAACCTATTTGCCATTTCACATATATAATGTTACAAATAATGTTTTATTGGCTACAGTCACAAGAACCTGTTTCCTATGTCACACAATGTTACAAATAATGTGATATTGGTCATTGTCACAAGAGCCAATGTGCTATGTCACACAATGTTACAAATAATGTGATATTGGTCAATGTCACAAGAGCCAATGTGCTATGTCATACAATGTTACAAATAATGTGATATTGGTCAATGTCACAAGAGCCGATGTGCTATGTCACACAATGTTACAAATAATGTGATATTGGTCAATGTCACAAGAGCCGATGTGCTATGTCACACAATGTTACAAATAATGTGATGTCGGTCAAAGTCACAGGATCTTATATGCCATGTTAAACAATGTGATGTTGATGACTGTCACAATAATCTGTATGTACAACACAAAATAAAAATATAATGTTACACTGGTAACAGTCACAAAAAGCTATAAGGTGTGTCACACAATGTTATAAATAATGTGAAGTTGGTCAATGTTACTCGATCCTCACGCAACGTAACAAATGATTATAAATTGATAGTAATCATAAGAACCAGAACGCTATGTCACACAATGTCACAGAAATGTTAGATTGGCTACAGTCACATAAAAAACGGAATGCCGTGTCGGACAATGTAACAAATGCTGTGATATCCATTAGTTACAATAATATGTATGCACTATATAACAAATAATGTTTTTGGAAGACCACCCTTGTGGGACATCCGACACTGACCTATACCTCAACTCTGTCTGATAATGCTGCGTGGTCAGGAAAGACATATTGGTAGGGCAAAGAAGGATGTTATTATTTGGATTTCTAGGCCTGACCAGCAACATCAAAATGGGATATGCGTTTTGCAACTATTTCACAATTAATGATCGGGTATGTATAAAAGCCTTTTTTATATTTGACACATGGAAACCGCTGAAATATACCTTTCAGTAATTCACTTAGGAGACAGGGGATGGTTGGCCCAGTGTGTGGCTGTTAGCGTTAGATCCCTTAGTCGTACCGGAATCGGATGCAGGAATCCTAGGGTCCTCCTGACTCTTGGTTAATAAGCATTTTATCCATGGTCCTGGGCTTCCTTAAAGTCCGAATGGTCTATGGTTTTCTTGCTACATTTACCCAATCTCATTAAAATCAAATCTTAGTTCTCGCTACCGCTAAACAAAGATCTGAGGACATCCCATTAGGGGTCACGCCAGAACGACCTTACATCCGTCCAATCAGAGCGTCGCTTACCAGATCATGAAAGTGACAGTCGGAATGTGATTTCTAATCATGCAACCTCAAAAACTTTAATATGGGGTATTCCGAACGATAGTTACAGGCTTAAAGATTGAATCCATACAGATCTAGATAATCGATTAGCCATTCCAGAATGTTCTTTTGTTCAGGTTCCAAATTTTTAATCGAGAATTTGTCAAAATATGTTTCCAAGCGTGGTCGCCAATTTGAAATTAGTGCCGTAAAGCACGAGAAAGCTGCCATCTGATTGGCCAATGTCGACTTCTTGTCAGTCATTCCATTGGTCGGTCAAAGTTCGCGCAAGGTCGGTCTGACGTGACCCCTAATGGGGTGTCCTCAGATCTTTGTTTAGCGGTAGCGAGAACTAAGATCTGATTTTAATGAGATTGACATTGACCTGACATAAACCTGACATTTAACTGAAATACTGTCAACAGCGACTCTAAACTCACTCACATTTTCTTAAAATCACTCCGTTTCAAATGTCTGTGCGTCCTTCCGGCCTTCCGAATGACTTCCGCCATATCAATTCTACATAGTTCAACAAAGGCTGCAACCAGAGTGTTGATGAGATCCCTGTCAGACTTGCCCCTGTTGGTCTGTATCCAAAACACAAGTAGTTTGAAAGCTTGACTAAAATTTTGTCGAGTTGCTTCTTCACTGACCCGGGCTATGTCAGAACTGCCAATATTCAGCTCCACCAACACTCGGTTCCATTCAGTCATGGAAAGTTGCTCGCTCAGGGCCAGTAGGCTTTTCTCGCTCAACAGAGGGTGCCCTAAACAAGCATAATAAATAAAAATAGTAAAACCATCCCCATATAATTCTGATGATTGTTGATGTACTTTTAGACTATGTCCAATGAATGAGTGAGTTGGGTTTAACGCCGCTTTTAACAGAATTCAAGTTATATCGCGGCGTGTCAGCTAAATGTGGGAGGAAAGCCCGAAGTGATGCAGGTCTCAGACGTTTACCACTTCGGTGAAACCCACGAGCACGGGTATGGTGCTGACAAACCTAGAAACATAATCGGGGCGAACCGGGATTCGAACCCAAAATCATAGTTTTCTGGCGCGCCTAGGGGACGCAACTCTGCAGAGTGAATTGCGGCGCCTTAGACGACTGGGCCACCCGTGCTGCCCCATGTCCAATGACCTGGTACCAAATTTTAGTCTTGGTCTACACGTTGTAAGCAGTGCCTTGTGTGATTTTGACATACTTTCTCGGAGAAATTAGAATAATCAATAAAATTTAACATAGACATATTGTTTTGTGTGAATGACTTGAATCAAACAGCCAATAAACTAGAGCCAAATCCCCTCTATACATCTTCCATATGCATAGGAAGGAAAAAAGTCCCAAAATTAATAAACGTGTTATCATTTCATTAACAAATTATACACTTATCAAACATCAGAGTGTAGAGCTATATAGACGAATCATATATTTTTCATTTGTGACAAAATGATAAACTGTTGGTATAAATATTCTTACTTTTTTCGATTACTGATGCAGTGGGTGAGGCAACGGTTGACTCTGACTTCAATGACACTGCACGACTAACTGGCCTGTCAAACATTACATTCACTTCAGAGTCCGCCTCCACAGACTGCATTGTACTTGTTGACTGGCGGGTTACTGGCCTGCTGTCATCCCACTGGCTGTCGGGGGTATCTAACCCTTTGAAGACCACCCTTGTTACTGGGACATCCGACACTGGCCTATACTTCAACTCGGCCTGGTAATGCTGAAAGGTCGGGAAACAGACACTGGTGGGACAAAGAAGGGTGTTCTTGGGGTTTCTAGTTCCAAGGCCAAGATCGAAATGGATAGAGTGGACCCACCGTCCTCTTCCTCCTCTGAAGTTGATGACGCTGTAAGCTGACGACGAGACCCGTGTCTGTAGAGGGAAGCTGACGTTATTGGTCGAAGCTGCTTTCACGAACGTGAGGTTATAGATTTTACGTGGGACACATGAGACATGGGCGAGATTTCCGCCAAGCTCGATCTTGATCCTTTCTCTGTCCGACACTGGAATGTCACGGGATCTGCTCATCTCGATCTCCTTCATGCCTGCTCTACGATGTATCCGGATGACCTTCTCTGCCTTACAAGACTCAACGACGTCCAGGAGGACTGTAGGTCCTATAGTACGCACCTTGATGAAGGACAGAAGGGTACAGAGGTTCTCCTTTCCGGCCAAGATGCGGGCAGCTGTCAAGACATCTTGGTTGGAGGCAGATTTGTTTTTACGGACGGCACTATAGCTTAATACATAAAAAAGTAAGCGTGAGGGTGTCTTAATCTATTTTACCAACACTAATGGGCTTTACATACTTAACCCCTGTGGTAATTGAACCATGTCTTCAATGAGCCTTGTATACTCTTTAACCACTTGTTGTCTTAACGCCCGGAAACAAGAACAGCCATATCACAATATCAGCTCAATGTCATGTTTCCATTTGTTCTGTTAATGGTCAGATGTCAGACGTATGTCAGCAACGTTTGTTTGTCTGTTTGTTTTTTAACGCCGCACTCAGCAATATTCCTGCTATAGGACGGCGGTCTGTAAATAATCGAGTCTGGACCAGTCAATCCGGTGATTGATATCATTACATCGATCCACGCAATTGTGATACGATGACATGCATCAACCAAGTCAGTGAGCTTGTATCTTGTTTAATATGCATCTCCAATAATTTACAAAAATGGTCATTATCATATCAACAATCTTCTTTTTATTTATTCCTTTAAAATTGTTGTTCAACGTCGCAACAGGTTAGCTGTATCATGGCGATGAAAAACATCATGAACATAGATCTATGCAATTGGGTGAGTGAGTGAGTGAGTGAGTGAGTGAGTATAGTTTTACCCCGCTTTTTGGCCTTATTCCAGCAATATCACGCTTTAACCACCAGGCTACCCGACCGCCCTATGCAATTGGGACATGCACCAACCACTTCCCGTTACGCCTCTTACGACAGGTATGGGTTGCTGAAGATCAATTCTAATCCGGATCTTCACGGGTGATCAGCAAATAAAAAATGTCAACGTCAGAGAACATAAATCTCGATTATTCGCCGGAACAGAATGTACTGGGCGGAAAGAAAGAAAGACAGGGGTCAGAAAAAGATAAAATGTTACAAAGAAACCCGTTATTTCGGAGCATGGAAATTCAATTGCAGATTAAAAAATTAACCCAAATGCACCAAAGGACAACTCTATACCCATCATATGATTGTAGGAATTAATGGTATTAATGAGTTCAATGGGAAGGCCCAGGCAAATGGATTCACTGTAGTTATGTAAAACGTTAATGAAACCCTAATGTTTCCGGAAAGACAAAAAAGGATAACCGACAAAATCAATCAACCAGATGGGCTGGTGGTTTGGGTGTATATGAAGATGAAACGGATCATACCCTGAGAAATGCTTGACAGGAATGCTGTAAGAGCTCTCCTCCCTTGTCGGTTCATCCTGAACGATTTCTACTTCATCGCCCTCCCATCTGAGGAACACCACTTCCCCTTCCACCTCTTCTTCCCCATCATCATCCCCCGACTTGTGTATGGGAAGACAGACCTCCACGAGATGCTTGAGGCACGTGTCATGCACGTGTTTCACGTGCAGTGTTGTGGTGAAGCCAAGGATGCAGTTAAAGGTGGAAGGATTGTAGGTCTTGTATTTCTTACTCCTCTTGGGGTCAACTGTCTCCACCTTGACGGATGAAACATGGATGGTTTACGTGGCATGTTTGTAAAAATAATAATAATAATAATAATAATAATAATAATAATAATAATGACGACGACGACTACGACAATGCTACTACTACTTTTACTACTACTACTACTACTACTACTACTACTACTACTACTACTACTACTACTACTACTTGATTTTGATCCCTACTGTGATGGCAATACGATAACGAATCCTTTTAAAATGGTATACATACTATGAACTTAAAATTTGTATCTTTCTCCACGGTGCCTTCTGGGAAACTGACTGTGACGTGTTGATCTTTATCAGAGACAAAATTGAATCCCTTAGGAGTGATAACATGCTCTTCTGGCTTGAGTCTCGCAATCACGCACAGAGACTTGAACTCCTTGATGCTTGCCTTGGCGTTGCGGTTCTATATTAAAACAGGAACACCTTACAACAGCATCAATCAAACGAATTCTATTTTGTTTCATGTATTATCAAAGACGACAACAAATTGTTAGAACTCTTTGTAGACAGAAATTTCTCGTTAGCAATTATTATTTGAGTTTATCACTTGGATCTCATTGTCAACCATTCGAATGATGCTTGTTTTTGACGAAAACGAATGCCATCATGATACTGAGTGAGTGAGTGAGTGTGGTTTTACGCCGCTTTTAGCAATATTCCAGCAATATCACGGCGGAGGACACCGGAAATGGGCTTCACACATTGTACCCATGTCGGGAATCGAACCCGGGTCTTCGGCGTGACGAGCGAACGCTTTAACCACAAGGCTACCCGACCGCCCCTCCATCATGATACTGCAATCATGATCCCTGTTAATATAGATTTGTTACTTTAATGACATTTGATTCTTTACACTATTCCAGCATTTATTCTGATTGAACCCTTTCTGTGCGTGTATTGAACTTCCATAAGTATGGTTCATGAAGTCAGGTGAATGTCCAACCTTGTATTCAGCTGGGCAGCGTGACCAGACCCCCGCATTCTCCACCATGAAAAAGAAGTCGTACATTTTCTCTGGTCGCACCTTGCTGCGTGGAATCATCACCGGGATGTTGATGATGACGTCATCAGGCATATGCATATTGTCTTTCCCGTCTGTTTCAAAGAAGTGGCTCACCAGACTCTCGCTGGAACTCAGCTGTGCGCAAATTTAACAAGAAAAGGTTGACTTTAAAGATCGATGTTTACCCGCAAACAGTCATTTATTGCAACCATGTGTAAGACACGTTCAGGCAACGTAAGTGCATCATCCATGCAGCATACCTGCAAAAACAGACACCATACCTGCAACATTCCTGCAACAAACTTGCAACGTCCATGCAACATACCTGAATCGCTCATGCAACACACATGCAAAAACAGACAACATACCTGCAACGCCCATCCAACATACTTGCAACGTCCATGCAGCATACCTGCAAAACAGACAACACACCTGCAATGTCCATGCAGCATACCTGCAACGCTCATGCAACATACCTGCAACGTTCATGCAACGACCGTGCAACATACCTGCAACGCCCATGCAACGACCGTGCAACATACCTGCAACGTTCAAGCAACGATCATGCAACATACCTGCAACGTTCATGCAACGACCGTGCAACATACCTGCAACGCCCATGCAACATACCTGCAACGCCCATGCAACATACCTGCAACGTCCATGCAACATACCTGCAACGTTCATGCAACGACCGTGCAACATACCTGCAACGCCCATGCAACATACCTGCAAAAACAGACAACATACCTGCAACGTCCATGCAACAAACCTGCTACGTCCATGCAACATACCTGCAACGTCCATGCAACGCCCATGCAACATACCTGCAACGCCCATGCAACATACCTGCAACGTTCATGCAACGACCGTGCAACATACCTGAAACGCCCATGCAACATACCTGCAAAAACAGACAACATACCTGCAACGTCCATGCAACAAACCTGCAACGTCCATGCAACATACCTGCAACGTCCATGCAACATACCTGCAACGTTCATGCAACATACCTGCAACGTCCATGCAACATACCTGCAACGCCCATGCAACGCCCATGCAACATACCTGCAACGTTCATGCAACATACCTGCAACGTTCATGCAACATACCTGCAAAGCCCATGCAACATACCTGCAACGTCCATGCAACATACCTGCAACGTCCATGCAACATACCTGCAACATTCATGCAACATACCTGCAACGTTCATGCAACGTCCATGCAACATACCTGCAACGTCCATGCAACAAACCTGCAACGTCCATGCAACATACCTGCAACGTCCATGCAACATACCTGCAACGTCCATGCAACATACCTGCAACGTCCATGCAACATACCTGCAACGTCCATGCAACATACCTGCAACGTCCATGCAACATACCTGCAACATTCATGCAACATACCTGCAACGTCCATGCAACATACCTGCAACGTCCATGCAACATACCTGCAACGTCCATGCAACATAAGTGCAACATTCATGCAACATACCAGCAACATTCATGCAACATACCTGCAACGTTCATGCAACGTCCATGCAACATACCTGTAACGTTCATGCAACATACCTGCAACGTCCATGCAACATACCTGCAACGTTCATGCAACGCCCATGCAACATACCTGCAACGTTCATGCAACATACCTGCAACGTCCATGCAACATACCTGCAACGTCCATGCAACATACCTGCAACATTCATGCAACAAACCTGCAACGTCCATGCAACATACCTGCAACGTTCATGCAACATACCTGCAACGTCCATGCAACATACCTGCAACGTTCATGCAACGCCCATGCAACATACCTGCAACGTTCATGCAACATACCTGCAACGTTCATGCAACGCCCATGCAACATACCTGCAACGTTCATGCAACATACCTGCAACGTTCATGCAACATACCTGCAACGCCCATGCAACAAACCTGCAACGTTCATGCAACATACCTGCAACGTCCATGCAACATACCTGCAACATTCATGCAACGACCGTGCAACATACCTGCAACGTCCATGCAACAAACCTGCAACGTCCATGCAACATACCTGCAACGTCCATGCAACATACCTGCAACATTCATGCAACATACCTGCAACATTCATGCAACATACCTGCAACGTTCATGCAACGCCCATGCAACAAACCTGCAACGTCCATGCAACATACCTGCAACGTCCATGCAACATACCTGCAACATTCATGCAACATACCTGCAACGTTCATGCAACGTCCATGCAACAAACCTGCAACGTCCATGCAACAAACCTGCAACGTCCATGCAACATACCTGCAACGTCCATGCAACATACCTGCAACGTCCATGCAACATACCTGCAACGTCCATGCAACATACCTGCAACGTCCATGCAACATACCTGCAACATTCATGCAACATACCTGCAACGTCCATGCAACAAACCTGCAACGTTCATGCAACATACCTGCAACGTTCATGCAACGTCCATGCAACATACCTGCAACGTCCATGCAACATACCTGCAACATTCATGCAACATACCTGCAACATTCATGCAACATACCTGCAACGTTCATGCAACGTCCATGCAACAAACCTGCAACGTCCATGCAACATACCTGCAACGTCCATGCAACATACCTGCAACATTCATGCAACAAACCTGCAACGTCCATGCAACATACCTGCAACGTCCATGCAACATACCTGCAACGTTCATGCAACATACCTGCAACGTTCATGCAACGTCCATGCAACATACCTGCAACGTCCATGCAACATACCTGCAACGTTCATGCAACGTCCATGCAACAAACCTTCAACGTCCATGCAACATACCTGCAACGTTCATGCAACATACCTGCAACGTCCATGCAACATACCTGCAACGTTCATGCAACGCCCATGCAACATACCTGCAACGTTCATGCAACATACCTGCAACGTCCATGCAACATACCTGCAACGTTCATGCAACATACCTGCAACGTCCATGCAACATACCTGCAACGTTCATGCAACATACCTGCAACGTTCATGCAACATACCTGCAACGTCCATGCAACGCCCATGCAACATACCTGTAACGTCCATGCAACATACCTGCAACGTCCATGCAACGCCCATGCAACGTCCATGCAACGCCCATGCAACATACCTGCAACGTTCATGCAACATACCTGCAACGTCCATGCAACGCCCATGCAACATACCTGCAACGTCCATGCAACATACCTGCAACGTTCAAGCAACGCCCATGCAACATACCTGCAACGTCCATGCAACATACCTGCAACGTTCATGCAACGACCGTGCAACATACCTGCAACGTCCATGCAACAAATCTGCAACGTCCATGCAACATACCTGCAACGTCCATGCAACATACCTGCAACGTCCATGCAACATACCTGCAACGTCCATGCAACATACCTGCAACCTACCAGCAACATACCTGCAACATACCTGCAACGTCCATGCAACATACCTGCAACGTCCATGCAACATACCTGCAACGTCCATGCAACATACCTGCAACCTACCAGCAACATTCATGCAACATACCTGCAACGTCCATGCAACCTACCAGCAACATTCATGCAACATACCTGCAACGTCCATGCAACATACCTGCAACCTACCAGCAACATTCAAGCAACACCTGCAACGTCCATGCAACATACCTGCAACCTACCAGCAACATTCATGCAACATACCTGCAACGTCCATGCAACATACCTGCAACCTACCAGCAACATTCATGCAACATACCTGCAACGTCCATGCAACATACCTGCAACCTACCAGCAACATTCATGCAACATACCTGCAACGTCCATGCAACATACCTGCAACCTACCAGCAACATTCATGCAACATACCTGCAACCTACCAGCAACATTCATGCAACATACCTGCAACGTCCATGCAACATACCTGCAACCTACCAGCAACATTCATGCAACATACCTGCAACGTCCATGCAACATACCTGCAACCTACCAGCAACATTCAAGCAACACCTGCAACGTCCATGCAACATACCTGCAACCTACCAGCAACATTCATGCAACATACCTGCAACGTCCATGCAACATACCTGCAACCTACCAGCAACATTCATGCAACATACCTGCAACGTCCATACAACATACCTGCAACGTCCATACAACATACCTGCAATGTGCAACAAAAATATATAAGGCACCATCATGCAACATATAGGCGACATACATGCAGAATATGTACAGGAGCATGCCAACTCCATATGTCAGCAAACGACGGCATCGTACAGACATAACTATTGCAAGAATGAATATGCAGCTTGTGGGACACAATCCAGTGAAGCAGCAAATATTAATAGTTACCATTTACTGAAAGCATTTAGCTGCAGCTCATGACCTATGGAAAATAAATAGTTTCTTGTGGGACACAATCCAGTGAAGCAGTAAATATTAATAGTTACTATTTACTGAAAGCATTTAGCTGCAGCTCATGACCTAAGGAAAATAAATAGTTTCTTGTGGGACATGAAACTATGAAGCAGCAAATATTAATAGTTACCATTTACTGAAAGCATTTAGCTGCAGCTCATGACCTATGGAAAATAAATAGTTTCTGACCCGCAACTGTACGAGCTGCCAGTTTCTCCTCGGTACATCCAGTTCTACCAGCTTACACTTCACATCTTCATGCTTCAAAGGAACATCTGCGAGCACGCCGTGACCCAGTGGCTTGATCGCTCGCTCCATAGCATCGGGACTGCTTTCGCGGGCAACAAATATATCCCTTACAAACAAAAGAGAGAGTTAAATTTTTAAATCCCTTCGGCAGTTCAGCAATATTTTGACAATGAATTGTACTGTAACAATATCTATGTATACTACTACTAATGGGGGCACAGGTGGCCCAGTCGTCTAAGGCGCCGCGATTCGCTGTGCAGAGTTGCGTCCCTTGGGCACGCCAGAAACCTGTGATTGTGGGTTCGAATCCCGGTTCACCCCGATTATGTTTCTAGGTTTGTCAGCACCATACCCGTGCTCGTGGGTTTCACCGAAGTGGTAAACGTCTGAGACCTGCAGCACTTCGGGCTCTCCTCCCACATTAAGGTGACACGCCGCGATATAACTGGAACACTGTTAAAAGCGGCGTTAAACCCAACTCACTCATTCACTCACTCACTACTACTACTACTACTACTACTACTACTACTACTACTACTACTACTACTACTACTTCTAAATACTCACCCACCCACCCACCCACCCACTCACTCACTCACTCACTCACTCACTCACTCAACGGTGGAGGTACGAATACGTTAAACTCGATTCCTATCTACAGTTTGCTTGCTGCGCATACCAACATTGGAACAGGTTTCGACCCACCACCCGTACATCCTGACCTCGTATCTTGCAGAGTTTTTACAAAGGTCCTAGTTATTTGAATGAAACGATTACTAGGATGGTGGCATATAATATTTTTTTATGGATTGATACTGTCGTGATTTTGGAATTGTGATATTGATTTCACAACTAGAGAATACCTACCCATGTTTTATGAAAATATTGAAATACAACTAAATAAATTCATATATTTGGCTCTAGATTTAGTGACACAATTATAATAATTAAATTTTTGTGAACTTCCTGTATTCTGTATTCTGATTAGCTGAATTGGTCACGTGTTATTGCATTCATTTTCCAATGAATGTAAAAAAATAAGCCACGCCAAACGAGGCGCACTACTTTTATTACTTCGGAATGTCGGTGAATCCCAATATTACAGCCGAGGGAATTCCCTTTCTGCTCACGTGTATCGTCATGCACAGGACATTTAGCGACTTTCGTGCATATGCATTGTCCAAACTACCCTTTGAAACCGATGGCCGAGATTGAATGAAACAGCAAACGTGCAGGCTCGCTCGTCTGTTTGTTTTTTTCTGCTCGACTCGGTTCAACTTCTTGTCTTCGGGTTTCCTTTCTAACTAGCATTTTTCCAACTGTGTTTGACCGTAATCAGGGAAGCTATGTTTGAATCTGGCGGTAACTGACCATGTAATTTGAAACAGCCGCCTTCTCCCGGACATATTTCTTCCAGTTCGTTACAGTCTGACTGTTGCAGTTCTTTTCGCCTCTTGTCTTACCTGACAGGTCCAATGGACATTGTTTTGATCCTGCTCTCCGTTGATTGGCTACTGACAGTGTAGGCGTGTCAATTTATGTGCATAAATTAAACAATCACCTGATTCATGTCACGCCACAGTATGTATTCCTACACCTGGAATGTTTATCAATCTCGTCATTCTTGTCTGTTTTGATATATACAACTGTTTTTGGTTAAACTATTGTAGATAAAACATGTTTTATGCTGTCGAATTTAATTATAAGCAAACTTTTGTAAGAATCCGCTACGCGGATTCATACAGTTTGTACATTGGTTTTTCGATTCATACCTCAATGAACCGAAAAAAATACACAGTCCATCCTTAAATGAAAATTAAAATAAACAGTTATAATACCGCCCAACTAAGATTAGTATAGGTCATTTGTAACAATTTGGAGCTCAACAACGTCATATAACACAACCACTGCGGGGGAGCCTGCCTTCATGTTACAGACTGATTGATACACGAGGTCCGCATTAGCACTGCAGGCATGTTACCGAGCGAATCAGATATGTAACCCTGAGTAGGATTTACACAAGTGATAAGACTATCGCAACTCAGCCAAGCTCACTTTGTGAATTGAGTCCTTGCCATTGACATATCGATATTTTACTGTTACTGATTACTGTTATCAACCATGGCCAGGTCTAACTGCATATGTCATGTGTGAGTGGGTGGATTGTTCTTAAAGGGCAGTGGACATGTACAATGTAAGTGAAGCCAAAGTGACTCAACTCTTAATGGCAGACTGAGGAATTAATTAAGGAATCAATTAACCTTTAAGGAAATTTATGGGGTTGAACATTCCCAAGAAGTCAATGAAGCGTTTTTGCTAAATTCCGAATGGGTCGTTACAACACTCAGCATTCTCTCATCGAGTTTATCCCTTTTCAATGAATGGCTGGCTGAATGAGTGAGTGAGTGAGTATGGTTTTACGCCGTTTTTAGCAATATTCCAGCAATATCACGGCGGGGGACACCAGAAATGGGCTTCACACATTGTACCCATGTCGGGAATCGAACCCGGGTCTTCAGCACGACGAGCGAACGCTTTAACCACTAGGCTACCCGACCGCCCCTCTGGCTGAATGAATGAATATTGTTTTACGACGCATCAGCAATTATCCAGCTGTTAACGGAGACATCTTCCCTTTGAAGTTAAGGATGATAAACACGTTTTATTAAATTACCTGTATGAGTGAGTAGTATGTTTTTGGTTGCTTTTAGCAATATTCCAGCAGGGGACGCCAGAAATCGCCTTCACACATTGTGGGGAATCGAACCCGGGTCTTCGGCGTGACGAGCGATCGCTTTAACCATGAGGCTACCCAACCGTCGCTTACATGTTTGAAGTGGAAAGATTAGATTTTGCAGAAGCAAATGAAGTGTGTGTAATTGTACCGCCATTAGGAAGGTAGGTTTTATACACTCCAGTCCAGATGTACTTTTAGTATCTGCCAAGACCTGCCAGTGTCGCCCTAAAATCGAAAGTTATATACCAGTAGATGTTAGTGTGATCCTCAATATATTGTAAATTCTGTTATTGTATATATCGTTGATGGCCTCTCGTAACTAGTGGGGTGGCTCGTTATATTTGCTGTGTATCATTTTAGAGTATTATGATGCATGTACTGTTGTTTTATTTCTGTTTGTATCTTAATTGACTTTAATAACATATCTGTGTGTCTTTCTGTTTGTCTGTCTGGTTTTTCGAACCTGGCATTCGACCAAAGGAGCAGAGGATTTAGCAGCGAAAGGACATCTGCATCACAAGCGAGTTAAGGCAAGTCGTGACACCACTATCATACAAGCTTAATAGCTTTTGGACATCTAGCATATTTTTGTTCCTCGGTGTTTCAGGATGGGGATTCCGGAAACTATTATTTTCGTTTAGGAGCTCGACTAAAGGAAAGATACTATTTCTACAGGCCGGCTTTATATGGTCATCTTCCCGAGGCAAGGGCGTTAACTGACTTAAAAATTCCTGTTTCCACCCTTGCCAAACTAGGCTGGAACTTTCAGGCTCGATGGTAGCGCCACCAATGGCTATTACGAGCTATGTCCCTTCTATGTCCCTCCTATTGACCAATCAGATTTCATCTCTCATATCACTTGCATTTGCTTTAAACAAAAAAGCGGCGCACAGTCAAGACGATCTGATTGATATCAAGATCTACATTGTAATAAAACGAGTCTTACCCCGCATCAAATCACTTGAGCACCTTGATTAAAAACATGTAAAGATTTGCAAAATATATACGGTTTAAATGCTTTGCAAATCCTGCAGTCGACGGACATCTGCACGTTGACATGTTGTTTACTTTTTGATAATACTATTCATAAACTCGTTAGTCCAGACAAAATGTAACTCCGGAATTTCAGCCTAGTTCGGCAAGGGAGAAAACTGGACTTATATAGTCAGTTAACGCCCTTGCCTCTAGAAGATGTGATATGGCGGGTGAAATATCATTCACTCCCTCACTTCACTCATAGATATGATGTATTAATTATGTGGATGGATGGATAGAGGTTAAAGTGAGGATTGTCATGCCGTAGGCTCGCGTTCGGTTCTTCCTGTGATATAAGTGAACCATCACCACTGTTCATTGGGTTTGAGGTGAGGTGAGGTGAAATGGGGTTTAACGGCGCGTCGAAGATTATTGTACTTAAATAGCGACGTACATGCACGTGTGTGTGTGGCTGCTTGTACTAGTCCGGACTAATGCATATTAATATGGTGCTAGCCCACTGAGATACCATGCCGCAGTTTAACATGAATACACAACCAGACAGTATACTGTCTCCGAGCCGACCAGTCATTGTCTTATCCCCTTAATGCCGAACGCCAGACAGGGTAACAAGTACCATCTTTTGGTATGACGCAGCCGGGAATCGAACCCCGGACCTTTCGCTCTCCGAGCGGACGCTCTACTATTAGACCACGGAGGCGGTCGGCATTAAACTGCATCAGTCTAACGCCATCAATTCTATAAAGTCCTTCACAGACAATATGTTCATCTCCCTATGTAAATACCTCAACTAAAACATGGATTTCCTACCCAGCTTCCTCCTCTTCCTCTTCCTCTGAGGAGGAGGATACATCCTCGTTTTCATCCTCTCCCGCCATGTTGGTGTCTGGAGCTGAAGTGATGCCGACATCAGAAGATTTCCTGAACAAATTAAATACACGCCTGAAATACTAAATCGTCATACTGTAAACGGACATACGGCGCATGCTCGCAATGATATTTTACGGGACATTAATGAGTGAGTGTGTGAGTATGGTTTTACGCCGCTTTTAGCAATATTCCAGCAATATCACGGCGGGGGACACCACAAATGGGCTTCACACATTGTACCCATGTCGGGAATCGAACCCGGGTCTTCGGCATGACGAGGGAACGCTTTAACCACTAGGCTACCCGACCGCCCCACGGGACATTAATATTCGGGGGAGCAGGGGCCTCGGACTTTGGTAAACAGTATTGTTTTCGGTCACTGCTGGCTTTTGACGAACTTTACCGAACCTTTCGCGAACTCATTTAATGATTTCACGAACACCTGGTGTCAGCACTGACCTTAAGAGATTCATTCATGATCTCTTCATAAGCAAGTGCCCAACAACCTTGCAGGGTATGTAGTTGAGTTTATGAAGATACCTTCCATTTCTTTTTCATGTTCCAAAAGATGTTTTTGTTTTGTTTGTTGTTTAACGCCGTACTCAGCAACATTCCAGGTATATGATGGCGGTCTGGAAGTAATCTAGTCTGGACCAGTAATCCAGTGATTGATATCATGAGCATTGATATGGATACGATAACATACATCAACCAAGTCAGCGAGCATGACCACCCGAGCCCGTTAGTCGCCTCTAACCACAAGCACCGTCACCTTTTACGGCAAGCATGGGTTGCTGAAGACCTATTCTGCACCGGATCTTCACGGGTCGCCAAAAATCTGACATAAATGTGAATCGTCAAAGACAGAGAATAACCAGTCTCGATTATCCGACGAAATAGATGCCCTTTAAGACCACCGACCACATATCTCCGGCCACGTAGTCAGCAAGTTATCATCTGAGCTCACCTCGGAACCCATCTGCAACACTGACTTGAGCCAACAGATACGTTTTGTTTTGTTTGTTGTTTAACGCCGCACTCAGCAATATTCCAGCTATATGACGGCGGTCTGTAAATAATCGAGTCGGGACCAGACAATCCAGTTGCATAGTCACCTGTTACGGCGAGCATGGGTTGCTGAAGACCTATTCTACCCCGGATCTTCACGGGTCCCAATAGATACGTACCCATAGAGAACTTCTCCGACTTCACAACGGTCCATGTTAGTAATCCACTCACAACCTATAGCTAGACCAGTTTGTGTGCATATTGATATGGGATCTGGCTGTACACAGGTCAGGCATTGATTGAACGTTCTTAAATCAGTGTTGATAAGTATTGGTAACACAACAACGTGTGTCTCCAAACGACGAAGTGTTGTGAGTGAGTGAGTGAGTGAGTGAGTGAGTGAGTTGGTGGGTGAGTGAGTGAGTGAGTGTGTGAGTGAGTGGGGTGGGTGGGTGGGTGGGTGAGTGAGTGAGTGAGTGAGTGTGTGAGTGAGTGAGTGAATGAGTGAGTGAGTGACCAGACTTGGTCATGCACACGCTAACTGTCTGCTTCAAGATGCATGTAATTGTTTCCGGTATGTACAGTGAACCTGACTATCCAAATTACTGTAAGATCATAGTATGGAATCCTGGAAGGAGTAATGTCGCATTGTCGCGTTCTCGCCCTTTTACAAAGCATGCAGAAAGTGTCAAAATTAATCAAGGCGCGACAATGCGACAACGCGACATTAATATTTTTGCCATTTGTCGCATGGTCGCATTGTCGCGCTTTGAATAATATTTTATTATTTTTCCAAAGGAAAAAATTTCTACGACGCGACAATGCGACAAATGGTCAAAATGTCGTATTGTCGCGCTTTGGTTCATTTTGACACTTTATTCTTGTTTTTGTAAGGGCAAAAATGCGACGATGGCACAACGCGACAATGTCCCTTCTAGGATTCCATACAATAACGAGGATTCTTCATGTTTAGCAATATTCCAAAAGTTTCAGACTTTGGAGTCTACATTTCACAACTTTTGAGGTACAACCGAGCGTGCTCTGTCTCCGAAGATTTCAAAGAGCTTCAAACGACTCTATCTCAAAAGCCCATGGCCGTAGACATGTGGAAGACATTTGAAAAATTTGACGCATCAGTGATGCACCAGTCTGATGCAATTCCCTATTTAGAATTGTACCATATGTTCCCATGTCTGATGCAATTAACTCTATTGAATTGTACCATATGTTTCCGAGTTTATTCCAGGTGTACAGTTGACTAGTCTTTGTATGTGTTTGTGACGGGTGCTATCGGTGGGCAGGATACGCTCTCCTTTTCCTGAACACCTGGTATCATCACTATTTGATAGTGATAAACAAACGCATACTTATGATGATGCCAGAATCATATTATTGATTCTGCTTTTCGCAGAAATTCCTTCTGAATATCGAAAGGGTTTTGGAGCTTTTATTTGTTGCTTGATGACGCACAGCTATACTCCTGCAGTACGACGGCAAATCATAAACACTCGAAGCTTGACAAGACGATTAAGTGATCTATCATAGCAACCCACAAAACACACAAGATGAGAATGACAAAAATAAGGTAATCAATAGCTGTACTATAAATTTATAAATACATGAATAATTAATTAAGTGGTTGTTATGGCGCTGTAAAGCATCGTGATATCTCTTGACAGTTTGCCTACATGATGGTATTGTATGAAGATACAAGGATATGGATGGATTTTATAGATATTTAAAATAACAATCTTCGCAAGTCCCTATGTTGAATTCTGATTAATTGTTTGGGTTAATTTTATATTTTAGCGGGCTTCATTTAAGTTGTAAAGGGAAGTAACTCTTTTTTGCTGTTGGAATCACTGGTATCGGTTGGGACCGTAGAGGTTATAAAAAGCCATCAAGCCGACAGCGCTACCTCAGTATTCTGTCTGTGGCAACGGCACCCTTCAACTGGAACAAGAATCTGTTAGAATATGAAAGTAAGAATGAGAATTAATGATGAAGTTGAAGAATGATTTGACATCCTCAATTCTCGAAACCCACACCCTATATATAGTAGTGTATATATATATACTCATCTTCAGCAAAAAGTACAATTTCTAATTTACTGAATGACAGTTTCTAGCATTCCTTTCAATTCATAACCACCTACCTGTTTCTATCTATATTTACACTCCAAGAAAAGTAGGAGATCATAGAAAATATATGTAAATCGGTCATCAGAAGAAAGATCAGTTTTGAACAATAGCTGCCAGAGAAAAAAAAAAAGAATAGTTCTGGAACCAAAACCTAACGCCCCCCAAAACACCCGAAACATCTTACCTTTGATGCTTTTGTGAAAAGTCTGAGCTATCAATTTTGCTAATTTTCATTACCTACGTAGTCTCCCATCTCTCGCTTCATGCAGTACCGTAAGCTACGTTTATAACGAACGCGCTTATGACGTACTGACGGATGTAACGAACTGGCCACTTGCTGAATAGTTGTATACGATTAATAAACACAGGACATATCGAAATGCTTATAACGGACTACAGTTATAAGGAACTTAACTTAGTGGTCCCTTTGTGTTCGTTATAACCGTAGTTTACTGTCAGATTGGGGATGTGTCGTTTACACCCCTACAATACACTGCCAATTCAGATTTAGAATTGCAATACATTGAACGTTATGACAAAGTTTTTTCCATCATATTGCCCATCTTGCCAGTTAACATTTAATATATATACTCATGTAAAACCATAAGCACCGATAACCATATAGTTCCAAACATAGGAAATCGCCTATCGTGTCATTTGTTTACAAGGGGACATGCAGAAACCGGAATAAATTATCAAATGACATGTTTTGTAACTAACTTCTTTAACTCACTCACTCACTTGTCGGCCATCTTGAATTTGTGAAAATTTGTTAATTGTTGAAAACATTTAGTAGGGTATGAATTGCTGAATATCTTTTTAGAAACATAGTATTGCTAATTTGCAATGAAACAGTCTTTTTTTCATCAATAGCTCTTTTGAAAAACGGAAGATTGTTTGATAATTAAGGGGTCATTATGGATTATCCAAATTAGACATATTTCCAACACTAGGATTGCTTGGGACTTTTGGTATGTTGTTCTTGGGACCTTATAGAAATGCACTGTGGTAAAATAAATTCTGTTGCAATTTGTTCCAAATGAAACTTTATTTTGCCTGGACTATGAAATGACATTTCGAAGGGAGAAATGAAAAAGGGAGATAGTTCTATGGAAATATAACTTCTTTATTACAACCAATGCGACGTTTCGTTATAGGCACTAACAAGGTTATCAAGCAAGTGATGTGACAAAGACATGCTTACAATGTTTCCAGATGTATACACATGTAATTGAGCAAAAGTGTGTGAAATATTTCCATTTTCCGTCTCTCCGTTTTGTTATATATCGAGCGAGGAAATACGAAAATTGTATTTTTTTAAAGACTAACAATGCTATTACTTTATATCTTGAGAGGTAGTCTAGCTACAGTAATTTACAATAATGACGAAATGGATTTATGTAGCATGCAAGTACATCGGCATCGGCATCGGCATCGGCATCGGCATCGGCATCGGCATCGGCTTGGTATCGGCATCGGCATCGGCATCGGTATCGGCATCGGCATCGGCATCGGCATCGGCATCGGCATCGGCTTGGTATCGGCATCGGCATCGGCATCGGCATCGGTTTGGTATCGGCATCGGCATCGGGATCGGCATCAGCATCGGCTTGGTATCGGCATCGGCATCGGCATCGGCATCGGCATCGGCATCGGCATCGGCATCGGCTTGGCATCAGCATCGGCATCGGCATCAGCATCGGCATCGGCATCGGCATCGGCATCGGCTTGGCATCGGCATCGGCATCGGCATCGGCATCGGCATCGGTATCGGCTTGGCATCGGCTTGGCATCGGCATCGGCATCGGTATCGGTATCGGCATCGGCATCGGCATCGGCTTGGTATCGGCTTGGTATCGGCATCGGCATCGGCATCGGCATCGGCTTGGTATCGGCATCAGCATCGGCTTGGTATCGGCATCGGCATCGGTATCGGTATCGGCATCGGCATCGGCATCGGCGTCGGGTTCGGCATCGGCATCGGCGTCGGCATCGGCATCCACATACATAAACTTTACATTATTATACGAACAGTTGGATATGACCTCAGCTGATCTAGTGTCAGTTTCAACCCTTGAGGTGTAAGCATGTGTTAAGCAGTTGCGCATGACAGCCAAAGGTTAGAATTGTAAACTGAGACACTAATCATTTTGGTTTTCTGTCGCTTCTGAAATGAAAGTGTTTTGTCCCTGAGGTACCATTGTCACACAAATGACATATGCCAGTGGTATATGGCAGTGTATTCTATTGGTTAACAGTGAGTGTAGCTATGTTGCATTGTTTGTGTTGAGATTCGTTAGACGCTCATTGCATTTTGTGTGGATATTGATCAGTGATCAGGAAGTTACTATATTTAGATGCCATTGTAGTGTGTAAACATCCGGTCCGGTATACCACGGACGGTGATAGTATAATAGGAAACCTCTTTAATGTTCTAGTGCCGATGCACTGGTGAGGGCACTGTGTGAAATTTTCCAGTGGCTGGTTAGATTGTATGTATGGGGACAAGAGCGTCTTTACGTCTCTCTCAAGCACTTCATCACATCGGAACCAGCTTTCATGTAAAGATCGCTCGTTATCCCTGATTTCCTGCCTAGCCCATCTCTGGAGCTTGAACACAGTCACCGCTGGGTGAATATATACTGACCCGTGTTGAATATGCACCAACATGAATCCATGAAAATATGATGATAGTTGGCAAAGAACATGTTAGGACTTAAGGAAGCTCCAAAACCTTTGTCAAGTTTGATAGCCGTTGTGAGTCGTCGCCAAAAGGCAAAAGAGAACAGTACTCAAAAACACGAACAAAGCAAAGTGCCATCACCTTTTCATGCAGAAATGGGGTATAAAGGATGGCATTCTAAGGCTATTCTAAGCCCGACTCCGACCCTCAGGCACCGAAATGGACGTCTACACGGCAGAGACTATGGATACTTCGACGCTGGCATGGCGTTCTCTTCTCTGACGAATCCAGATTTCATCTCAGGAACGCCGACGGACGTATACGGGTATGGCGTCGCCGTGGTGAACGTTGTCACGACGATCGTGTTGTGCAGACTGTTGATCGATGGGGCGGCGGAAGTGTGTTGGTTTGATGCGATATCAGTTTTCGGCACAGAACGGC